GTGATCAAAGAGAAAACACATGTGGTCAAAGCTCCTATGGTCAAAGGCCCGCTGTGGTCAAACCCCCTATGGTCAAAGCCCCTATGGTCAAAGCCCCTCTGTGGTCAAAACCCCTATGGTCAAACCCCCTTTGGTCAAAACACCTGTGGACAAAGTTCCGCGCACCTAAGGGAAGGTAAGATTACTTTTTAAATAATTATTTAGAAATTAATTAGAACGGTTAGAATTAAATGAACATTGTTAATAGTCAATTACTATTCATAAATGGCGTCATTGTGGGGGGGGGGGGGGGGTCTCTGGCTTTTTGTTAGTCGTTAAAAGGCGTGACGTCTATAGCCCTAGATACAATGAAACCTCACGGAAAATCATTTTGAAACGATCAGTATTGAAAATAATAACGTGTGGACAGCACAGTGATGTAGCCCACTTCATGTAGAACTCAAATCTTGTAAAACGTACTCAACTGCTGTCGGTGAAAATACTTTCTAAACAACACTTCATTCGATATGGATACCATTTATTTTTTTCCGACAAGGAAAATATGTCAAAGTACAAAAATATTTTATCTCCCCCCCCCCCCCCCCATTCAGTCAAACATTGAACGACCTCACAAGAGGTTCTTGCGTTTGTGCATTCTGGTATTACTCGTGGTATTAGCAAAGAAACATACAAAGGTAGAAATAGGATTTCGCTCGTGTGTGTTCCACCCAGAGGCGTAGCGACCCATTCCGGCGCCCGGGGGGGGGGGGGGGGGGGGATTATCAATGTTGTTCCCCCTTATTCAAACTTTGTTATTCACGTTGACAAAAAAATGCGCGTCCCCCCCCCCCCCCATACATACACCAATTCAGGAAATCAGTCTGTAAAGCCATGTCTCAATTTATTTTCTTAAATTTCACTGTGCAGAATGAGCTTTTTGTTTAAAATGTACCCCGTTTTGCACGCCCTTCGGTTGGCGCCCGGGGCGGCCACCCAGCCCGCCCTCCTCGTAGCTACGCCTCTGGTTCTATCTTTTATGGAAACATTCATTTTATTTATAGCACGAAAGCGCTATTTAATAAACAAAACGTGAGTGTTCAAACAAAATTGATCAGAGTATAACATCAGAAACACATTCAAGTTTTAGTGATATCCCATGTTTTCCTCATGCTCGTGGTCGACGGTGCTCAAGCTAGATGTAATGAATCTGCATGCCGCCATCTTTGCAATTTTTTTCCTAGAAAATTTCCCCGTAGACTGTTTGGGAAAGGAGTCAAAAATGAGAAATTTGTTTGGAACTCCGTCGAACTCTGTCGCCCTGTTGGTGTAGAGAGTTCTACAGAACCGTTTGAGATCTTCTGTAGTGAGTCGAGCGCATCTCTCAAGCGTGACGCACACACAGATCTCCTGGTGCAGGACTGGGTGGGGGGATACCTGCAGGGGAGTGGGTAGGGGGGTATGAATTTATTCGTTGGTTAAAATGTACTAGATAATGTATGGTCCAGAGCAGGGAATAATCGTTATCATGACAGTGTTGGTGACTAAGTGTACGTTTAGCTCAGAATCTGTTTTTCAATAGGTTTCCAGTTACCATTTGGAATGTATCTCATACAATCATTACGGTACGATTCATTAAAGTGACTACGAAATATAACAACAAATATTTAAAAAGGCTCCTAATATTTTTAACTAATGTTTTAACTCCACTTTTAAAAAATAACCAGAGCAAGACTTTGATGATTTTTTTTCCTAACATTTCTAAATGTATCACCTAGTGAAATTGAATTTTTGTGTAGAAATAATCACAGATATTGCCGCATAACTTTTTTCCTTGATGTATTTAGAACACACAAGGTGCATAAATCTAAAATAAACAACCTAAAAGTGGAGTTAGATCGGTCTGGTTCTTTGGAAGCGGTATGAGTCCTCAAACGTTAGATATCTCAACTATAACATCCAACATCAGACATAAAAAAAACTACATCATCCACCATAAAACATCTTAACTACATCATCCACAATTAGAATCTCCGCTACAAACATCCACCATTGGACAACTCAACTGCAACATCTAACAATGGACATGTTAACTACTTCATCCATTATTGGACATGTCAACTACATCATCTATCTTTAGACATCTCAATTACAACATCCACTACTGGATATCTCAACTACAACATCCACCGTTAGCCATATCAACTACGACATCCACCTTTAGACACCTCACCTACAACATCCACCTACAACATCCACCTACAACATCCACCTACAACATCCACCTACAACATCCACCTACAACATCCACCTTTAGACATCTTAACCACAAAAACCACCCTTTCAACACCTCACCTACAACAACCACGTTCTCCACCCCCGGGCAAGTGTGCAGCCTCTCCTCCAACCACTGAGGGTAGACGATGGTTGTACCGTTCAAGATAGAGTCGGATGTTCGTCCAATAACGTGGAGGTCGCCGACTTCACTGCACATCATCACCATATCAAGCAATGTCACAGAGAAAAACAAATGTAAATTATTTTGGGTTGCTGTCTTTGGTTCTTCCAAGCAGAAACACTCCCATATAATCAATATAAATAAACATTAATGGCGGTTTGTAAGAATTGAAATAGTTTGAGCGAATACATTTTTAACATCATTATTAACCTCCCCAGTCAGTGCCCAAGACACATGGGACACCTGTTTGTTTCAATTACCTCGGTACACATCAAATTGTGTGGTCAGCACAATGTCTAGTCGCCTTAGATTAACCTAACGTAAGCTTTAGGGGTTTGAACCTCGAGACGTTAAGGTTAGCAGTTGTGCGCACTACCACCCGAACACTCATTTTAGAACACACATAAACCATAAACTTGGTTTCAATATTTTTGGATAACTTTAAATAAGCATATATTGGTTGGACCAACAGCAGGGGGGGGGGCAAGATTATCAACCATCTTACCAATGTGTTGGAATGTAGGTAAAACTTTGTAAGTATTAAAATGTGTACATTATGTGTCTAATATAGTAGTCGACTTACTCTGTGTAGCCTAGATCACTGGTAACAAACCAGTTGTCCTCAGTGAACACGCCTTGTGTTGACCGCTCCATACCCAGGTAATGTCTCAGGACGTTGCCCCCTATGTCGTGAGAGATGAAATGTATGTCACATACTCATGTATGTTTTGATAGATGGGCAGTAGCATAACCAGGCAGGGGGGTGCGGGCCGCACCGGGGGACAGTTCGGGGGCGGTGGGGGGGGGGGGATCCAAATTGAAAAATCGTAAATATTACTGACAAAACAAAGTTTTATACAGTTAAATAAACTGATGGGGAGAGACCAAAACGATTATGCAAAATTAAAATTGTTGAAGGAGGAGTGGGGTGACAGCCTCAGTCATTGCACCGATTTGAACAGCACTCGACCTAGTAACGCCACTTTGGATGAGTGCATGAATATTGTAATGGGTGATTATGCTCACATTGGATATAATCATATAGCTTTTAATTAGGACATTCGTGGGTATTAGCTTCACATATTATTATATAACTTAAATACAAATTGTTCAGTATATAACGAAGACCAACGTATGATACTAGTGGAAACAAATGAAATCAAACTGACAGCAAATAAAGTACGCTCTGACAGCTGAATGTTCACAGATAAAGTAGAGTTTCTCTGGATTGGTTGTTGTTGTTTTTTTTACATCGTCGTAAGGAGGGATTGTGTGGTCAGCACAATGACCGTTACACTAAACTCAGGTACCCATAAAGGCTGAGCTGACTCAAATAATCAAGCCCTCAGCTGACTTTCCGTGTTAGCAGACCAGAGATCTATCACCCGACCACACCACTCCATCTGTGACTTTATTTCATGTTGAGTATAACGTAAAACATTAATTCTGATTAGTGAGTGTATGTAAAAAGATGACAACGACAGAGGACATAGGAGTACACGTCATCCCGTACACCATATGCCATGCAACATTCGGACAAAATGTACGCTTACCCCTCCTCCCACCCCATCCTCACTCACTCCGTACAAAGTATCCTGCACGCCCCAAAATCAACCCCCTATTTTAAGCGAGAAATCTTTCACCTCTGCCTTTAACCTCCCCACCCACCGTACCAAGTATCCTGGCACGCCCTTGTATCTAGTCCCTATTTGTAGCGAGAAACCTTTCACCTCTACAAAAGATTTTTCCGACTTTGTTAGCGCTTGTGACGAGTGTGTTAGTCTTCTCGTCCAGAAGTTTCATCTGTAGCCCAGTGGTCAAGCACTGACCGGTGTAGCAGTCTTTAATCTGATCCTGCTTCCAGACGTATAAGAAAGTATACGGTAAAACATAAATCATAAGCAGATATTGCCTTATTAAGTACCGAGGATTCAATAGCTTACACTGTTTTGCAAATAATGGATGTATTTATTAAATTACTTGAAACGTCTCAAGAGGAAATTCATTTTTAATTTATTTATAAAGATTATCAGTATTTTATTTATAATTTCAGGACTAGATCTATATCTTCAACAAAACTACTGTTTGTCTGATCAACAACTCAACAAAATTACCCTGTTAGTGTGATCCACGACTCCTGTTACCAAAAACCCTGCGTCTGTTGACCCATATATTGTGTAAACTTTCTCAAACACTCGCCCCACTACATCAAACAGCTTCTGCAATGAATAGACTAAGAGATAAACTGTGTTGACCTAAACAAAATAAGCTAACAGCTTCTGCAATGAATAAACTGAAGAATAAACGGTGTTGACCTAAACAAAATAAACTAACAGCTTCTTCAATGAATAAACTGGAATTATAAACGGTGTTTACCTAAACAAAATAAGCTAACAGTTTATGCCCATTAAAACAAGAGTTAGTCAGTGAGCTAATGGTACCGTAAACAAAACTAGGACTTACTTTTCTGATTGGCTGGCCTCCAGTAATTAGGGCAGAGATTTTCTGATGAAAACATCCGTTATCATATGCCTTTAAAAATAGTTTCAATACATTTTGTTTTTAATTCGGCGCAGTGTTTATTGCAGGCATCTTTCATGGGTGGGGGTATGGAGAGATAGATGTCAGGATACTATATAGATATGCCATTGTTCACCCCCCCCCCCCTCCCCCCCACGTCACGGGAGTTTCAATTGAACCCCTCCACACACAGAAAACAAGGGAAAAAACATCTTTTAGTGTTTTAGTTACATTTAGAGTCGTCCATAAATACCGTCACACTCGTAGGGTGGGTCCGTAATTTTGTGACGGTGTGTGATGAGGCGGAAGGGGGGGGGGGGGTCAGATGGTGTAACGTCACACTTTTGCATCATAAAAAAGCAATGTAAGAAAACGAATTTCAGCCGTTATCTCGCGTTTTAGAAAACTGTTTTAATAAATTGTAATAGGAATTGATTAAAGTACTCTATGTTGACAGCGTTCAGACAAGATTTTGTGAAATATCGTATTTTAAGAAAAATTCAAATACAATTTTGAGGGGGGTTGTAAGCTGAGGTGTGACGTCATTTTAGGGGTGGGGTCTGGCTTTTTGTGACTGAGGGGAGGGTAGAGGTAAAAGTCGTCAAAAAAAGCGCGACGTCATTTATGGACAACCCTTTACTATCATTTTAAATATTTTAAATTGGTACAATTTCATTAATATATATGTATGCCTATATTTATTTTATTTAAATAATCTTTGTTAATATTCAATTGGAAATATTTACCAACTACTCTCATAAAGAAAAGAACAACCAAAATTACTCGTCTAGATTTGTTCAAATGACAGTTAACCGATCGTCTGCACTAGGTTCAATCACCTGCTTGAGTTCCATGACGTCAGCAGGTAACATGAAGGCCAGGTGTACGCCCAGGTGAGAGAGCAACTGCCAGATGTCCGTCACTCGCCTCTTGACCACACCGTCATACACCTCCTGCACCACCGTGGTGACACCTGCCGAGAGATACAGGTGGGGACTTCCGGCTATCCACTCCATTGGTCGGTCGTTGTACATGACGTCAGTGAGCTGCCCAAAGTGTTTGATGGCGTCAGCTTGTGCCAGGTACTCTCTTGTGGGGGGGGAAGGGGGTGGGGGGATCGAAATAGAAGGTTGTATTTGTGTCAGGTACTCTCTTGTGGGGGGTAGAAATAGAAGGTTGTATTTGTGCCAGATATAGGTTCAGAAAATTTTAGACAAGTTTAGAAAATTATTGGAATATAGGCTTTGAACAGTGTCATGTGATATATTTTAAAATTCTTTCAGAACACTATAAGGATAGGCCTACTTGTGATAAGTTTTACCATTCCACTGTTTCCTATATAGTAACACTAAAGAAAGATAAACGTGGGCTTAAAGTAAAAATGCGATTGCTAAAGAAAAGCGATAAACTATTAGTTGAATGCAACTTCAGCAAAATAAGTAGAGAATCACACAGGAAATTCAAATGTAATTTAACGAAAGTAAATTAAGAGTTTAAAAAAATTCGACTGAAATGTAACCCACCTCTGAGTCCTAGGCACCAACTTTGAGTAGCTAGTACTACCGGAAGTCAAGAAAATGTAAGCCTCGTCATCAGCATTGACGTCTGCCTCGTAGAAATCTTCATCAGCGAGAGAAGAGATGAAAGCTGTGTGGTCTTGGTGGCTGGTTAACTTGTACACGATCAGCTGTTTCAGACAAGGGGCCTGGCTACACTGTACTGGGATGATGGTTTCTACACTGTTTAGTAAACGCACATTCGATCAATTGTTTGAAAGAAATTTTTTAGTTATGTCTCTTTGAATAAAAATGTTAATATATCTTATAGGAATATAATGCTAACGAAGTTAAAGTTAACCTAGCCAACAGTGGAAATGTGTGACCATCAATCATTTAAAATATAATTGATAAAATTAATTATTAGATAACATGTACACCATTTAAAGATAAATACGCTTCCTATACACCTACCCTACTTGGCGTTTCAGACCATCTGTTTTAAAAAATGTCTGAAGAAAAAGCAACTCTTCGCAATCTCGTGATGTTATGATAGTCCTGCACTTGGAGATGTTGAGGGCTTTAAATACATCTTGTCCATCGGACAGAATCGTCTAGAAGGTTACATGTATAATTCTTTAAAAAAAACAATTACTAGCACAGTGCAGACAAGTTCTGCAAGTGTTCTCATTGTCAAGAAAAGTAACTAAAGAAGTCAATAGAGAGTTCATATTTTTCTTGACCTCGGATTTTGAAGTTGTGGTGAGCACTTTGCCCAGCCGCCTTTATTTCCCAAACATAAGCTAGGTACCCATCAAAGCTGGGTGGACTCAGGGACATTCTACTGACTTTGACCCGGATCCGAACTCGAGACTTTCGAATTAACAAACTTAGTGCTCTACCGCTTAGGCCACGCCGTTCAATAAATTGAAATAAATGATACGAGCCGACCCGCCGCCGCTATTTAGTTGTTTTCATAATTCATAATTTGTGAATTCGACAGTACCAACGCTGCCACTAAAATTATTTGTCTTAAATTTAAATCACTATCAGTAGCTCGTTAAGGACGATAACCCCCCCCCCCCCCCGTGAAAGTAAACTCCTCTTAGTTACCTCCCCTAAGTTTAAAATCGTTTCAAACTAAATTATCTGCCTCTAATAGCCGTTACTAAACCCGGCTCTACGATTGTAAACATTTCGCATGATCATGTAGGGGTGGGGGTGGTAGGGAGCGCGCTTACAGCTGGGTGTTTTCTATGGTCTCCAAGAAGAGAATTATATATAGAGATATGAAAATAAAAAGCAAGGTCACAAAGTAAACAAAAAATATCTCAATTAAAAGGTAACTAAATTATGTAGGCCTATTATTGCACTTCCTAATCAAATCGCAATCAGCTGTGTCCAATCAAAATGATTAATTACCGTAACCAGTTGTGTGGGATGTGCTTAACAGTCCAATCAAACCAATTAATTACCTTAGCATTGATGACGACACCACCAGCCGTCATGATACCCAAATCAGTGATGAGCTTTGTCCGTGAGTTGTTTAAAATGGAGCAGACGACATCACCAATCTGTTGATTAAAATATCTTTAATACAGAGTCCTTGACGTCTTTAGACAGACAAGAAACTGACAAATAAATGTACCTTAATTCCTAATCTTCGTAGCCTTGAAGCGAATCGTCCACTCAAGTTCCACAACTCGAATCTTGATAAGGGAAGCAACTCATTTTGAAAAGTTAGAAAAATATACCCCGCCTTTGAAGGGTCTTGTTGTGCGCGGTATTTAAGCCTTTCGATAACAATATCTGTTGGAATATTTTGTGCCATCGTGTATCACTAAAATAAAAATAAATTTAAAAACAGTTTATATAACATTTGTACAATGTAGATCTAAGTGATGCTTTGGTTTTCGTTTTAGTTTCGCTAGAAAACTTATAATAACAACGGTTGTTGTTTTTTTTTAGAAAAAGAAAATATTAAAATTTCATTGTTATAAAGAGGTTAACACAATGAACATGGACAAATTCTAAATTTTTCCCTTAAAAAAAGTTAAATGAGAATTTCTATTGACAATTACTTAATTACGTTTTCAATAACTTAACAGAATAGGAAATCATGGTAATTAAACGCAAAATGTTGACGAATCTAACTTTTATAGTTTTCCTAATACAACATGTTGACGAAACTAATTGTTATTTCTCAACGTTAAACACGATCTTGCTCCAGTTAAATTCTTGCTTGTCAACACCAGTAGTCCACAACTGCGTCATTGATAACTTTATTAGGACCAAACAACCTATGTTGGCAGCAACTTTTGATAGAATACGTCGCTTGGCCTTTTTTATCATGGTAGTGCTACATACTTTCATGTTGAAGGTATTTCTCAGAGTTAGATTATTCTTAGCCACAGACCATGGGGTGGACTGGCCCATAGGTACAAAGAAAAACATTAAGCAAGACATCAGAGTTTCTTCCAGGCATCTCTTCGGGCCCCCCCCCCCACGAAAAAATTCTACCGCCCCCCCCCCCCCCCCCGAAAAAATTCTACCGCCCCCCCCCCCTCCGAACTAAATGAAATTTATATAACTTATATAACAAATATATACTTTTAACAGTGTCCGCCCCCCCCCCCAGAGAAAGTCTACCGCCCCCCCCCCCCCGAAAATTTCAAGTGACCCCCCCCCCCCCCCCCCCGGAGAAAAAAGTCTGTAACAAACACTACACGACATTAGCGTCGTAAAACCACACCTCCATCCTCTTACGTGTCATCCATTTATTGGGGTGTTCCACAGGCTACTCCTTTTGAAGAACGCCACCCCTAGCCTCTACACCCGATGTAAACGTTCACTAAAAAGTCAAGGCCTATTAGTGTTTTTAAAAGTTTAAATCATTAGATTGTCCACACCGGATTCATTTCCTATATTTCTGTTTAGGTCTAATATAGGTCTGAATGTCGATTACCATTTCATGCAGTTTTGTTTTAGTTATAAACAATACAGATTATGATTGTGATGTCCACATAGACCCTCCCTCCCCCACCCCTTCCACACGCATCCACAATCGTTAACTGTGGTGGTTCCATAAAAGAATAAGGTTGGGGTGTGTAAAATGGTCCACAAAAATAAATTAAAAGAAATGTTTCAGCAACACTGTATAGTATTCCAAGATTTTAAAAATGTCTAACTGTATAGTCCGTCGTACCATAACACGTGGCTTATTGTGTGTTTGGATGGGTGGGGTGTGTATGCGATATAAAATAAGTCTCCCGTGTAGACTGGCAACAACGTTGAAGGTTTGGGATTGTAGGGCTAGCCTATTATAGCCTACAATCCTACATAGACCACATTAGCCACTGTCCCTTCAGCGTGGATAATGATTGTGAAGATTGTATATCAGAAGCGTAGCAACCCTTCCCGGCGCCCGGGGACGAACTTTCAATCTGGCGCCCCGCTCGGGATCAACTTTTCAACTTTCGATTTGCACCCCCCCCCCCTCTCTCATACTTTCGATTGGCAACCCCCCCCCCCCCCATCAAACTTTCGATTTCCATTCCCCCCCCCCCCCCATCATCATATATTTTTTATTTTATTTATAAAGCAAAAATGCAGCTAAAATGAGATTTTAATTTGTTTTTCCAACCCATTTTGGCGCCCCCTAAGGTCGGCGCCCGGGGACATATGTACCCCCCCCCCCCCCCGCCCCGCCCCCTTCGCTACGCCTCTGTTGTAGATTATGCCTAAGTGAATACCGTCATTACTTCTTCCCTTCCCCCTTCGTATCAAGAAGTTAAAGCTAATTTTATGACGCAGAAAAAAAAAAGCAAACAACCTTAAACGTAGTACTAAAGTTAGTCTAATGTATTGTTTGTAACTTTCCCTAATTTTAACTATCACTTTAAATTTAATCTGCTTCGAACAAAAAGATGTCTACTAATTTATTGATGTCCACTTGTTTGGTAGGTGTAGATAGGTTGTGATGTCCACTAGTTGGGTTGGTGTAGGTGCAGTCAGGTTGTGATGTCCACTTGTTTGGTAGTTGCCTATTTAAAACAAATGAGATGTAGTTATATAAGTGTGTATTTCCATAAGCAATACATTTTCTGTTCATTTTTACTTTTTCATATACAAAGTAAAGAGGAAGTATTGTAATTGTTACACATCCCTGAGTTGGATAAACATAGTTTTGTAATTTTGTCCATGTATATGTGTGTGTCTGTCTGTGAACATGGTAACTTGAGTATCGTTACAGCTAAGTTGATGAAATTTCATTTATAAGCATTATATCAAACTAGTAGTTCTGTAACAACTTTTCAGCGATTTCCGGAAATGAACTTATTCTACTTTTCATTCATCTATTTATCTGAATTAGTACTCAAGTACTTTTTAAAAATTAAATTTCGCATGAAAGTAAAAGATCTAGTTCTCTGCCTTTTTTCAAATTTTGCGTAATTTCCGTTGACCAGAAGTAGTAATTTACACTATTTCTGATTTCTCAAAAGAATTTATAAAGTACTAATATTCTACACTATTATATTGTTTGCCGTTCACTTGGTGTGCACTTTTTTTTCTACGAGATTCTATTCTATTTTTAAAAGTAAGTATTTAGAAATTAATTAAAAATCATATCTATATCCCAAGATGCCATTCTCCGTAGTGTTATACAAGAAATTTTAGGGGAGATCACTCCCGGTTTATTTTTTTTTTTTGCACCTAACATACAAGTGCTGGTACAACTGGCACCCAAAGTGTAAATCTGCCATACAGTCAGTGACTGGTTGGCAGAGGCGTAGCGACCCCTCCTGGCGCCCGGGGACAAACTTTCGATTTGCACCCCCACCCCCTCGAACTTTTCATTTGCACCCTCCCCTCCAACTTTCAATTTAGCGCCCCCCTAAGGTCGGCGCCCGGGGACATATGTCCCCCCCCGCCCCCCCCCCCTCGCTACGCCTCTGCTGGTTGGTCAGTGACTGGTGGTTGTCCTTGACTTCCGTGACTGGTGGTTGTCCGTGACTGGTTGTCATATAAATATGTCAGTGACAGGTGGTTGTCAGTAAAAAAAAAGTAAGTAAAGTTTCCCTTTCAAACCTGACGGTCTATGGGGCAGGTGAAGTAGAGTTCACTTGTTTCTGTGACCTCGGCATATGAAGAGATAGTGTGGTCAGCACTATGCCCAGCCGCCTTTACTCTCCCTAACGTGAGTTAGGTACCCATCAGAGTTGGGTGGACTCAGGGACGGTCTACTGGCTTGAACCCGGATTCGAACTCGAGACTTACGGGTTAGCAGTCCAGCTCTCTACCGCTAGACCACTCCGTCCCTTGGTTGTCAGTGATGTGGTGGTTTTCAGTGACTGGTGGTTGCCAGTGATGTGGTGGTTTTCAGTGACTGGTGGTTGTCCGTGACTGGTTGTCATATAAATATGTCAGTGACAGGTGGTTGTCAGTGATGTGGTGGTTGTCAGTGACTGGTGGTTGCCAGTGATGTGGTGGTTTTCAGTGACTGGTGGTTGTCAGTGACTGGTTGTCATATAAATATGTCAGTGACTGGTGGTTGTCAGTGACTGGTTGTCATATAAATATGTCAGTGACAGGTGGTTGTCAGTGACTGGAGTGCTTTCATCGCTTCCCACCAGACAATGTTTATTTAAAGAGAGCTGTCCTTAAAATAAAATTTGTGTGACACTGCACTAAAAAAATTGTTTTTGATTGACCTCGCTCATAAAACACAACCAGAGAGTAAATTACATTAGACTAGGCCTAGCCTACATTGTCAGATCTGCATGTGTTAAGTGGACGGATCACATAAGTTGTAGGGCTGTTTGTGTATAGTGAAATTTTCCAAGAAGCCATTCAGCCGAGTTCTCTCGATGAAACATTGAAAGAGAGTTCACTAACTGTGTCATGAAATGAACAAGTATAAAAGTAATATTGGTGGGCTTTTGTGAATAGAGATCAGAGTTTCTTCCAGGCATCTCTCCGGGAGGGGGCAAAGATCCCCCCCCCCGAAAAAATTTTTACCGCCCCCCCCCCCCCCGAACGAAATGAAATTTATACAATTCATATAGAAAATATATACTTTTAATAGTGTCCAATTTTGAGGGGGAGGGTGTTAGCTGAGATGTGACCTCATTTTAGGGGGGGGGGTCTGGCTTTTGTGACGATGTGTGACGAAGGGAGAAGTTAAAACTAAACGCTAAATTATGGTCACACCGAAAACATAAACTTAGACATCATAACATCAAAATGAAAAAACCCAAAATGGTAGCCTTAGTATACATAAAGCTCAATAAATTAGTAAACAATAGTAAACATCTTTTTGTTCGAAGCAGATTAAATTTAACGTGCTAGATAAACTTAGGGAAAGTTACAAATAATACATTAGACTAAAGTAACTTTAGTACTACGTTTAAGGTTGTTTGTTTTTGTTGTTTTTTTAAAGCATGTTTGTGTGGTCAACTCTGGAGATGGTTACCACATTAGGTAAAAATCTCTGGAAAATATTTTTATAACCATAGTTAACAGTTAAAAAGAGAAAGAAACAAAGCAAAAGAAAAAAATCCAACTTTCGTAAACTAGGCAACACCCGGAAATGGAATACCGCCATGTTTTACTTACATAGAGATGTGTAAACAATCGAGTCTAAGCTTAGAAACCAACTCTTTTTAAATTTGAGAATGAAATTTAAACAATTAAGTTATCAGTTGCACTTTGATGACTTTAATATACATCAGGGAGTTACTGTTCTACTAGTGTCGGACAAAAAACTCGCCTGTAAGTAAAAGTAAGTGTTTTCGGACAGAACAGTTTGAGTTAAAGTTCTAAAATTTAAAATCTAAAAGTTGTGAACTTGAATTACCTAGACCACCTACACTGAGACACTCCTACACTTACACACACTACACTTACACTTTTACTTGAGACTTGAGTCACAATAACTCTCCTCTCACCATTCTAACTCTAACTAAAAGTAAAAAGCTTTAAGTTTATATAATAATATAAGGTAATCTATCGTTTTGGGTACGTAAAATCGCCCGCGGCTAGTAATGTACGAAAAAGTTACCTCATTGTCAAGGCTTTAATAGAAGTATATTTTGATATATTTGTGTCAAATATTATAGATAAATGAATAACTAACCTAAATCAATAGGTAAATATATCAATATAGGCAAGAAATTAACTTTAAACAGCAGTGTTTGCGAGCAGGATTTCCTATATAAACAGCAGCCATTTGTAAAATAGAGTTGCCTTCCCCTGATCTCGCGCTATAAGTTAACAAAGAAAGAACTTAAACAAGATGGCTGCTATAGTAAATGAGCATGGTTGCATCTGTTGGAAACATCGCTAGTATTCATTTATTATTGAAAAGTTTTAATTCAATTGTTTGAAAACAGGTACATAAATGAAACAAGGAAACATATTTGTATTTTTCAAAACACAAATCCTCCTCAAAATGTGAAATAATTATTAAAATTTAAGGAGTCACCTGTTTTTCACATTACTAGTCACCGGCGATTTTACGTACCCAAAACGATAGATTACCTAATATAAATATTTAATATAGTTAGGTTCTAACTCAAACTACTACTAGTTCACTACTGACTACTCTAGACAAGATACTAGACCTAGTTAAGATTTCTAGATCTAGTAGTAGGTAACTACTAAATAAATATAGTAACTAACTACAGTTAATTTTATTGAAATATTTAATATTGTTGAGTCCTTGACTATCAGTTACTAGACTAGTAGTAATTTAGACAGATTAGTTTACTAGTTTACTAGATCTATTACCCCCCAAAAGTTAAGAACAGTTTAACTTATTCAAGGCTAAAGGCTAAAACTATCAAAGTATTCATAATTTTTATATTGTCCCTTGATTTCCTGGTTACTTTAGCAGACATAAGTAGCAGTTTAAAACTGAATGTGTTTTTTACATCTTTATTTTGTCACCTGATGTTTCCCATCCACATTTAAAAATCAAATAGGTTGAATTACACCCACGAAGTACGGTGAATGTTAAAAAATTGACTCCTAAATATAGCAATCATCACCTCAGGATGACAATTGGAATGAGCGGCACACATTACAATAATAAAAAGTACTGCCAGATTTTATAATTGAATTTCTATTTCTACTTTATTTTATTTTCAGCTATGATGTAGTTCACTCAAAATTTCATTTCCATGTTGAGGCGAAGACGGCAGCGTGTTGGTCCCTCAGATAACAATGGCACAATGATAGAGATCCGTCCCGGACGTAAGCTGAGAATTCGACATTTTAATGCCAAACCAAGAGATGAAAAATTTGAAAAAGAAATGCAGCTGTATATCCAAAACAAGCAAAGAAATGCTCACATATCAGGCCCCCTTACTATGCCAAAAATGGCTCATAACTCAACACAATTGAACAAACCTTTTTGTGATAATCTCATGCTAAATGAAAAATTAAGTGCAGGAGACGGTTTACAGTCTGAGAAGCAGTACACATCTGAGGTTACATTAAGTAAAGTAGCACATATATCCCCTGCTAAGTCATTAACAAAGAGCATGAATTATGAAGGAGAAACAAATTCTTTTACAGGAAGTGCAGCAGAATCACCATTGCATCATGGGATTACAGAGAAGAATATTAGGTCTGCCTCTAGTGTTCAGGTGTCATTACATAATGCTGGCAGAAGACTCAATGATATACAACCCTCTAACGAATCAGGTCTTTCACAGTTGAGAGAAGATGAACGTGAAAAGCAATATAATGAGCTGCCAAGTTCACTTGATCTTCGTAATTCTACGCCCCATTCTAAAATACATGATGTGTCCTCCCATCCCGACTTGCAAAAGCAACTACAGAATCAAATTTCAAGTTCTAGTGAATCATCTACATCAAATCAAAAACTTACTCATGAAGACGTTGTTTTATTTTTTATTCATGGAGTAGGTGGCTCCTCTGATGTGTGGTGTTCACAGTCTAAATATTTTGCGAGTCGAGGATATGAGATTGTCATTCCTGACTTGATAGGGCATGGATTTAGCTGTGCACCCAAAAATGCCAAAGCTTATCATTTTAAAGAAATAGCTGCAGACTTAGAAGAACTGTTTGATAAATATTGCAAGAGAAGAAATATTATTGTTGGTCATTCATATGGGTAGGTTTAGAACAATTTTTCAAATGAAAATATTGGGTTCGTAGTGACCGACTTTTTAGTGTGGTTAAAAATAGTTGATTGTGTTAAATCAAATGCTCAAATATTTGATTAAAAATTTCTAATCCAAATAGGGAGATTTACTAATTTTTTAAATTGTGCATTCATCATATAAAATGTTTTATTTTATCTGCAGTGCATCTTTTGCTACATTGTTAGCCAGAAACAGACCCAGGCGCGTCTACAAGTTAATACTTATAAGTGGCGGGCCACCTACCCCACTGGCTCCCCAGCCTGGGGTTTTCACCCTGCCCTACTGCTTGCTGGCCTGCATAAAGCCATGCCTTGTCTGTGGGTTCCACAAGTAAGTGTTCTGGCTTGGTTAAAAAAACTTTACTTCATCTGCCCAAAGGATCATTAGGTCTGAAAGGGGAATATTTAAAGTTTGTTCCTTGACATCGGCATATGAAGGGGTGGTGTGGTCAGAACTATGACCAATGCCTAGTTTGAGTCAGGTCTGTGCAGGGCAGCAGACTCAAGTTCGGACTGAGATTCAAACTTGAGACTTTCATGTTAGCAGTTCAGTGTTCTATCACTGGACCACACCCTCCCATGTCAACATATTTTCTGTACTAAAATTTACATAGCTGTTGTAGCCAAAGTGTACAAAATTTTTATACCGATGCAAATTATTCTCCAGGTTTGCATGTTTTAATCTTTTACATAAACCAATCGATAATTATTCCTTTAAGTTCAATTTGATGGAGCAATTATTTCTAGTATTTCTACCCTGACCCCAACGTTGATAACAAAACTTTGAGAAACCACTTTGCGCAAACAGCATATGTTTTCATTGTTTTTCAAGGTCTTCTTAGTACTACCAGCTTATACTTTGTGTTTTATAGAGGTGCGTTTCACAAAAGAAGAAAACCTGTGATCTCAAAGGAAGAAGCCTTTAACGTGCCTGCCTATGTCCTGCAGAATGTGATGAATGGTCAGGACTGGCCTGATGGGGACGAGCTGTTTCACAACTGGCTTACCTGCCCTTGTTTGCTCATCTATGGGGATCAGGATCAGCTGGTGTCACTCAGGGATGAGGAGGAGATGGCCAAGGTTTGTTGTGTAGATGGCCAAGGTTTGTTGTGTAGATGGCCAAGGTTTGTTTTGTAGATGGCCAAGGTTTGTTGTGTAGATGGCCAAGGTTTGTTTTGTAGATGACTAAGGTTTGTTTTATAGATGGCCAAGGTTTGTTGTGTAGATGAGATGGCAACCTGATCTACACAACAAACCTTGGCCAAGTTGTGTTGTGTAGACCAGGGGAGATGGCCACACTGTCAGCCAATTTTATATAGTATTCAATATTTAATAGAACACATTAACAGTCTCCTATCACCTGCCATGTATTTAAATGGAATAAAATATTGAAGCTAACAAGTCTTGTGGTTTAAGATTCAAATCTACACTGAAATTAATTTGTTTTCCTTCAATCATTATTTCATGCCTTGAAAAGGGGGATAACTGCTATTGATGTTAAATTGTCTTCCAAATTTTTTCAGGTTTTATTGAACTCAAAGCTTCAAGTGATCAGAGATGCTAGCCACATGGTGATGATAGAGGCACCAGATGAAGTGAATCAACTCTTGGAACAGTTCATCCACGAACCTGAAGGTCCATCCACTGGCTACCGTAACAACTATGCAGCTCAGAAGTGCCTAAATCAGTCAACGTCTTTTACCAACAGCCAAAAATCTTCAAAGCATACTTTACCTCAAACCTTTATAAGTAAAAGTATTCTAATTTAAAATAATTATTAGGTGTTTTTAAGGGTGTTTTAATTTTTATTTTTATTGATTTACTATAAATAAAATGCATTATTTCTAGCTACAGTCTATTAAGAATTGTAATGGTTTGTCAGCTAGTAACTAGAATCTAAATTAAACTCATTATAAAAACTCATTATAAAATAAATACAAATGAGTACAAATACTACCTGTTATTTTGTTGTATTGTACCTAAGGATGTTACACTAAACTCAGTATTTCAGGACTACTTTGTGTCTTTCAGAAATTATGATGATGTTAATCCTGTATAAACCATGAGTCTAAGAGCTCATAAGTGATGATGTTAAACCCTTTATATTTCACAAGTATTATATCTCAATCTTATTCCCACCATAATTCATAGGTGTTAATAAGATTTCAATCTCAAAACCTTTTAGGTTGGTTTATATTCGCTCTACCAGATATTGTATTCTGTGCATAGGAAAAAAAAATTTAAATTCTATTGACTGGCTCTAATCTATAGAACCTTGACTCAGCTCTGATGGGTACCTGTCATGAGTCTGGGAAAACAAAGGCAGATGGACATGCCACTGATAACGCTATTTCTTTAAAGAAACAGATGAACTCTTCTTAATCTGCCCTATAGATCATCTGATCTGAAAGGGTACCTAACTCCTTTTTGTTTTTTATCTTATCTAAAAGGGTAGGCTACTCTTATGGAAATCTACATTTTTTTTTGTGTATTTATTTATTTATTTTTATGATTGTTATAAACTCTTGCTGTTTAATAAATTGGTCTTAAATTTTTAAATATCTATCAGGATTTATTGTTTAATAATTCTGTTTCTGAAACACCAAGCTATCTGTTGAAGAATGCAGAAACAAACATCAATTCCTTTGTTGTTAGTAGTAAGCTACTTCTATCTTTTTTAATTTTCTAAATATTACTATGTTTAGAGCATCTATTTCTTTAATGTAATTCATAAATCATAATTTTGTAAAATATTTTTGCTTTTCTCAAAAAAAAAAATATAAACACATTTGAGTTACTTTTCGCTTATCCTAACCTCTAAGTCTAACTGTTAAAATCTAAAATAAAATGTTTTTACACGACTTACTGCTTTATAATTTTTTTTTTATATTTTATGTTTATCTTTCATAGTTTCAATCTTTAAAAAATTGGTGCATAAGTGTGTGTACATTTTTTCCTCAAGTTTAAATGAGTTTTTTAGAGTATACTTGTTTTCTATACTTTGGTTAAATTTGACTATATTAGCTTACATTAAGTTTGACTAAGGTTAAGTTGGACTAGGTTAGGTTAAGTTTGACTACGTTAGGTTAAGTTGGAGTAGGTTAGGTTAAGTTGGTCTAGGTTAGGTTAATTTGACTGTGGTTAAGTTAGCCTTTCATCCACATGGACAGGCAAAGTACACAACAATTGTCCAGGCCATTTATGACCTTAGTGTGTCCAATTGTCCCTTTTGGGGTAATACAACTTTTTGTCCCTTACCTTATTATTGCTGGGTTTTTTAATGAGAAGCTTTTTTTTTATTTTTGTTAAATAAATATGATGTAAACAATTTCATAGGACAAGTAGCAACAGTACAGGTGGTGTGGGTGTGTCACTTTCTTACATACAAGGACAAAACCATGATATAATATGTAAATTATTTCAGCTATTTTGTTTTCCCATTTTTACAGGTTTGAGTTGTTTTTTTTTTATTTTTGGTGAAGTATTCTTGTAAAAGTACTCCTTCAGAACTGATAGCATAGGGCATGATATGATAAAGGCAGCTGGGCAAAGTACTAAAACCTGTTCATATGACTAAGGCAGACTCATGCCTGGTACCCATTAGAACTGGGTACACTCAACGAATTCCCTGAAGACACACACCACAGGTGCCAACATCAAGACTTTCTCATTAGCTACCATTTCACAATATTCAAGTATTTTTATTTTAAATACCACATGCACTGTCACATTTTAAAAATGAAAAAAAAAACTGATCAGATGAAAATTCTCCTGAGAGCTCTTCCCTAGTGTTGTTCAAGTAGTAAAATAAACATTCAGAATCTTTGATCCCTATGGCGTTGAACCCAAAGCATTGCAACCTGACTGCCAGAAGATGATTAGTACATACCATTGTCACTTAAGTCATCTTTTTACTTGGAAGCATGTTAAAAAAATTGTGTATTAATAATTGATGTGTGCTTGCGTTCATTTGAAAACATTTAGCCCTCTGTGCGTCATTATAGTCCAATGTAAGTTTAGATTGGTTGTAAGAAATATTGTTGTGTCCTTGTTAACTGGGCTTTATTCACTAACCCCTTTTGTCTGAACTTAATTGACTGGCCCCTTTTGTCTGAACTTAATTGACTGGCCCCTTTTGTCTGAACTTAATTGACTGGCCCCTTTTGTCTGAACTTAATTGACTGGCCCCTTTTGTCTGGACTTAATTGACTGGCCCCTTTTGTCTGACTTAATTGACTGGCCCCTTTTGTCTGAACTTAATTGACTGGCCCCTTTTGTCTGAACTTAATTGACTGGCCCCTTTTGTCTGGACTTAATTGACTGGCCCCTTTTCTCTGGACTTAATTGACTGGCCCCTTTTCTCTGGACTTAATTAACTGGCCCCTTTTGTCTGAACTTAATTGACTGGCCCCTTTTGTCTGGACTTAATTGACTGGCCCCTTTTGTCTGGACTTAATTAACTGGCCCCTTTTGTCTGAACTTAATTGACTGGCCCCTTTTGTCTGAACTTAATTGACTGGCCCCTTTTGTCTGAACTTAACTGACTGGCCCCTTTTGTCTGAACTTAATTGACTGGCCCCTTTTGTCTGGACTTAATTGACTGGCCCCTTTTGTCTGAACTTAATTGACTGGCCCCTTTTGTCTGAACTTAATTGACTGGCCCCTTTTGTCTGGACTTAATTGACTGGCCCCTTTTGTCTGACTTAATTGACTGGCCCCTTTTGTCTGAACTTAATTGACTGGCCCCTTTTGTCTGAACTTAATTGACTGGCCCCTTTTGTCTGGACTTAATTGACTGGCCCCTTTTGTATGGACTTAATTAACTGGCCCCTTTTGTCTGAACTTAATTGACTGGCCCCTTTTGTCTGGACTTAATTAACTGGCCCCTTTTGTCTGAATTTAATTAACTGGCCCCTTTTGTCTGAACTTAATTAACTGACCCCTTTTGTCTGAACTTAACTGACTGGCCCCTTTTGTCTGAACTTAATTGACAAGCCCCTTGCGTCTGGACCACGATATTGTTCCAAGTCATCTTTAACCACTGACTGCATACGTCATGCAAGATACCCGTGAGCTGGGGACCGGTTTCCGCAGTTTAGCTATTCGCTGATCAAAAACTGCTACTTGAGTACACTAAACATTTCCAGTTTTCGCCTCATGTGAGGAAATTACTGCAGCACCGCAAAGCACACGTGCAGAAAGGTTTAGTCCCAATGTTATGTATAAAGTCTACAAAATAATATTCACCGCCTTCGGGAAGACTTCCCAATATGTAGAGTTTTACCAATGGTTGCAGATGGAGAAATTCTCATTACTGCTCCAGGTGATAAGTGTATCATAATTCTTTGCCTGAAGTTGAACTCCCGATTTTTAATGAACAATCAGAGGATAAAAAACTTTAAACACACAACTGAAGTCTACAATTACCGAAACACAAACAGCTATAGAAACAGAATCTCAAGCCTGTAATATACATCCGTCAATGCGAATACGCCTCAATTAAACCAGAGATTACCCTCTAATGAACTTTGCTAATGAATTGATAATTAAAGTCATTGATGTGCTGCAGAAGACAGAGCTCTCAGGGACTAAAGCTCAGCTCCCGCGAGAAAGCTCTGATTCGAACCACCTGGGCGGATATCACAAAGCAGATTGAGGAAGTAGGTGTGGAATCTTTCTTAAATCTGTTTACCACACACACACACGCCATTGACTCATTTCTGAAATTTAAAGACACCGACATTAAGGATTTGGCGACAAGCGCACTGCTAAAGTCGCACAGCCTAAGAGTGACGAATTTTGTAAACAAATGCATCAATCGGCTGGAAAATCCGGAAGGCATGGCCAATATGGCTGTAGAGTTGGGCATGTCTCATTTAGACAACAACGTGAAAGAGGAGTACTTGAACACGCAGACAGCTACATCAATGCGATAGCCAAGAGGTGTCGCGAGACTTGGAGCCGCGAGGCGAGACTGGCGTGGGAGAAGCTGTTTGATTTCATACTGCGCAACATGCAAGTTGGTATAGCTCTTCAAAAAAAAAAGAGAGACTCACGGCATAAATAATCTCAAGAAAAAAACTTTTTTAAAGGTGACCAGTTCTTTCTCACGTCACAGATTGAACATAATTAATTGTACTGATTCTAAAATTACAAAACAACAAAAATAAACTCACAAATTACTTTCATGTAGTGTATGTAGTAATTTTATTTACATAAAGTTGATATAACGCCTCAGTACTCGTATTTTTAACAGGTATTCAAAAGAGTAAAATCATTTGAATACAATAAGCATTTTTTGTTTGTTGAAGGTTGTCGTTTTTGTTGTCTAAACAGTTCTTTGAATAAAACTTAGGAGTTAAGATTAGTCATATTGGTTGTTTTCATGGCAATCAAGACAAAAACAGTTCTGAACAACGCGCAAATCCCCTCTCGAGGGGGGCACGTGATATTTTCGGAGGGAGGTGGACTAAGGGGGGGGGGCGGTTTACTTTCTTTGGAGGGACAGAGCCCCCTCCCCCTCCTCCAAAGCAGAGGCGTAGCCCGGGGACAAACTTTCGATTTGCACCCCCCTCAAAGTTTCAATTTGTTTTTCCAACCCATTTTGGCGTCCCCTAAAATCGGCGCCCGGGGATATATGTCCCTCTCCCCCCCCCCCCCCCTCGCTACGCCTCTGCTCCAAAGAGATGCCTGCTTCCAGCGACTCAGCCCCGTAGCTGCCTGTCCTTCCTAAACACACCACCTGATATTCCCCTCAAACCACACTACCTCTACCCCCATCAAACTCAACCCCTCCCACCTACCCCTCCACATAAAAAACACCTTCCTTGCTCCCCCCCCCCTCTCTTCATATACCAACCATAACAGCTTCCCAACCACCCATCCTACTCTTTTTTATTTTGCTTCATTAGGTTTTCAATTACAAAAAAATTGACCAAAACAATTGATACAAATTCACTTATAATAATAATTTTATTTTGATTTCATGAATAAACTTTACTGTAATGGAATACAAAATGTGACGGTGAAATGTTCAAAATAACTTAGATTTAAGGGTTTGTCGCTTATCATGTAACTCAATTTTGACCCAGTTCTAGTTTAATGCAGCAATTTTGTTTAAACTTTCCAGATATATTCATCTCCGAATGACAATGCAAGAATATCTTATTTTTAATCATATTTGCTATTAAATAAGTCATCAAAAATGAATTTAAGTGAACTGGTCACTGATACTGACTAAGAAGGGGCAGATAGTTTTTTTTTAAATCACAAGCCACTGATTTGGCTTTCAAGCAAAGGTTAAGAATTTTAAAGAAAGCAAGTGTTTCATTTTCTTATTTTAAGTATACAGAAAAAGTTTTAAAAAGTTACAGGATAAAAAAAAATAATGCCATACAACGACGTAGTCCAGACATGAACTATGTGATGCCATCATTAAAACTGATGCAATATCTTTTAAGGTTAGAAGAAGCTTTGAGATAGACTATATGGTATGGTGATTGTGTCTCCATTTCTGTTAGTAAATAATAAAATTATCATTAAAAAATTCACTAAAAACAAAACAAAATCTAATTCAATTGATACTCGTCAAACACCAGGGTGATTGGGACTTTATACACGACTTGGCATTATCACCACAAAGCCAGTTGTTTTAACTGTATGGTGCTTAAAGCTCGTGATCAACACAAGTGAAGGAGACAAACAAGCTAGACAATTGTGTAAATAGCTGCCTATGGTCAATATTAAATACTAGGAGGTTTAGTAAATTACTTGACATAACATCATGGGAAAAAGACAGGACAAATCCCAGTGGAGCAAGACATTTGGGGAAAAGACAGGACAAATACCAGTGGAGCAAGACATTTGGGGAAAAGACAGGACAAATCCTAGTGTAGCAGACATTTGGGAAACATACAAGACAAATCCCCCCAGTGAAGCAAGACATTTGGGAAAAAGACAGGACAAATCCCAATGGAGCAAGACATCTGGGGAAAAAGAATATAGTTATTGGTGACTTCCTTACTATTTTGACTATTTCAATCAAACGCATGACAAAGCAGACGCATTTTTCTCTTTGCTATTGATAGACCTAGATATATATTAGTATTATGATAGTATAATATTTTGAGATAGTAGGCCTACATATTATTATTAATAAAGCATAGAAAAAATTAAAATAAAATACTAATAGTCAGTGATAATAAAATTGGCTGAGATTGTATTGAATTTTTAAAAATCATTTTATCTGGCATTCAAACAAGGGAATGCACTCTAACGGTCATGCTTTGCTGAGAGTTAGATCTAGAGTTAGAAACTGAGTAAAAAAAAGCACTTGGTCACATCAGTGCCTGTAGGCTTTTTATTTTTTAGGGCTTAGGGTAAAGAATCTACAAAGTTTTAAGAAGATTATAGACTCTTAGATAGATCAAGATCTTCTTGCACACAACCCACATTGTCACTGTGACATTTCATAACATTAACGCAAACGTTTCTAGTCTCTAGACTCTAGACTACTATATTATACACACACACACTACTAGATTCTAGATCTAGATTAGATTAGATCTACTACGCTAGTCTCTGTACTCTGTAGTGTACAGTAAAACTGTTGATTTGATTGTATTGTAACTTTGTTGATTCCTAGACTAGATTCTAGATGTCATCTAGGCACTAGTCACTGACTCACGGCAGTAGACTAGAATCTAATCTAGATCTAGATCTAGAAATTCAACTCAATACATTTACAAGATTCTAGATAATATTATCTACTATCTAGGGCCCTCTATATTAATATTTGGTAATCTATCGTTTTAGGTACGTAAAATCGCCCGCGACTAGATCTAGTAATGTGAAAAACAGGTGACTCCTTAAATTTTAATAATTATTTCACATTTTGAGGAGGATTTCTGTTTTGAAAAATACAAAAATGTTTCTTGGTTTCATTTATGTACCTGGTTTTAAACAACCGAATTAAAACTTTTCAGTAATAAATGAAGACTATCAATGTTTCCAACAGATGCAACCATGCTCATTTACTATAGCAGCCATCTTGTTTATTTTTTTTTATTGTATTCTTATAGCACAAGATTCAGGGGAAGCCACTCTAACTTACAGATGTACGCTTTTTATATAGCAAATCCTGCTCACAAACACTGCTGTTTAAAGTTAATTTCTTGCCTATATTCAACATATTGATATATTAATAATTAGCCATTTATTTAGGTTTATTATTCATTTATCTATGATATTTGAATTTGACACAAATATTTCACAATATACTACTATTAAAGCCTTGACAATGAGGTAACTTTTTCGTACATTACTAGCCGCAGCCAATTTTACGTGCCTAATGCGATAGATTACCAAATAAGTTATAGAATCTAAATAACTTGTCTAATGTCTGCTTTAGTAACATTTTAGTTTAACTGTTTTTCCCTCCCTTTCCCTCTGATACACAATCACTTGCAACTTTTTCACAGTGTTTCTTTTCTGCAAACTGTTTCACTTGTAGATCAGGTTACTTGTGTCTCAAATTTTGCCTTCACATAACAGCTCATATCTGAGAAATCTTATAGATTGGGGGACTCATTCTTCGATTTTCCACTGTATGTATATGACTATGAAGACAGTGTTATTGTAAAATAAACAAGTGCCCGCAAGTGTTATTTCTTAAATTATTTAATTTAAACCTTGTCTTTATTAAATACTAGGGCCTACAGTTTTAGCTATTATTTTGTTTTAAATAATATAATTTTTTAAACTTCTGTATACAGTGTCTAGTGTTTATAATGCATGAAATATGTTTATGGCAGCCGCTACAAACAATAGGTCCTAAAAGGCTGCATAGTGATGTAATTGGCAGAATAGAACCCAGGTGATGATTACTAACAGGCAAATAGTTGCAAATTGATATTGGGCCCAGTAAAAATTTCAGATGTCAGATTTTTAGTTATTCTCCAAGGTGGTAGTGGGTAAACTGCAAGTGGTCGACAATTTTTCAACTTTTTTCATTCTGATTTCTTATTTTACCATTTTGTATTATTAAAATTATTGCATCTTGAAATCTACCAACGCCTGTTTTATTTATTAAATAACTAATTATTGGCAAATGATAAATTGTAATAAAAAAAAAATATAGGCCCTAATGTGTTGGTTTTTTTTTTTTTTCAGAAATCATATGTGCAAAGTACCTAAAACTCAGCTGAAATAAAGTTATTGCCATGAAAACTTTGTAAGACAAGAGAAACTATAATTTTATGTGTAAATAGAAAATGTCATTACCAGAAAGCTTTCAGTCTCAAGTGTCTGAGGCCTTATTAGTTACCATTCCTGACACCAACCGTGAATCTGCACATACCCATATGGAGAAATCCCATCTCTGTTCAACAACACCCAAACTAACAGATAACGGGAAGACTGATTGTTGCCATTTGATAAAGAAAAAGGGTTCAGTCCATTCGGCACAGAAAATGAATGAGCCAGTTTTTGTTAAGTTGTATACTTCAGGAGATAAATTTCTTGTGAGTATATGATCAATGTAATGTACATAGCAATCTAGTGCAGTTAATTTCATTCTCATTTACCATTTTTTAATAACTAATAGCATGTAATATCTTTTTATGTATTTATCTGGTTTTTACTAACTCACATTCGTGTACTTCTTTTAAAAGATACTTCAAAATATACTTAATAATACATTAGCCTGAATTGTTTTCCTTAAATAAATTATTTACAGACTGTGCAAGAAAGATTAGAAGAACTGCAAAGAAACAAAGCTAGCAAGGAAAGTGAAAGTCTTTTAAATGAAGGAGTAGCAAAGTTGATAAATCTGGTTGATAATCAGCACTGTGATGAAGATGCATTGTTTGAGGAAAGTTTCAATAATCGTGAGCACATCAAAAACCTGCCAATGGAAGAGGCTTGCTGGACTATTGGAGAAATAGAACTCTGTAATCTTCTTTCTTGTTTTTTTTTAATCTATGTATGTTTTCTGAACTAGAAAAGTTTTCTGGTGACAGAGAAGATTAAGTAGAGTTGATCTATTTTGATGAACTCTGCATTAATAAAGTATAAAGGAAAATGTAAATACTTTGAACCAAGGGTATTTTTTTATTATTATACTTTGTGCTATTATACCCAGTGCTATACCTTGCATTAAGTGGTAATTCTTTTTCAAATATGGATACCTAGTTAACTCCAGAGATGTAATCATCTTAACTTTTTTTTTACTTTCAGTAATTTTTCCCAACGGCAAAATCCTGCGCTTGATGGCATTGATGAGTATCTCTCTAAACTCAGTCAGCCAGACTCTGCTAACCAGTATTGCATCTAAAGATACCATATCTTACAAAGAGCAAGCCATGCGCCTTTTTTATCATGCCTGCCTTCACCCACATAGAAAAAAGCCAAGACGACCCCAAAGCATTTTGCTTCGAAGTACACCTGATGCTGAGTAAGTCTTTAATCAGTTATATGCTTTTAAAAAACCCACTGGAAGTTAACTTCATTAAGGGAATAGATGGCTTGAATTCTAATGTTTCTGATACTTATGTTTGTTAATTGAGTTCCATTGTAAAACAATACAAAGAAATGTTCCAATCAACTGCTACAGGATTAAATAAATGTTTGAATAGCTACAGGATTATATAAATATTGGAATAACTTAACCTTATGATTATGTGTGAGTTACCCTTTTTTAATCTGGCGGTCCAAAAGGCAATTAAAGTAGAGTTCATCTGTTTCTGTGACCTCTGCTTATAGGGCTGGTAAGTAGGTCACCAACCAGTTCTGTGGCTCATGCAGGTTTTATTGAGCCGTAGAGCTGGTTGGTGACCTACTTATCAGCCCTATAAAAGGATAGTGTGGTCAGTAAATCGACTAGTAGTTGTGTGTTCTACCTCCTGACCACTACATGCCATCAATAGTGTGTACTGTGTGGGATGTACTTTTCACTAATACAAAAAGTATGTGATGTGAAAGATGACAGTATTGAAGTTCAAATATTTATCTTTCATTGACTTTGTTTCAGGGGTGTTGAGCTTGATGTTGCAGAGTTTGGTGTCTACTTCATTGATTCCATGAGAAAGTCTAAGAAAAAAATCAGAAAGTTTTCCAATCTGCCTGAGCATATTTCATTTCATATGTGCTGCGAATGTGGTCTGAGAGGAACCATTGATATGTTTCAAACATGGTAGAGCTACTTTTTTGGGTTTTTTAAATTGAGATCATCATTGTTGTTGGTTTATAAGTTTTTCACCTCTGTATGTACAAGTAGTATTGTATTGACATTTAATTTTTTTTATTTTTATAATACTGTTATGATTAAGATAAGGGTTAGGCTAAAGTTAGCCTTACTAGCAAAAAAAAAGGTTCTTGATACACCCTGACATTGATCAAAGAAGTATTTTTAATAAACTTTAATTTAGATTACATATTGTTTTTAAAATTTAACAATACTTGAAATTCCTCTCTTCCAACGATTATCATACACATACAACATTATCAACTCCTCATCATTATTAAATAGTTACGCCCTTGCTTCTGATAGCTGTCACATCAGATTTATATGTAAGATACTTTTAAAGCATGAGTTGCTTGAATGGATTTGATTGGATGTCTTCCCCAGCCCACATTGTGAGGCTGTTCTCTACTGTGATGAAGAGTGCAGAAGCAAAGCTTGGCAAGACAAGCACAGTCCCTGGTGTGAGCACTTCAAGACATTCATGAAGATGGAATCTTGTCTTGCAGATCTGCCGTTTGAGTTTGCTAAAAGTAATTGATAACCTGAAAATTACAATTTCTTTAAATAGCCTCATCTTATAACAAAGTAAACTTCATATGATTTAGACTGAAAGATTTGGTGTCGAAATAGGCTTTTTAAAAAAATTGTTTTGTTTTGATTTGTTAAACTTCATTGGTTGTAATGTTTAAATGTTTATTAAGATTCAACAAGTCGAGATTTTCGACCACATAAACTTCAAGAGTTGTTGATTGAAAATGATGTCTACAAGAAGGGCCTCTGGAGAAGAGAATGTCCATCTTCTAATAAAACCAGTTGCATACCATTTGGTAAGTTTTTAATATGAATCTGATACTAAAGAAAAGTTGAATGTACACTGTTCAAATTAATTTGTTTGTAAGTTAAAATAAAATAGGTAACACATTTTATAATTTTAGGCTTGAAAAATAAAAAATAAAATAGCTTGTGAAGGAAAAATTTACAAATGTATTTTACATATTGTCAACATATTATATATTTTCTATTTAAGCACATTTATAGTGGGGTTTTTTTCTGTTTTAATGAAAGTTTGGCTTTGAATTTTCTACAAACACATTATTGTTAATTTGGCAGTTATTTTTAAAAAATAAGACTTTAAATTTTTTTCAAGGTGAATTGGATAACGAGGAAAAGCCTTTTGTCTTTCCATTGGAGGGCGCTGTCCTGCAAAGTCCACCAAATGGCCAGCTACCAGACTTGGATAAACCATTGAAAACCTGGGGCGACTATTACAGTTATCGAGGCTTTTGGCTGGATTCACCTGTAGCTGGTGTTCTTCATTACCCTCTTACACTCTACTGGATCATCACACATTGTCTTTCAAAACACTGTAAGTTCTACCATTTCATTTTGTCTTATTTTGTCTAATTTTATTAATATCTTCATCATTCACTGCCACTGTGCCCCAATCTTAAGGGCTTTGGACAGCTTTTAAATTTAAGTTATCATGTAAATCATTAACTATCTCAAATACGAGTTTCTCTCATTCTGGATTCATAACCAGTGAAAGTCAATGAAAATTTTTCTCCTGTGCAATATGTTGTAACAAAGAAAACTGAAGCAAATAATTCCATTGGCTTATTTCTTTATTTCTGTGTTGCAGACTCACTCATTTTTGAGAATATCAAGCTGAATAAATGTATCCACATTCATCTAATTGGAGTGGAGAAAGAAGCAGAAATGTTTCATTCATTCCTGGTAATATTTTGTTTTAACCTCTCTAATAACAATACCTTTGTTTTGAAGGTGTTTTTTTATATTTATGTTATGTATATTTTTTACGTTTTATTTCCTTTGTCATCAAACGTTATTTAAACATGACTGCCTCATTTCTTTAAGGAGTGTGCCAGACTTTTAGCACCACTGGAAGTTCACATTCACCTGTTTGGAAATAAAATATCTAAGCGAATTCACAACTATTTTCGCACTCAAGAGAATCTCACATTCCACGTTCATTATGGATTATACCATGAAAGCAAACTTCACATGTTGCCTCGCCCACACTTGGCTGTTGGTAAGTTGCAATTGTTAACTACATTTTTGTCATTTCTTTTAAAGTAAAGATTTTCAAAATATGAAAAAAGTAACGCAGAATTATTTTTCTTACTAGGGTATGGTACTTTCAATTTTATAGTTACTCCCCCTAGTCACATACATGATTTGTAAAATTAAAAAATCCTATCAATTTTATTTTTGATATAAATTTTTTAATGCCTTTCATGTTTTATTTTAATAACATACTATGATACTTTCATATCTCTAGAATATTATAAAAAAAATTTATTTTAACTCCTGTAAAAGATAAGTTTTTTTTTTTTAATTTCCATAAAGTATTCTTGTTGACACTTGAATTTCATCTGTAAATATTGCAGGCTTCAATGCTGGGTTAAGTGCTTATCCAAGTTTCATCAGAACCATTGAAACTCTAGTGGTAAGTTTGTTTTTTTACTTTTATGTCTAAACACAAGGCTGAATGTCTTACAACTCATAAGTTAAATGGAACAATACAAAAACAAATTATGTGGACGATTTAAATAACACATGCTTCATACTTATTTTTTTGTTAAAGCAACATTATCCTTAGAATCTTTGTCTATGAGTTTAATACATTTTAGCTGTTGCTAATAGTAAGTGATCATTTTTTTTTTACTGTCTTCACACAGGTGCAAAAGACACCTTTCTACTGTACAGATTATTGTTACCATAGCATCGCTCATTCAAATCAAGCTCTAGTCAAAAGTAAAGTTGGCTTGCTAGTCAAACCTGTGATAAATCCTTTTCGAAGCCCCTTCCGCATCACCTCCCCTGAATCTCACCTCCCTTGTTACAGTAATGGTTTTGTTTTCTGTATTAAGCCGATGAAAACAAAACGGTCAAAAAAAATATCAAATGTGCAATAACAAGTGTTTTTTAAGTTGTGATTCTTCTTGTAAATAAAACAAATGTATTTTTAATTCAGAGTTTTGTAATGGTTGCCAGCTGTTAAATGTAGGCAAAACCAATAAATCCAATGACATAAAAATATGTACTGAAATATTCACTTTCTTATATATTTTTTTTTATAAATTATAAACTAACAATTATTTTTAGTTGAAAGCTAACCTATTGAAATTAAGTTCTAAGGTACATGTATTGATAGCTTCAGCTGTACTAAAAGTACAGCAAAGACTGGTTATAATTAAGATACAAATAAGGGCTACGTTTCTCCTAGGGGCAGGTGAAGAAGAGTTCACCTTTTTCTGTGACCTTGGAATATGATGCTAGTGTGGTCAGCCCTATGCCCAACCACCTTGACTTTCACTAACGTAATACCCCATCAGAGTTGAGTGGACTCTGGGACATGCTACAACTCAAGCCAGGGACCTTAACTCGAGACTCAAGTAAACAGATAGACGCATTACTTATAAAAACTGTGATCTAAATAAAATTATATAATTAAAAATATAATAAAATATGCCTGATGAAAATTCAAATACCCTGCATGATCTGTAAACCCCTGACAACTTTGAAAATAAAAGATAAGCAGAGAAACAAATCATTTCATGTAAACAACAACATACATCAAACAGGAAAATACAGAAACCCATGCAAACTTTGTATTAAGTTTATTTCTATTAGATTTTACGACAAGACTAACAATATTGGTTGACAAACTACACAGAGTTACAAGTTATGCCATGTACAAATTTACATGGTTAAGTTGCACACTGAAAAAAAAAAATTGATTTGCAAAAAGCTTAATACTTAGATTACACACAATATTTATAGTGTATAAATTTCCCTGTCACTGATTGTAATCAAATGATGCAGACATTAAAAAATGGCAGATGAGATATGAACAAGAAATGATTATATATGTCATTTATATAACAAGTTTGTTGCTATTGTTTGCTGAAGATTTACGTACATGTGAAAAAGTGCTGGGATTGATGTTTATGTTGGAGATGATTTAGATATATCAAATTCCATTAAAAGTACCATAAACCCAAGTCAGGCTGATATACAACAGTTGAGTCAACACGTTTTAAAACCCTAAAAACATCGAGCCCTTATGTTAACTATTTTGTAATTAAATGTAAACATGTCATGGTGATTTAGGGCTGTTTAAAAATCTCAGATGGAATAATAAATTTTTATTTACAAAAAAAACTAACCCTTTTTAATTGAAATATATCTATAAACGGGAAAAAACATTTCCAATTATTTTCCATTTTATGAGTACTGAAATAATACTGCTGTTTAAGAACAATTAACAGTCAAGTCCCATATTGAAGTTGATAAATTTTTTTTGAGTCTTTTGATGCTGTGTAAAGCTAAATTTGAATATTTGAGTATGTTTACAAAACATCCCAGGGTAAAAAGCATTTCAATAAATAAAATTATAATGCCCAAGTTGATAGTGCAACAGAAGCAACCACCAGTCCTATACAAAAGTAGGCTACTTATTCTTATATTTGATGCTTGTACCTTAGGATGAAATGTTTTCTTTCCTATGTTAAAAATAATTTATACAACAAATCTTAAAACCAAAATAAAGCTTTTTTTTTTAATATGGCTGGAAAAACTATTTTAAATTAAAGCAGTTAAAGAAATGTTCATAACAGTTTCTAAATGAACAAAATGAGATTTTAAATTAAAGCATTTTAAGATATTATAATGTATTTGTTTATATAACAAAATGTGTACCAGAGCAACACATCCTTATTTATAAACAAAAGTATCATAGGGTACAAGATGTGCTATGACTAGATAAGCCTACTGTCATACAGAATATTGTAAGGTGGTAATTTTAGTTCAACCATAGAATTGAAGTTCAGAAAACAATTTAAAGAGTTTGACGTCATATTTCATTGAAACTATGAATGTTATGATAGATAATTAAACTTTTTAAACAGCAGATACAAGTAGTTATAATAAGTGGCTAAGTTAGCTGAATGAGTAGCCCTTAAAAGTTTCAACATAAGCTGTTCAAAAGCAAGATAAATTATCATCAGGATATTCAAAATCTCTACCAACTAAGGAATTCAATACAGCTTTTGAAATATAGCAGTAAAGGGTGATCATAAAAGTTAAGTTTAATAAAGGTTATTTTTTAAAGTTCTTTCTGGAATCGTTCATAGACCTAGTTATTTCCCTGTAAATGGTTATTTCCCGTTAAATGAAGATCTCAGTGAATCTCAGTGAATAGACGCACTGTAAAAACTTTTTTAATAGTACAAAATTATTACTAGACGTAAAGTTTTCAAATGCTGAGCTGAATGTTTGTGCATCTAACCACCCTTTTTGATAATCCTAACAATCCTAATGTTAAAGGTGTGCAAATGATACCACTAGCTAGCCATCAATCATGAGGATTTAACTACAACAATTTTCTATTTTTAAAGAGCTTGTTTAATGAAACTGCAACAATGTCACATACCTTAAATTCTTAATAGTAGGCATATTTTTGTTTAAATAATTAGATTAAAAATTCTCATCTGTTTCTATTGTTATGATATATTATTTAAGGCATGATAAAATCAAGTGGTATCCATACATTTTTAATAGGAATCCCCCTAATAAAGTAAGTTATATAAGACCTACAAAAGAATTTAAAACTCAAGAGCTGCTGTGATCTCTTTACTCTTCACTATGAAAACTTTTTTTTTCGAAATGTCTCAAAATGTGTATTTTTAATATAAATTATGGCACAATCAAACATTTATCCATATAGTTTTGCTCAAGCTAATTATACAGGCAGTATTTGCAAGTGGCAAGAAAACAAATGAGAACATAAAATCAGCCAGTTGGGGAATCACATCTGTAATGGTATTTAACTTTTCAGAAACTAAAACAAAACATAAAGGAAAATCACATCTGTAAACAGTAGGCAGACTGAACTTTTCAGAAAGTAGGCAAAAAAAATTGTATTTATCTAGTGTCGTTATTTAACAAGTGTTTAGAGTATACAGTTAACTTAGTTCACAGTAAGTATGAAATGGTTTTTTTGTGTACTGCTGTTGCATTTTAAGTTAAGGAATTCTTGACATACACAGTGAAAATGCATGAACTTCATTAAAAGTCCTCAAGCCAAACTTTACCTCATAAAAAAAAAAAATTTGAAATATGTAAATATATTGTTAAGGAACTATTTTTTAAAAGTGTTGTTTTATTTCTGATAACTTAAATATTATGTATTATGACAAGAGTGAGGCTGTAAAAATATGGTTTTTAATGCTATGATCATTTTCAACCTCAGTGATAAACTTCCAAATTTCCAGAGACAAAAAGGCAATATACACAAAAATTTCAAACTGAAGAGTTAGCAAAGCTCAAGTTGCAACTCTACCAATTTTGAGTATTAACAAAGGAAGAATGGATTGCGCCAGTCTTTCACTGGAGACAACCATTGCTTCTAACATCAAGTCTGACAGCTGGACAATGGCAAAAATTCTGCAGCAAACAACAGACAACGCCCATCACCTTAAAAACAGGAAAAAGTCAAGCTTATGTGACCTTGACTGTTTGATAACAAATGGGAAAAGAAGGAGTGAATAAAAGACATAATCACATTATTAAAACAATACTAGTCCTTAGCATGTAGGACAATAACAATGGGCAATAAACAGTTCTATCTTTGAGCCAGGGATTCTTTTTTTTTTTTTTGAATGTCTAAGATTTAGGAGTAATGCATATGCATTCCTAGTATTGAAAGATATTTAGGAATGTATTAAAAAGGTGCCTTTTAATAAAAAAAATAAAAAAGTATTAACCTTAACACTTGTGTGTTTCATTATTTTAAGAAAATTTAAATAACTCAAATTGGACAGTTGTTAAACATGTACAAATATTTTTTTACAATGATTTATTATAAATAATAGCTGGTAAAATAATTTCTTCATGCAAGAGCAAAGTTCAGGTGGAGCTATTTAAGGTCAGTGTACACCCAAAGTTTGGTTTCTCTTTAAACAAATATGTACGTCAAACTAATAGAAAGAGAAAGGCAATAGAAATTTTAAACTTTTACAAATCAGGTTATACTACTTAGACAATTTGATGTTTAAAGCTTATTCCCATTAAAACAACTGTTCTGATAATTACTCTTTACTCCACAGTAAGGGTGTTAAAAATGTATTATAAATGCCAAACATATCTTTGCTAGACATGTAAATTAGGTTAATCCTTAGGTAAAAACAGTAAAAGTGATTTGTACACCATAAAACAAAATCCAGAGATGAACTGGCCAAAAGTGTTTTCTTTATGTTAACTTACCTCTAGATTGTTCTTTTACACTAAATTACATTTTATTTATCAAAGGTATAAAAAAACTGACATAATAAAAAATGATACACTATTTACAATAGTCTGTCATTGGCTGCTATTGTTTGACTGCCCTAAAAAAACTTATTTGAAAATCTGTGTGTTAACTTTTTTTTAAAAATATTTTTAGATAGCACTAATTAAATAATGGTGGTTTGCAAAATATCTAGGGTCAGTTAACGCTTAATAAAATTTTAATTTGGCAGAAAAATCTCCACCTAAAGAGGTTGTTTTTTTTTTAAGTAAGCAACCTATGAAAAGTTGTCTGAAAATAATTCTTTTTAGTCTTATCCTATTAATAAAAAATTTAACAGCTTTAGTCCATGTAAGATGAAATCATACATTTTTTTAAACACAAACGATTAATATACTAAAATATAATAAAGCAAGCCATTAAAAGATATATTTCATAATGACTAACTTTTAAGTTTTAGCTCTTAATATAAAATAGAACAAAACATGATGTCATCAATCAATGAAAAGAGCAGATTATAAAGTATAACCTGTTGAATAAAATGGAGCAAGAATACACAAAAGTACAAAAAAATAATTTAAAATGTATTATCTACAAAAAGATGAAATTGACAGATGTCAATGAGTAAATCATGTGTGATATGATGATTACTAATTTAACATTTACATTTTTAACAAAGTAAAGTAAATATCAGACATATTTTCAATAAATAAAATAAAGCAAGAAATAAGAACTTTTCTTTTTAAAACAATTTATAGACCTGTTCTTAATTTTTTACATATTACAAATTAGAACTTTAACAGCAAGTATTGTCCTGCTGAAACATTAGCTCAAAAAAATTAATGTGTTTATTTTATTTTTAGAATTAATAAAATAATATTGACCCTAAAAGGATAAAAAACACTATTTACATTAAACTTCCTCCATTATTAAGTTACAAAAGGATTATTAAAAAGAAGGTATTTAAAAAAAAAAACAATGCCGATTACTTGAAGTAACACCCCACTTCAGATAAAGAATGAGTTCAGGTTTATACTTTTGATAATATTATAGAGGATAACATTGTTCTTAACGTTTAACATGTCATTAAATGTACAAAAATAATCTTTCTGAGAAAAATGGTTCGAGTGATTGGGTTTGTTTTCTGTTTGGCAAACTGTGATGAAGCACAGGGCTTAAGCTTCGGTTTGGTGTCATAGATAACAGGAAATGGAAAGAAAAACAATCTCATGTCATTGTGCATTTTAAAATTAAGAGGACAATAGTAAAATTTATAACGTATGCATTTTATGTATCTACAATATCAACATCTTTCTTTAGCTTTACTTAAATGATTAAACACTGAAAAGATTGTTAAATACTTTATTTATGTAAATAAAGTTTGTTAAATGGCAGATGATAAAACATTAACAAACTTCTTTAGACTTGTATGTAAATCTGCTTCAGCTTAAATTTAAAATAGTTACAATACTCTACAGCAATTGTTGCACCAAACTTGTTAGAGCTGGAAGCCTTGCTGTGGAGTTTTTTCTTCTTTGAATTCAAAATTTACTTTGTACAATAAAAACGTGTTTTGAAGTTCTTTTTATGCTGTCAAGTTAATCATCCAGGACTATAACAGGGGCGTCATCACGATGCCTAGAACTGGTACCTGAAACAGAAAACACAACAGTCATTGTCTTCAATCAAATACACATTTTTATATATATCATAACTTGATTCTATCACAAAAATAATTAACATTGATTAGATATTGCCGACTAATTCAACTTTAACAAAAAGAAAAATTGTATGTTGTTTACTTTACAGAAGCAGGTGAACTTTTTTTTCTATGTTAATTTACTTCAACAACTAAAATAACAAAGGTGATACGAAAGCAAGGTGTTTGACAAAGGTATTTATGCTGATCCATGTTTTTAAAGTTTAACACCAACTGTGACAGCTTGTTTTGTCCTGCTGTGTTAAATCTTTAAAACTAATTACAATAAATTACCCTTTAGCCGCTCTCTGTGCTTGGTGGTTAATGCTTTTAAATGATGTAGTTACCAATAAAGGGGAAAATGTACTAAAAATAAAGAATACGTTTCTCCAAGATGACAGTATCTGCTTTAAAAAAAGTATTTTAACTTCGGTTTAAACCAAATAAGTGTCATATACTTTTCATAGTATCTGATAGAAAATATTTATTATTTGGCATTAATAAAAATAAATCACAGTTACTACTTAGACAAGTAACAGTATTATGCCCATAACATTGTAACCTAAATAACATATTTTAACAAAGTAGTAAATACCTAACTGTTTTTAAAAAAAACATTTTAAGAACAACAACAACAAAAATAAATTGAAGCAAGTTAATGTAAATTAAAAACAACTAAAAATATTTTAAATGGTTAATTTTTAACATAATACAACCATGATCAATTACTTTTTCTTTGATTTATTAGGACACTTCCACTAAAACCAATTTAAGAATAGGTATCACCCCAAAAGTGAAATCTCTTGATTTATAAACATAGGAGGCTAATATTGTATACCATTACTATACATATGAACACAAGTAAGAAAATGTGTTCAAAATTGTTGTGACCTTGAAAATTGATGGCATTACTATATGTAGTAGCATATTTATGTGCATGATTATGAAAAAAGTATTAACATTTAAGAACTCAAATAAAAGTATTAACCTTTAAGAACTGAAAGTGAAAACTTTAAATTAGTAACATAATGATGCATATGATATTTTGTTCCACTTTTATTTGAATCTGATTGATAAAAAGATATTTTATAATAAAAAAAATTTCTTTTACATGAGCAAAAATCCGTTTATGATGTCAACAAGGAGGGGGGGGGCGGGGGTCTGAAGAAAAAAATCGACTTTTGTGGCTGGCAGGGGAGTTCGGGTCAATGTGGACGTCCACAAGGTGAATTTATTATCAAAATAATAACATCTAAAAAAAAAATTTAAATTAAAAAAAAACTGCATAGAAAATATATGAATTAACTCTGCCGTTCTTGTGTTAAAAAGACACCAGCTCAATGGGTGATTAAATGTATCAGATGTAACTGTATACCGCCTGCCTAAGAAAAGAAGCAACCACTTTTTACAAGCGGTAGAAGGGGGCATTGACCGCTACACATTTTTTTAAAAAATCCACGGTATTAGTTTATCTTTAAAAATTTCTAAGAATTGAAACATAAGTTTAAAAAAAAAAACAAGATCTAGACCTAGGCCATGATAGATTGTGCAACCAAATCATGTGTCAAAGCCTAAGGCAATATAGATTTAGTTGTTTTTTTTCCAACTCAAAATAACGTTTTAAAATTAGAAATTTAAATAATGCGCTTGTGGAATGCTCACATGATCAGGTGTGTATGGCTCACGAAAAAAGGGGAGATACAGTTTGTTATGGAAACATTAGAAGCGAGAAGTGTCCATAAGGTTCAATAAAAGTAATATGACGTCAAGTTGATTAAACTAATTTTATCATACCCCATATAGTCATTAATAACTAGACAGCCACAAATGACATCAAATGGTTCATTCTACAGCCCCACCAACCCAACCACTTTAATAAAAAATAATTTATGACTGCCTCCAACCTCTGAATACCTTTAAGAAAAATAGTGTAAAATAGAGAGGTACACAGTGTCCATGTGCAATCACTCTTTAATAAAGAACAATTTTATATAGTCTTAGCATAATTCCAAGGTAAGTTTACATGGACTAACAGACATCATGGACAAGTTTTATTTCTAAAATTAATTTCCTAACATTTTCCAGATATTTTTAAAAGCCAGCCCAAAAAATAGTGGTTTTCCAGACTTTGAAGTCTAACATTAACTTTTCAAGACTTTTTCCAGACTTGCATTAAGCAATTGAGTATATTTTTTTTTATAAAACAGGACATAAAGTAAACAGAGATTGAGTTTGTGAGCCAGAGGAGACTACTACTTACAAATGTTAAATTTTTTGTGGACGTCCAAATAAACAAATAATAAATAAAAATATCTTGAACACTTTTTGGAATATCTGAATAAACTTAAATCAATTTTAAGAATGGTACATTCTGAACATGAATATTAAATTAAAGCAAAGTAGCAATGTAACGTTTTAAAAAAATTGTGCACGAGGTGTCAAAAAAGCAGTTTTGAGAAAAACGCAAAAATAAAAGCAGCTCTGATTGGCTGAAACTGTATAATCTCATAGGAAGTTTATTAATTTACTAAAAAAATAAAGCTTTTTATATTGAAAATAATATTAATCAAAGGTTAAGAACAAGATTCACCTGATTAGAGTACTGAAAAATGTATTAAATTAAAGTAATTAGTAAAAAAGTTATGAATCAATTAAGATTAAGTATTTTTAATTAGAAAAACTATCAAATAACCGTGGTTACTTTTTAAAAGTTAATTAAACCACTCCTAATTATAAAAAAAATTTAAATTGGCAGTGAATGGATATACAAAAAAACGTGTTTTCTATAATGAATTGGGGAGATACCTGTCTTCAAAAAAAGAAATTTTTGGATATAAAAATAATACATTCTTCAAACACTGTCAGCTTGAATAAATTAGATAGTTGGAAATTGTAAGCATCCCACATTTGCAAAATGGTGATAACTGTGTGCTGTACAAATGATAGACAAGAGATACAAGAAAATCTATTTCATAAATTTTAGTGAAATGGTTACAGAGAAAAAGTGCTGAGCAAAGATTCAGTGTAATTTTTTATTGTTAGTGATTGCTTTAACTTTAAGATAAAGAAATTTTAGGTGTATGCTTTATACATTGCGCATTCTTGTTCAGCTTGAAAGCTAAAAGAAGATTGTTAAATATAAAAGTGGATTATACGTGCAAGAAAGAAAACTACAACACACCTTTGATGTCAATTTTTATTTTTTTTTAAGTAAGATTCAAGGAAAAAGTTACTTTTATTTTGGCTACTAAACCCCTTAATTGTATACATTTCATTTCTTTGCTAAGTTATTTTTAACAGCTCTAAATACATAAGAGCTGATACAAAGCAGGTGACAGAAATGTTATCCATTCAGTTTGGAATAAACTGTTATTATTAAATGCATAAAAAATTAGGTGTATTATATTTTCTTTCTTTCTTAAAAGAAATACTGTTACTTCAGTTTTAAACATAACAAAAAACAAAAAGTGTTAAGCAGAGTTTCAGAAAAATACACACTTTTATCCACTAACTTGTCTAGTCAGATAATTTACTCAAAGTATCTGTATGGAGGTTTGAGAATTAGAGTCTTTCCATGAACATGCGGATAAAAATAAAAATAATTATAGATAAAAATAAATTAGTAATGTTAAATACAACAATAAGAATATTTTTTAAATAAGCAACAAAATTTGATAACTAAAATAAGCATAAAAATGTATAATACTATAATTTGTACAGGACACTGATTGTTTTCTTTTATTAATGCAATTCATATTAAAATGTAATTTAAAAAAATAATCATTAATATGCATTTAATATAATCTATGCATCATACACTTCCAGAATATTTTAACAGGTGATGCTTTAAAATGAATCACCTTCAATTCATCATTCATGTTCATTTTCACAGCAGTTTCTTAATGGATCAAACCATAGTTAATTAAATACTTACCTCCATTAGACGTTGAAGAATGACTTAGATTGTCATGTTTCGGCTGCAGCATTTTGGCTGATGGGCCTGGCAAAGGTGAGTTGTTGCTTCTTTTATAAACTCCAGCCATGGGAGAGCTGGACCGTCTCTTCATTGACGGGTGAGTTGCTGGTTTGCCTGAGAGCTGGGGCTGGTCAGCTGAACTTTTAGTGAACATGTAGTTCAACTGAGGGAAATAGTTTTCTAAGTCATGGACTTTAATTATTTTGTTGCACTTGAGCTTGCTAACAGGAAGATTATAGTACTGAACAAATGCTTTCTCTTCCTCTGCTGTGCATTCATAGAGGTTGACTTTCAGAACATACTGTAAAACTTTAACAAACTCTGACAGAGGAACCGTGGGGAAATACAGCTTGGAGACGGCTTCCACAAGACAAAAGTTCCCAGCTCGAGATGGCGTGTTGACTGTTAAACATGATATGCTCTTGCCGTTGACCAAACAAGCTGAAATCATCTGTGACAGATCTGCCTTGTGGTGGTTGTTATTGCTGGCACAAGACAAGCTCCCGGTTCCTAGCTGAAAAGACTGATCCATGTTAGATCTGGGGATGTTATTGTTTTGATGAGACAGGGAAGAGTAATGAGATGTGTTGTTCTGTGGGGATTCACTGCTGAGTCTTCTTGTAGGCTGGCTAACTCCCAGGGCATCGCGGACTAATCTCTGTTCGTGAGCATCTGTTCTAGCAAACAGCGAACTTTCAAACTGGTTCACCCCAAACTGAAATGGTGAATTTGGTGAATACTGCTGTGGGGATGGAGGTAAGCCTGTGACTGGTGGAGGGTACCTGACCATGTGTCCGGAGTTGTCTTTGGCCATCATCTGACCTGCCCTTGAGGACATGTTGTGCGAGCCTCTGAATATGGGGTGATTAATATCAGGTATAGATGACGAATGTTTCGCCTGGTGTAGCTGGGGATGAGAGGGAACTTGGTACGCTGAAGATATTGGTGTTTCAGGTTGTATTGGGGGAGTTTTTGACATAAGTGATGTGTTGGTCACATTATTAGCATGAGCAGGAGGTGGTCCCCGAGGCATTATAGCCCAGAGAGATCCAGGCATCGCCGAAGCAGCTGAGCCACTGGTGTCAATGTTTTTCTCCGAAGCAGAGTGAGGCCGCTGAGATGACAAACGTGGGGGCTCCATACTCAAGCCTGGAGAGGGTCGCAGCATTGAGGAGTTGGTGTTTCCATGATAGTCATGCAGAGTGCTAGACAACTGAGAGGCAGGAAAACCTTGACGTTGAAAGATTGATAGAAATGGGTTCAACTCTGGGTGTCCACTGGCAGCCATCAGTTCAAGATTGGTTTGTTGCTGACCACGGGAGGAGGGCCGCGCTACAGTGCTCTGGTGGTGTACCATTGATGGCATGGTGACAGGGTGAGACACGGGTGGCAGTAGAGGGCTGGAAGAAGGCAGGCCAGTTCGAGGATCTAAGTAGCGTGCATGCTGAAATGGATTTTTAAAAGGAAGGTCGAAGAGCTGGACCTGACACCTTTGTAGCACCTCTGTTATAGATATGAGTCTCGTGTTTTTGCCAAATGTAAACTCAAAGCCAGCTGCCTTACATGCTTCATTCAATAATGCACATTCCTGTGGGGTTGGAAGCAATCCATCCACGCTGGTGTTAGTGAGCAGCCCTGCAGCATATACAATCACTGACAGTGGGACAAGCTTCACCTGTTTTGAGCCCTCTGTTCTGAGTATATATGGCGATACTGTATTGTTAATCTGCATCCAGCCACAGTATTGAGAGAGTTCAGGTTTGGTTGGAGATGTTCTGTGCGATGTTGTGACTTCACCACCTATTTTAGCTAAAACATCTGCGGGAAAAGTTTTCTTAACAATTTTAAAAAACTCTTCAAATTCTTCCAGGTCAACAATTAAATCTTTTACTGTAAATGGATTGTGTCCATATTCATAATCACAATGTGCTGTATTGATTTCATTTAAAAGCTTTGCTTCTGCATCAGTTATAAAATAGCTTACTAAAGGATCCTTTTTACCCAACTCATCAGGGAAAGTATTGGGATATTTGCTCAGCAATTTTCGTTCAACAATTCTAACAGAAACAAATTTTTTCTTTTTCCTTAAGATATAAGGAATACTCGTATCATCCACTGTTTCCCAGCCAAATATTCCCTTAATACTCTCAGAATCAATGGGATCTTCATCAGGAAGGTCTGAATCTTTGGCGGACGACTGATCATATTTGGAGTGAGCAACAGGGGGCTCAGAGTGGCTGGGAATTTGCATCGGCTGCATATGATCTGTTCCTGGGGGCAGGGTATACTGCGGTGTAAAAGGATTGTCACTGATAGATTTTGTGCGGGCTGACAAATCTCCTCTGTGTGCTGGCTCAGGCTTCACATGCCTTGAAACACTAACATTTTCCTGAAGATTGAATTTTAAAACTCTCATATAAGTATATGCATTAACTACAAATAATCATATGCACTGGAAAAATTTTTTTGTAAATCTACCAGTATCCAAAAATTGCTGGTTGGAAATTATAATGAAAGCAATACATTGATATTCTAATCCTATTGTATTTTTGTAAAGTAGGTTAAGTACCTGGGAGAAGTCAGATAGAGAATATTCATCTGTTTCTTTTACCTCAGCATATACCCAATCAGCTTTACTTTCCCCAACTCAAGTCAGGCGCCCATGAGAAATGAGGGGGGGGGGGGGGGGGGGGGGGGAAGACACAGGGGACGACAGGGGACGACTTAGGGATGTTGAGGGAAACAAACTAGAGACTTTCATTACAACCCAAACTAAATTAAAATGTAAACATAGATAGATTTTCAACATTACTAATAGAAAATGTTTACCTCCATTGTACACAACGAACAATATCAGCTTCATTAAGGAACAAAGAGATCTCCTATATCCTGTATAAAAAGAGTAATAATGCATGTGAATAGTTTTAATATTAATCTACACAAAATATAGCTAACTAAAACAAGATAATTAAGAAATTGTATTGGCAGACTCCAAGTAATACTATCTATTACAATGTGTCCATTTCCAAACTTTCATACGCTGTGATTCTACAGGCAAGACCAGTGCATTACACCAGTGAATTCACAGACACGGCAGGTACAACAGACATTATAATTAGACACAAACTGAACTACAGTAGATCATCTATATTTGAAATCTATACTGAATTGTTATTAAATAATATAACTAGTATATTTAAAAGATAGATAATGCAGTTGTGTTGTTAAGAACTTTAATTGTAGTATGCTACTTCTTTAGGCAAATAGAGTTGTGGTCTTGTTTTAAGTTGTAATTTTTTAATAACAGTGTTATAGTGTTTACAATAGCTTTGTGACTGTCAGTTGCAATTTGTATTTAGCTTGTTTTCTCAAATTTAATTCAGCAAATAAATCTTTAGTACTATGTTGTTTCAAATATTGGCCTACTCAGTGGTGTAGAGTAGTTAAAATTTAACCTCAGTAATAGCTGGTATGAAATCAAAGTTGTGGACACAGTTCAATGAACTTTGCATAACTATCCCCTAAAACTATTTCTGTATGTCCCACTGGAATGTGGCTGTATATATGAAATTAAGCTAATTTAAATTTAATATGATATTTATACACATGTTTTACACATTTCTTGCACACATTGATAGTAAACTGAGTAGATAATGCTAAGTATTGAAGGGAACAACAGCAGTTCTTGAGTTAAGATTTTTGAGTGTAAATAGGGGAGGTAATAATCTGCCTTAGTGCATTCCCCTGTATAGCCATGTGTGCTATAAATGACATAACATGGAGGAGAGAAATGTGGAGGGGAGAGCAGTCGTACTGATTCCTCTTTGATCTCCAGGCTGGTGCGGGGTCATAAATGACATAACATGCTATCCCTGCTTTCTTGAGATATAATAACAGGCCTCTGTGTTACCTATAGGTAAAAAAATTACATAATGCTTTCTCATGGAAGTGAGAAGTTTTTAAGGGAGAAAAATGGTCTTTGACTTCTTCCCTGCTGGACCACAAGGGTCATAAATGACATAGCATGGAGCCTCTGCCTGGCTGAGATCTAAGAACAGCAATCCCTGTTACCAATAAAGAAGTTTTATGGTGAGTTAAAAGCAGGTGTGGTTTTATTGTCCTTAAAAAAAAATAAGCATTGGCAGACCTATTATCATTTTAAAAAATTATCTGGCTGGCTTCAGATGATTGCTTCAATACAGATCAGAACAGTATTATTAACATTTTGACAAAAGTCCAATCAATAATCAATAAATGTCTAAATTATTACCAGTGTCATATTCAGTGGGCTAACCAATGATAACTATGAGCTAGTGGAAACGTTAATCTAATTAGTTTTTTGATTTTCTAACAAATGATGTTGATCAATCAAGTTTTACTCTGAGAATAAAACAACTTTATATCATGGTAAATTAAGACAAAGGTCAGCTATTAGTTTTGGTATCAACAACTACTGCGGAAAAAAAATATTCCAGAATATAATTATTCTAATCATAGAATGTACAGCAGCAAATGCTTAAAGATTTGAACAAAAGAATGGCTGTAATAAATTTATGAGGTTTATTACCAAGTGAAATTTCCAAAAAAACAGTTCACATAATGGTCTTAAGGAGGTGAAAAATTTTCAGGGGAGAGCAGAGCGATTAATTCCTGATTTATCTCCTCCATGCTGAGCCATGAGGGTAATAAATTACATACAATAATTTATCTGCTTGTCTGTTAGTTCAGAAGTAGATTAACAGTTTTGTTGTGAATGAACCTTGGTGTATTGAATGAGTTTGAGCATATGTGCGTAGTGGAATGTGTATTAATAAAAGATGTTGAGGGTTTGAGAGTATGTGTGCAGTGAAATGGGTATTGTCAAAAGATGGTGATTGTGACGATGCAAGGAAGGATATGATGTGGGAGAGTATGGCTTTGTTGTTAGGGCAAAAAGTTGAAGTCAGTCTGAGTCTTGTTTTTGTCGTGTTAGGATGTGGAAGTCTTCGTCATGTCTGTCGTCGATGTAGTAAGATGTAGTCGTGTACAATATATGTAATTAAAGATAAGAAATGTATCAACGCCGCCCTGTCTTACTTTCTATTGGATCATAGTCGTATTAGTATGTTATCATTCAAGCATCAACCCTGTCAGATCCTCAGTTCATAACAAGTTTTACTTGGGGGGCTTTGTGGGGCTGGAGTGCCGACTGGTGCCTAATAACCCTAGTTGCTTTTTACCCAGCTATAACCTACAAACTAGATTGGCTACAGGACAGTATGCTGGTAAAAGAAATACTACTGCTCTGCCTAACTAAAAATTTATTTTAAACTGAAACAAAAACTCATCACTCTCTTTGCAAAAAAAAAAACAAATTAGCATGGATTTAAATTAATTTTACATTTTAGTCTAACTGTAGCATAAGTGGATAATTATTAAATTTAGACTGTTACTGTTAGGCTTAATTATATAAAAATTAGGAATTAAGTAATAACATTAAATAGGTAGGCTTAATAAATTTTAAATAGGGTTAACTTAGAGTTGATTAGTAACTAAGGCCTAGATTTATGACTTAAATCCTATGACAGCTTAATTAATTTGGAAACTTTGGTTCCTTTAGCTAAGTCTAAATATATTATTATAATATAGGTCTAGTTCTAAAGTATTGGGTATACTGATGTCATACGATAGCTAACCAAATCTTGGAGACTGGTAGAATCTTTAGGCCTAATACATTTGCAGTGTAGTAATTTACTGTGTTGCATTGATTAGGCTTACCACCTGTTAAATTACTATATCTAGAATAAGGGGTCATCCATTTATGACGTCCGCGGGGGGGGGGGGGGGGGGGGGGCCGGAAAAAACTGACTTTTGTGGACGCATATGGACTTTTATAAGGAAAACAATTGGATTTTTGTGGACGGGGGGTCCAAAATCCCAAAAAATTGTGGACGTCATAAATAGATGACCCCTAATCTAGATCGAGGCCTAGGTATGTGTTTTTTGTTAAAAAAGATCACAAGTATTATGATTATCAATCTAGTTTAGTCTTGTCTTCTTATCTAGATCTAACTTTTTATGTAGATTTGATTTTTTGCTGCTTTAATCATAATTAGATCTAGATAAAATAAGAAATCTAGATCTACACCAAGGTGGATTTTTATACCAGTGTCAATTAACAGAATCTTCTTTAAAAAGTGTGTGTTAGATTACGGATACTTGTAGGTAACTAAATAATATACAGTGATACATAAATGGCTTACTAAACTCGCAACTAATGTCAATGCTTTCCCTAACCCCAACTTTAGTCCTGCCACGCCCCTAACCCTAGTTTCTAATCAAACCATAAAATTTAGTCCAGATAACAATGCTACTAACAACCTAACACACCTATTTTCGGAAGTCTATTAAAAGTGTTATCATAGGCATATTAAGTTATTATCGGACATTCATATCCTCAATCATCCCTAAACAATGTTTGATTGCAAACATTGGGGGAATTTTTATACCAGTGTCCGATAATAGAATGAACTTAATTTAAAAAAGGGGTAGGCCTATAGGCCTACAGTAAGGTTACTGGTAGTTACTAAAAATACATGGCTATTAAAAACCTAACACACCTATTTTTGGAAGAATCTATAATCTATAGGCCTAATGTTAATATTAATATCGGACATCGGTATCTTCAATCAATGCTAATCATTCCCAACACAAATCAAATATTTTATGATAAAATTTTTAATCAAATGCAGATAGGCCTAGAACTAGATATGTCAATGAAAAAGTAAAGCTAAGTGTTGTATAATATAGACTAGATTCTAGATCTAAACTAGATTCAAGATAATGTGTTGAGGTAAAATAATATCCACTGACCATGTTTTAGTGAATTTTTTTAGATCCGATTTTCTAGATCAAGAGATCAGATCGGGTGCCGCTGGTTGGATTAGAATTAAACTGATTGCAAACAATTTCTGATAACATTAAAATGCTGATAGATCATCAATTAAAAAGTGAAACTTTGTGTTGTATAATAATAGACTAAATAATGTGGAAAATAATAATAATATCCACTGACCATGTTTTATTTTTCTATTTTTTATACAAGCAAAAAAACGGCGGCCATCTTAGTACAACAGCAGTTATTTACCCTGATTAATGAATAGGCGGAAATGATGTGCAAAAAATGTTTTAAGTTTTTCGGCGTTCTGTTCATAAATGCCCAGTTCAGTAATTTAAACCTAGATTTAGATCTAGATTCTAGATCTATAAAGGCCCAACTATTTTTCTTTATTCTTTAATTTTAAAATGTGAATGTTTTTGTAGGTGGAGATATTGATACAAAAGCCTAGATAGAACTAGATTTAGATTATATCTATAATTCTAACTGGCGTAGCCAGGATCGTCTCAAAGGGGGGGGGGGGGGGGGGGGGTCAAATGTTTTCCAGCGTTATATACAGTGGCGTAACGAGGAGGGGTGTCACCATTAGGGGGTGACACCAAGGCAAAAAAATAGCAAAATATAAAGAGAAAAGTAATAATTCCACTTAATTAAGCGAGTAATCCGAATGTTAAAAAGTCTTTTAAGAGCAAATTTGACAAATCCCGACTAGGGTGGAGGGGGAGGGGGGGGGCTGCAAATCGAAAGTTTGAGGGGGGTGCGAATCAAAAATTGAAAGTTTGTCCCAGGGAAAGGTCGCTACGCCTCTGGGGGGTGACACCATTAAGTGCCGCACCGGGTGACACCCGACCTCGCTACGCCACTGGTTATATATATATATATATATATATATATATATATATATATATATATATATATATATATATATATATATATATATATATATATATATATATATATATATAAGCTGTATTTCATTGCTTCGCTATGATGTAAAATAAATTGAAAGTAGTACTCTGAAGAAATAAGAGAAAACACACAATGTAGGCCAACACAACAAAACAAATTATCACTCTAACTAAACAAAAACAATATATATATATATATATATATATATATATATATATATATATATATATATATATATATATATATATATATATATATATATATATAACCATATATAGCCATATATAACCATATATATATATATATATATATATATATATATATATATATATATATATATATATACACACACAATACTACAAAAAGCAATGAACGCAATGGACGAAATTTTAAACAGGTATAAGATCTTATTATCTTGATGGTCTCAAATTTTGAGCGATTTCCGGTTAACGGAAGTATTACTTAAGTCTATTTCCAATTTCTGAAAAAATATCACTTCTACCGAAACGATTTCTTCAAAACTTTTCACGGAGGTCTGGACTCGATGACAGTTTGGCTCAATTAGATATTTAATTAACTTTTTTTTTTAAATTAATTAATGTTTTATTTGTAAATCACTAATTTTCCTCCCGTTTCTATTTTTTAAAAATTCATTATAGGAGAACGTTTAGTAGAGTTCATTCCCGCTTTATTTATAAAAGCAAAGTGACTCGCGACCCCCATAGAATTTTTAAAAATATTTTGTTTAGTTTAGTATACCCTCCGCCAATGCGGGTCGCGACCAATATAATGGGAACCCGTGCTATAGATTAAATATCTCGGTGTCTAGATTTTATACATGTACAGGATTTTTATGGAATCGGAAGGGCATTTAGGAAAATAACGCAGATATTTTTTTAATCCCTTTACTATATGACTGTAACATCGGCGTTAAGTTGTAAAAGACCCCCCCCCCCCCCCACACACACACACACACTTCTGTAGGCCTAATACTGGTGCAGTGTTCGTTTTATCAATTTACTTTGTTCTCGGTAATGTCTAGTTTAGTGATATGTAGACAAATTACATTTTAAATTATATAGCTAATCTAAGTAATATGTTTTAGGTCTTCGCATAACCATTGACGGATTTCGGATTTAGATCTAGAAAAGTAATCGCCCTCCAACCAAAATAAAAAAAAAACAACAACGGAAAACTAGCCCTATCTTCTAATTACGTCATAATTTTTTACATTGGGGGGGGGGGGAGGAATATGACTTGTGAGACATTAGGGACGATTCAGGAAATGACGTTTGCATTGTTTAAACTGAAGTAGGCATCTGCATTTTGTTTTGTCATTTAAAAGACTTGTAAAGTTTAATAAGAAATTAATCAATATGGGCGGGGGGGGGGGGGGGGAGGGCTACCTAATTCTGACCCAGCTCAGAAAATATTCTAAAAAGAAATAGCTGTTTCAAATATAAATGCAATGACAGGGGGTGGGTTTGGCAAAACGATGACATCATATCTTGAGGTTAGGGGGTCTGATGTAATGCATGAGGGGCAGGTAATAATCGTTCAAAAACCAGACGTCATTTATGGACAACCCCCCCCCCCCCCCCGTATCGAGGTCCAAAAAATGTAACATTTAACATTTGCTTTATTAAATTCAATTTTTAACGGTTAATCTACACACTAACACAGACGAGTAACAGTTTGAATTATAAAAAGAAAAGGGGGAAGGAGCGATTTCTTTCGTTTATTCTTTCTTGAAGTCATTATTACCAGTTAGTCCAGTCTAGAGCCAGACTTTGCTGCACAACTCGATGTTCCATGATATGTTCCCCATCCTTCCGTCATCTCGTGGTCCGATACAGAGGGAATAGATCTTTTTCTGCACCGTCGCGCACAGCACCCAGTATAGATAGGTCACCCTTCTTCCAGGGCTTATTAATGGCGCATCTTCTCCCAGGGTTTTATAGATGGCTCACTCATCTACCCAGGGCTTTATAGATGGCTCACTCATCTACCCAGGGCTTTATAGATGGCTCACTCATCTACCCAGGGCTTTATAGATGGCTCACTCATCTACCCAGGGCTTTATAGATGGCTCACTCATCTACCCAGGGCTTTATAGATGGGTCACTGATCTACCCAGGGCTCTATAGATGGCTCACTGATCTACCCAGGGCTCTATAGATCGCTCACTGATCTACACAGGGCTCTATAGATGGCTCACTGATCTACCCAGGGCTTTATAGATGGCTCACTCATCTACCCAGGGCTCTATAGATGGCTCACTGATCTACCCAGGGCTTTATAGATGGCTCACTCATCTACCCAGGGCTCTATAGATGGCTCACTGATCTACCCAGTGCTCTATAGATGGCTCACTGATCTACCCATGGTTTTATAGATGGCTCACTCATCTACCCAGTGCTCTATAGTTGGCTCACTCATCTACCCAGGGCTCTATAGATGGCTCACTGATCTACCCATGGTTTTATAGATGGCTCACTCATCTACCCAGTGCTCTATAGTTGGCTCACTCATCTACCCAGGGCTTTATAGATGGCTCACTCATCTACCCAGGGCTTTATAGATGGCTCACTCATCTACCCAGGGCTCTATAGATGGCTCACTGATCTACCCAGTGCTCTATAGATGGCTCACTGATCTACCCATGGTTTTATAGATGGCTCACTCATCTACCCAGTGCTCTATAGTTGGCTCACTCATCTACCCAGGGCTCTATAGATGGCTCACTGATCTACCCATGGTTTTATAGATGGCTCACTCATCTACCCAGTGCTCTATAGTTGGCTCACTCATCTACCCAGGGCTTTATAGATGGCTCACTCATCTACCCAGGGCTCTATAGATGGCTCACTGATCTACCCAGGGCTCTATAGATGACTCACTAATCTACCCAGGGCTTTATAGATACAGGGGCGTAGCGAGGGGGGGGGGTGCGGGGGTGCGGACCGCACCGGGTGACACCATTTAGGGGGGTGACACCAAGGCAAAAAATAGCAAATTATATAGAGAAAAACTCGAGGGGGGGTGCAAATCGAAAGTTTGAGGGGGGGGGGGGTGCAAATCGAAAACTTGAGGGGGGGGGGGTGCAAATCGAAAATTTGAAAGTTTGTCCCTGGGAAGGGTCTCTATGCCTCTGGGGGGTGACACCATTAAGTGCCTCACCGGGTGACACCCGACCTCGCTACGCCACTGTATAGATATAACTCACTTTCTTACCCAGGGCAGGGATGTATAGATGGTACACTATCCTGTTCGCTTGTATGATGTGAGTTCCGAAAACTTGAACCCCAAGGTAATTCGCATGTGGCCGAGAACTTGTAGTTGAGTTTATCTCCCCAAACAGAATAGTTCGAATCCCCGTCCACACCGTACGTCTGAAAATCAAGATGGAGGCCCATGGGACACGGATAACATTGCCGAGACCACTTCACTGAAGTCTTCAGTAACACAGGGAGCATCGGCTGAATTTCGTAATGTTGGGCACCATTATCAGGCGGCAATGGTCGCAGAACGTTTCTTTACTTCAGACCGTAAGGTGTCTACAGCATAACATTTTTAAACTAGCGCATAAAAAGTAGTTTGTTTCCCTAATACAATCCTACAGTTTCGGAGGGATCGATTATCAGTCACGATCTTTAACCATTTTTAAAATACACGTTTCTTTATTTGAATTTTTATAATTAAAAAAAAAAAAACAGCTTCAATCTTGACGGCACAACTTCTGGGGGGGGGGGGGGGGGGGTGGGGGGGGGGGTGTAGATGGACGACATTTTCCGGGGAGGGGGGGTTAGGCAGACACTGGTAATGTATGTTTTCTATATAAATTCCATTTCGTTCGGTTAAGGGGTGAGGGTGGGCGGTAGACGAGATACCTGGAAGAAACTGGTGTGTGTGTGGGGGGGGGGGGGGGTTAAGCCACGATCTCCAACGAATGCTGCAGCATAGGATTGAAGCTATTAACTGTTCATTCTGTTGGTATTGATTTCACCAACTTCATTGATCAGCAAAGTGTAGGGATGCAGCCTTTGATTATGTGACAAAATGAGACCTCGTCTTAAAGCTGAGTATTTATGTGCTATAAATAAAAGGTGACAAATGCCATGTGGGTTATCATTGATCGTGGAGTAAATGTACAGGATTCTGCTATAAATAGAACAGCCACCACGTGATAAAATCTATGCTGGTCATCAATAATTTTTGCAATGCATTTTCTGTAGCAATAAGTATAAAAAGAACATGCTGGCTACCATAGAGCTTTTCTACAGTGCATGTTCTGTAGCTATAAAATAGAACAGCTCCCTCATGGCAAATGCCATGCTATTACTTATAATATTTGTAGCTATAAATAACACAGAAACGACAACATAAAGAAACAAAAAAAAAAGAAAAAAAAGTATCTTTAAAAATATTGTTTTATAAAAATGTGTCATTATTTACAACAGAATAAAATAATAGTTGGTCAGAAAGTAAAATCTAGATTTATACCTGATTGTAATAATGGGAAATAAATTACAGCACTAAAGACCTAAAACATACACAATAAGGAAAATTTGACCTACTAAAATATCACATTCGTATCTGTTTACTAGAAAACAAGGTAACCATTACATATTTGTAAGCTATCACAAGATTCAAGAAAAGCAAAAATTGTTGACATTGTCGGATGTTGGTTTTTAAGTTTCATTCCGTCATTTAAATTTTAAAATAAAATGTGTTAAAAAACAAGAATCTAATGAGTATCACAATAACAGGCAATATAGCAACAATAGTTATCATCCCTCAGAATTTCACAAATTGGTAACAGTAACTCAATTTACATCTTAAAAATACATTAACTTATTAGCGTGTCAGAATTACAATAACTGTTTTTGTTTCAAAAGAAATACCTAGGAAGATTCCACAAAAGACTTATTACAATTACGAATATAGAGAGTTCATAAACTAAAACATACTTTTAAAATACTTTTACTGCTATAAACTGTATAAAACATAACATACAGCCAATAAAAAGTTGTCTAAAATTTTATTTGTCTTGAATCTTGCACAATTTTTTCTTTGGACAATAGCAGCAGGCCCTGAGAAAAGGAACAATCAAAAAGTTCAGCAAAGTTAAAAATATAATATATTAAGACAAGATATTGATAATCCCACGACTTAAGTCTGGTTAATTACTAATTAAGTAAGATTGTTATTATCTCTTTAAACAAATAGATATGGCCTATATTCCAGACCCCTGAAACATACATTTGTTGTCAGAAAATTACTGCAGCGGAATACGACATAAAATCTTTATCCCTTTATTCAGTGTAACTTGAAGGTAATAAATATCAAACATGATAAATGACTGAGACATTGATTGGCCAAATTATTAAATTTAATTTAAATGAATCATTATAGGTTTGTGTATAGGCCTACTGTTTGAGTAATGTTAAACTGCAACATAGCATGGGAGATAAGGTGAGTATTTTTCAAAAACACTGACATGCCTTTATGGGTTTACAAGTACATCACACAACATCCAAGAAAAAACCAAAAACTGGTTATGAAACATAACATCAAATAAAACAAAGGATTTTAACAACCGTAATACAAGATTAATAGCTATCTACACTACCAAGACATAGTCTATTCTAAATCGGTGACACAAAAGAAACACAAATCTAGAATACAGTGGATATTAAACAAAACTTAAGTACACACTAATCTGTTACAATGAAATGACTGGACTGGGGCTTCAAACCACTCTGTCACATTTCTTTTATACCCATATATAAAAAGTGACGAACCGGACAATGGCAATGTGACAACACAGCCCACAGAAATAGAAGTGGACAATGACAATGTGACAACACAGCCCACAGATATAGAAGTGGACAATGACAACGTGACAACACAGCCCACAGAAATAGAAGTGGACAATGACAACGTGACAACACAGCCTACAGAAATAGAAGTGGACAATGACAATGTGACAACACAGCCCACAGAAATAGAAGTGGACAATGACAATGTAACAATACAGCCCACAGAAATAGGAATGGACAATGACAATGTAACAATACAGCCCACAGAAATAGGAATGGACAATGACAACGTGACAACACAGCCCACAGATATAGAAGTGGACAATGACAACGTGACAACACAGCCCACAGAAATAGGAATGGACAATGACAATGTAACAACACAGCCCACAGAAATAGGAATGGACAATAACAATGTAACAATACAGCCCACAGAAATAGGAATGGACAATGACAATGTAACAATACAGCCCACAGAAATAGGAATGGACAATGACAATGTGACAACACAGCCCACAGAAATTGAAGTGGACAATGACAATGTGACAATACAGCCCACAGAAATAGAAGTGGACAATGACAATGTGACAATACAGCCCACAGAAATAAGAGTGAACACAAAAGAACAGAACAGGATACTGCAGACAACAACATTCACCCATGCATCCCCTTCGCTTGTTCACTAGATAAGTAACTGATGTCAGGACAGGAAGTAATATGAAAGACCCATTTAGACTAATATGGCTTCTGATCAGAATGAATGTTTACATACCAGGTAGGGACATGATCCATAGCAAAAGGACTTACACTGTGACCTGCGAAATAAGACTATATTTTAATCTGCATGTTTTATTATAAATACACACTTCTTGATAAAAAAATAATAAGCTAAATTGTATGTATGAAACCATTATAAAATTAACATACCTGTGTGACAACACTGTATGCAGGATTTACAGATCCCTGTAAAGTTGTAAAAAACTTAGTAAGTTTTCAAGGGATGTAACCAGATACTATTCCAATGTTAAGATAGGTAAAACTGTTTACAATGATTTTTTTTTTATATATAAATAATATGAGATGGTGTGATCAAGTAAATGATTATTTTAAAGTTTTGAATGTAGGTGTGTGACTTAATTAAAAGATCCCCGAATCAATACAGCTGTAATTGATTGATGGATAAAGCCTCAGTAAGTTGGGTGACAGGCAAGACTACCCGTTTGTATGCTAAACCATACAAGATTAATGCCCATAAGAACTTTAGATTTTTTTCAAAAAGGTATGTATAAAAGGAAGTTTTTTTATAAAATTGTTTTTTTTTTTTAAAATACTTTTAATATAACTTATTCCATAAAATCTATAATAAAACATCATTTGTTACTGTCGTTTTTGAATAAAATATTTTATTCTATTTTTAATTGAAATTCCAATGAAATTCTACTCACACTTTACATTGCAGTTGTTACAAGTAAAATAGTCCACAGTCTGAGGTCCCAGCTCTTTAAAAATATTAACGTAACAACGTTTGGGTAAATCACTTTGAGATTTGAACACACCTTGTAGAACTATTTCACTTCCTGGTTTCTTAAATAGACAAACACTGCAGATTTTTTTTTAAACATTAGGTGTTAAAAGTTAAAGGTATTAATATCAAACTAAAAACAACCAAACCCATAATTATGGTCCATTATTTGAATCAATGGACCATAAACTGAACTCATCTAACACATGGTGATACTTTCTCCTGTAACCCAGCAAGTGGAACATACCATGTTGAACTGGAAGATGGGCCTCGAGTCCCACGTCAAAGAGTGGACATCATCTCTGTTGTGAATGTTATTTAACACTTCACACAAATTATAATGGCTGTTTTTTGCCAGAGGACTGAAATAATTTCAAAAGCAATAGTTTAAATAATTTAAATGGTATGTTGGCAAATTGAAATACAGTAAAACAGAAAAGATTTTATAATGTGAAATAGTTTCATTTTTAATCCAATTTTTTTTTAAAAATAGCATTATCTTTTAATTGCCAAAATCTGCATTTTTTTCACTGTAATATTAAGGCAACATAGCAGAATTTTTTTTATTTTTACACTCTGCTAACTTCAGATACTGGAACTAAAAATTATAAAAACCAATTCTTTTTCTAAAGAAAAAAGTGGTCTGCACTCAAATTTTGTTAAATGAATGATATAAAATTAAGTTTTAAAAAAAGTACTTTACATAAATGTTTTTATGGCAAGGGAAAATATTTCCTCAACTCAAAATGTGTCAAACATTGGATAAACCTAACCTACTCGAAAAGCAGCCGGACACCAGTATCATCTGTCCAGTTTAAGATATCATCACAGCGTTCTTGCATGGCTGCCTCAATTTTTGGCTTAATTTCAAGGAGGCTGTGAAATGTTAAATGACATGTCATCACAATATACAATATTCCAGATATAACTTTGTTCAAATGTAAAGCTTTTGCCTTCATACATTTTCTGAAACATTTATGAGTACCAAAGAAAATTACAAAACAACTACAATAAACTACAGACTTAGATGTAATAAATGCATAGAAAGGTATTAAATAATATCACGCATGTCAAATCACAATCTTTAAATAATTTAAATTTATACAGATGGTTAATAAACTAAAAGTAGCAGCATTTGAAAACATTAACAATATTAAGGAAAGCTAGCTATGGATTTTGCAATAATGAAACAATGAAACATTTAGAAAAAAACTAAAGATAGATTTAAAAAAGGTTGTGGCACAAAAAAATCCTTAACTAGGTATTACATATATATATCAATGGGCCATGAGTAAAATTTTCTAAACACAGTGGGGATGAAGATAAGCACAATTAATGGAAAATGAGGACTACCAGAATGATTTTTAAAATTGTGTCCTACAAATCATCCAAAGGGTAGATGAAGCAGAGTTCACCTGTTGTTTTTTTTTAACACAGCATGTGAAGGTATTGGGTGGCCAGTATTCCAATCCGTCTTTACTTTCCCTAATGAGAGTCATGTGCCCAACAGAACTTGATGGACTTAGGAATGTCCGACAGACCTGGTGAACTCTAGACTCTGAGGTTAGCAGTTGAGCACTATAGCATCATGTCATGTCATGTTTGCCTGTCGTCCCTACTGGGACATAGGCCGCTGACAAGAGCTTTCCAGACGTGTCTCTGTCCAGGGCTAGTTTCTCCAACTGTCCCCAGGTGTATCCAATCTTCTTGGTGTCTTCTTCCAGGTCACGTCTCCAGGTCTTTCTTGGTCTGCCTCTCTTCCTCCTGCCTTGTGGATTCCAGGTGAGGGCCTGTCTTGTTATGCTGGATACAGGCTTCCTGAGTGTGTGGCCAATCCATTTCCATTTTCTCTGGAGGATCTCTACTTCCACTGGCAGTTGATTTGTCCGTTGCCATAGAACATCATTTCTGATGGTTTTAGGCCAGCGAATTCGCAGGATCTTTCTGAGACATGCGTTTATAAATGATTGTATTTTCTTGAGCACTATAGCACTGGCCACATTATCCTGTACAACTGAGTTCAAAGAATCAAAGCATTTTTTTAAATTGGCTGTTGAATTTTGTTTTTGCAAAATTCATTTGGAAATACACAGTACACAATTAATGTGATTTGTGCTCTATTATTCATTGTTAAAAATTATTAAGTAACTAGGCATGCTGCCCAGCTTCGCTTAGGCTTTCGAAAACATTGAGAATTTGAATGCTTAATTAATTCGCCCGAAGGTCGGTCTACGACCTCAAGAGTTATGAAGAGGTTCCTCCGTGGACATTTTTTTTCGATTTATAGCTCATATAAGGTACCGGTCAGTCGAGGTCAGTTTTGACCCCCACATCGTAGACTTTTCGGCCAACCGGCCCCCGTGTTCTGTCGCACCAAGGCAAGATCATGCCAAATTTGAAGCGCCTGCGGCGCCGGGAAGTGCCCTATCGGACACCCGACAATCTAGATCTAGATCTAGATTCCTAAAAGAATTTTTTTTTTAAATTTAGCCCGAGCATAATAAAAAAGAATACATTAACCAAGTTGACTTGCTGTGTCTCGAACCCGCACCACCTGCGTGGTTTAATGTACACTATCTCCGCTATTTAGGCACCTTATAAAATTCGGAGAATGAAACACGTATTTTAAAATCTTAACTTACGCGAATATGCCTATTCTTTCAAATTAATTTTTTATCCCAAATTAGCCAGTTCCAAACAAAGATTTTGTATAAAATAAATAAGTCTTGAAATAGTTTAGTCCTAATATAGACATTTATTTTTGGAATTGATTTTAGAGAAGTTAGAGTCTAAATCTAGATCTTAGCGTCTACGTCTAGATCTAGTTATTGCGTAGATTTAGATTTAGATTTAGTCTAGATCTAGAATCTCTAGATCTAGAATCCAAATACATAAAATAAATTTTATGAGTTTAGGCCGGAAAAATTGTATTGTATACATTTCATAGTGTACGTAGATCTAAATCAAATTTGAATGAAATAGTTCATTTCTTTTCATTCTTAACACGGCAGATGACGTCATTAGTTAATGTATAAGCAATAGTGACGTCACAGTTTTATGCGTTCTTTTTCACATATATTAATGCTTTTCCGGTTGCATAAATAATACTGTTTCTCTACATTCGAATACGCCTTTAATTTTTATTTTTCTTCTTTAAGTAAAATTGTGGTTATACATTTAAAACATCTAACATATTATTTTCAACAAAAGTCCGTAAAAAGTTCTCCATATACCGCTGCCGATTCTGACGTGATGTCCGGCGAAAATTTTTTGCGGACAGAGAAAGAGAGAGAGAGAGAGAAGAGCGCACATGGCCTTTTATAAATTAGGATGAACATTGATACCTTTCAGAGGGTTTTATGATCACATCTAAAATTCGGACATCTTTGTCTGCCAAATATATGCTTACATTTACAGGAAGTATTTCAAAGCTGGGAACATTTTCTGTCAGGTATCTGTTCAAACAAGAGTCATGTGATAGCATATAATATATATATATATATATATATATATATACACAATATTTTGACTTTCTGTATTATTATTAGATTGGTTAAATAAAGAAGGCAACAATTTATCTAAAATGATAGTGTAGTTTCATTTTAAAAGTCTGCAACTCTTTGAAGTAGCCAATGGCATAATGGGTGAAAGTGTGTGTAGAGGGAGGGGAGGGGTATGGATTCTATAAATGTTAAATTCTATGCTAGACGGTACTATACAAAAATGTTATACGATTTGAATGGTAGGGGAGGGTGAGTATTTTAAAAATGAAACACTACCTATCAAATGCATCTGCAATCAATTTTTCACTTTCTTCAAGGTTTGATTTTAACTTTGCTTTTAATTCATCTGTACTTTCGGAATTACTCCCAATAAAATATAGGCTTGATCCTCGATCAATTAGCTCCAGTTTTCTTCTGTAATCTTCTTTTAATTTCTAGAAATTCAACAGAGAATAACTTTAAAAATGAAACACAACTAGAAATAAAAATTATTTATAAGTAGTTTTATTTAAAAAAATAGCAGAATGGTTAATACTGAAATTAAGTGTTTTATACTTAAAATTTCATAGGCTTTTCAAGCCAATATAGCCCATTCACTGTTAAGCATAAACGATATGCTTTTAAGTTAACATTTCACCTTGCATGCACATAAAATTATATAACTCAGCTATCTCAAAGAAAATGTTTTTTTTAATTGATTTAGAGACTAAATGTTTTGAACACTAAACCTCATTCTATATTTTGGACACTACACACAACTCTACAACTTTAGGTTGGACATTAGCTCTCACTCTATATTAGATGCTGACACAAAACTCATCACTAACACAAACAATGTTGGACAATCTAACCCATAATTCTTTGTTTCATACCCAATAACCTACAAACTTCAATGGACACTTAACCACCACAATATACAGTAATAAATCTAGAAAAGTCAGGTATACTTACATCATAATATCTCTGATGGGAAAGTAAACTTGATTTCATGTGTTCTATAAGAAAAACATTAACAATTATATTTATTTATTGTAGATTTAAGGCTAAAAACTACTGAAACATTACCCTATTCAAACCATTAAAACTTTGAAAAAATCATTGTATGCCTATATTATACTTAAAGTAACGTAAAACTATAAAAATACTTCAATAATAAAAAAAAACTTATATTTTTATTAACAAAAACTAACTTTTAAGTATTTCCTCAAACGGTGATTTGCTTGTATTTTCTACAGCTGAAAACAATGAAACAAAATGTATAAGGTTTTTAATATATTCAGTTTTTATCATAACATTCCCTTTTATAGTATTTTTTTAAATCAATCAAAATTAAACCCAATGTATCATAACAATTATGATTAAAGTTGGAGGATAAGCTAATTTAAGTTTTAAGACAAGATATTTTAATTCTAGCACACCTTTTAAAAGAAAAAAAATAAGGGAGATAACTTGCAATGAGCTTTAACAGCTAATAATTTAAAACTTTAAAATAAAAACTTTACAGGTTTGAAACATGTTCTCAAAATATGTTTCCTCCGCCTTGTCACGTTGTAAAAGAACTTGTTCTGTTGAATAAGAGATAAGACTGATCAGGGTGCTTAGTAGTAGTGTTCTATTCAATTTAAAATTTGTAATGATACATTTCAATCAATAGAGATTAAGATGAATTCAAATTATTAAAAGATCATATTATGTTGATAATAATTTAATAATAAATTTTAAAATATTGTTCTCATTAAGCATGACCTGAATCTTCATCTATCAAATTTTCAGTGAGTACAAGAGCTCCTCACCAATTAATGAGTCAAACTGCACATCAAAATAGAACTGTGTGGCTTGCAGTTGGCTGTTGCAGCATGGGCAAGTATGCTTCTGTCCAACCCATTCTGTTATACAGCGTGAGCAATAGCGGTGCCCACACGGTGTTAACACAGCACCCCTTATCACAGACAGGCAGATAGAGCAGTGAATGTAGTCCTCAAGTGATTCATACTGGAAATATTTTTTTTAAAAAAACATTAAAATAAGAAAATAACATAAATATTCTTAAAACATGATTATTGATCAAAACCTACTTACTAACAATACTTAAAAGTCCTGGAATGGTAGTGAAAGCAACTACAGATACTATACTATCAATGTTAGGCTTAATTACAAATTAATAGAACAGTCTTTTTTAAAAGCAAATTACTGGATCTACACTCAGCCAAATTTATTTAGGTCACCTAAAAGACACTAAATGTAAAATGATAGATTACCAAAATAATAAATATTTAATACAAAGTGACCACTCTGAAGAAACTTCTTCCCCCCCCCCCCCCCCCCCTGGGCTAGTCCGGCCAGCAGAAGATGAAAACGCAATGACCATAACAGATGCAAATTGGCTCAAATTAAAGACTATTAATAGCAGGGCAATGGGCTCATTAATCCTTTAATAGCTGTGCAATGGGATCAGTTTTCCTTTTTAGCCTTATTCTTCTGACAAAACTATCTGTACCATGTGTTCGAACAGTTGCGCTTTGGGCTAGTCATCAGGTATTAAGTTGAGTATTCATAGTATTAGGTTAAAGTAGAGTGAAGTATAAAATTGTTTTTTTTAAAATCTATTTTAATAGCCTATTTAAATCTAGTATTTAAGTATTAATAAAGTTAATCCATGTCCCATCAAGACAACAGATAGGCTAAACAACGAACATTTAGATGACAAGAAAAACCGGGCCATTGTAGTGCTATAGGCTATGCGTTTCTTCTTCTGGCTAGAATCTGTCTATTTAATATATGCCTATCATGTCATGTCATGTTTGCCTGCCGTCCCTACTGGGACATAGGCCGCTGACAAGAGCTTTCCAGACGTCTCTGTCCAGGGCTAGTCTCTCCAACTGTCCCCAGGTGTATCCAATCTTCTTGGTGTCTTCTTCCAGGTCACGTCTCCAGGTCTTTCTTGGTCTGCCTCTCTTCCTCCTGCCTTGTGGATTCCAGGTGAGGGCCTGTCTTGTTATGCTGGATACAGGCTTCCTGAGTGTGTGGCCAATCCATTTCCATTTTCTCTGGAGGATCTCTACTTCCACTGGCAGTTGATTTGTCCGTTGCCATAGAACATCATTTCTGATGGTTTTAGGCCAGCGAATTCGCAGGATCTTTCTGAGACATGCGTTTATAAATGATTGTATTTTCTTCTTATTTATAGCAGTTATTCTCCATGTCTCAGCTCCATAGAGTAAAACAGGTTTTACGAGTGTGTTGAAGATCCGGATTTTTATTCTAAGGGTTAAATCTCCCGAACCCCAAACATTTTTTAGTTGGTTGAAGACTGCTCTTGCCTTACCCGTCCTTATTTTTATGTCTGCTTCTGTCCCACCCTGCTTATCAACAATACTTCCAAGGTAGGTGAATCTATCCACTTCTTCTAGGGCTTCTTCTGCCAGTGTTATAGGGTTGTTGTTTGATGCATTGACTTTGAGAACTTTACTTTTCCCTCTGTGGATGTTCAGACCCAGGCTTGTAGAAAAATTTGCAACCCTGTTGGTTTTATCCTGCATTTGCTGTTGTGTGTGAGAAAGAAGGGCCAGGTCGTCAGCAAAGTCCAGGTCATCCAGCTGGCTCCACAATGTCCACTGTATACCGTTTCGCGTTTTCTCTGTTGACATCTTCATAACCCAGTCTATGGCCAGTAGGAACAGGAATGGTGAAAGTAGGCAACCCTGCCTTACTCCGGTCCGTACTGGGAAGGCCTCTGTAGTCTGTTGGCCATGCACTACTCTACATTTGAGACCTTCATATGAAGACATAATAATGTTGACTATTTTCTGTGGCACCCCGTAGTGTCTCAACAATTTCCACATTGACTGCCTATCCAGGCTATCAAAGGCCTTCTCATAGTCTATGAAATTAATATAGAGAGATGAGTTCCACTCTTGGGTCTGTTCAATGATGATGCGCAGGGTAGCAATTTGGTCTATGCATGACCTTTCCTTCCTAAAGCCCGCCTGTTGATCTCGAAGCTGGGGATCTATGGCTTCCTTCATTCTGTTTAATAATATTCTGTTGAAGACTTTGCCTGGGATGGACAAAAGTGTTATCCCTCTATAGTTAGAGCATGCACTAAGATCGCCTTTCTTTGGAAGCTTTATGAGTAGTCCCTCCTTCCACTCCTCTGGTATTTGTTCATCTTCCCAGATTTTCTTGAAGAGTGTGTATAGTAGTGTGGTGCTAGTTTCTATATCTGCTGTCAGTGCTTCTGCCGGTATACCATCTATTCCTGGAGCCTTCCAATTTTTCAGCTGCTTTATAGCTCTATGTATCTCTTCTTTTGAAGGTGGGTTGCAGTCTATAGGGAGGTCACTTTCAGCTGGTGGTATGTCTTGCGTGCACTCTGGTGTTGGTCTATTCAGTAGTTCTTCAAAATGTTCTACCCATCTCTTCATCTGTCCTTCCGCATCAGGTATTGTCTTTCCATCTTTGGTTTTCACTGGCCTCTCTGGCTTACTGTACTTACCAGATATCTTCTTAATTGTATTGTACACGTCCCTAATATTACCATGGTACAGTGCTTCTTCCGCTTCTCTTGCCAGCAGTTCCAAATAGCTCCGTTTGTCTTTCCTTATGTGTTTCTTTACATTTTTGTTCGTTTCGGTGTATTCTTCCAGTGCTTTTAATTTCGTAGCCCGTGTGCGGCTGTTGTTTAATGTTGCCTTCTTTCTTTTTCTCTCTTCAATAATTTTCATGGTATCTGCTGATATCCATTCCTTCGCTTGTCTTTTGATAGGGCCTAGCACTTCTTCGCATGTTGATGTTAATATACTTTTAGTTTTTTCCCATGTTTCCTCTATCGTCTCTTCTTCTATTAGTTCTTGTAGTACCTGGAACCTATTGGACATATGAAGTTTAAATTCGTTGAGTTTAGATGGGTCCTTTAGCAGGCCTGTGTTGTACCTGTATTTCCTTTTGTTTTCCAACATGTTTTTCTTCAGCTTGAGTTTTACTTTAGCTACCAGTAGGTGATGGTCTGAAGCAACATCAGCTCCTCTCTTGACGCGTACATCCTGAAGTGATCTCCTGAACTTTTTTATGATACATATATGGTCTATCTGGTTTTCTGTAGATAGGTCGGGTGATACCCAAGTAGCTTTATGTATCCTTTTATGATGAAAGAGACTACCGCCAATGACTAAATTATTTGTGGCACACAAGTCAGCAAATCTTTCTCCGTTTTCGTTCATCTCACCTAAACCCTGCTGTCCCATACATTCTTCATATCCTCTGTTGTCGCTTCCAATCTTAGCATTGAAGTCGCCCATGAGTATAAGGATGTTTCTTCTTGGGCGGTTCTGGATAATGGTCATTAGCCTGTTGTAGAATTCGTCTTTGTCCTCCTCTTTGCTGTCATTTGTTGGGGCGTAGGCCTGTATTATGTCCATGTTTATTCGTCTTATTTTAGTTTTAAAGGTGGCTGTTATGATCCGCGGGCAGTGTGCCTCCCATCCGATGAGAGCCCTTTGTGCTTGGTTTGATAGCATGAGTGCAACTCCTTGAGTATGTGGTGCATTTTCATCCTCATGACCTGAGTACAGCAGTAGCTCTCCTGATATCAGCCTTTTTTGTCCTGAGCCAGTCCACCTTGATTCGCTGACACCCAGGATAGCTATTTTATAGCGTCTCATTTCTGCTGCTACTTGGGTTGCTTTTCCAGCTTCGTACATCGTGCGGACATTCCAAGCTCCAATATTGATGGTGGTCCTAGTGGAAATAATGGTGGTCGACCTGGTGGTTTCCAATACATATTGGCTTTCACCACCCGGCTTCATAAATTCTCCATCGGGAGATCCATTTTTCCCCTGGTCCGAGCTGTCTTTGTTTCTCTCTGTCTGCGTTTCTGTAGCGGGTAATTTGTTTTACGAGATAAGGTTGCTGACCTTATGCTCAACCCCCAACCTGGAGGGCCAGGGTGCTAGCTTTCGTCTGACCCCTACCCGCGCAGACCTTCCCAGCTTGGTTGAACCTGCCAGGAGTTAACACTCCCGCTGGTATAGCTCTGGGGGTCGTCAGGGTACGCAAGCTGCCAAGCCACGACAAGGCCCTAGCACCAGATGACAGAATATATGCCTATGCCTACATCTATTTTTCTGTAGTCTTTTAGGCTTGTTTTTTAAATCCTCCATCATATACTTAATTAAGAACAAAGAACAAGAAGAAGGCATACTAATATAATTATTTAGTATTTTTTATTTGTGCCTATAGCCTAAATTAAATAATAATAAATAGACCTAGGCCTAATATTAATATTTTAATAAGCCTATTTTTTTTTAAATTTTAGTAATATTAATAACCTGATAAATATAATTGATGACTTAACCTTACTTATTAGATCTACTAACTAATACTTACAGGTATAAAAATCTTTCCATTATTGTCATTGATGACATTAGTACCCATTTTTTTTATTTGACAAAACAAAAAGAAACTGACTGACAGTGACTTCAGAGAAGCCTAAAAAATTCAAATTCAAGTAAATTGTCAAATTGAGGAAATTCCTGGAATTAAAATGATTATGCTTAGTAACTAGTTTACTAAGCTAAGAATAATAATTATTATTTTTATTAAGATTTAAGAAGTGACCTGCCTGAGATGTCTGAGTGAGTACTGGCTAGATCTAAGTCTCTTGAGTCATATTTAATTATTTTTATTAGGCCCCCTGCCCCTAGGCCTTATTTTAAACTATAAATTAATTAATTAGTAAAAAAGTAGCCTAACTAAATTACTAATACTTATTAATTAATACGAGCCGACCCGCGGCATATCATACGCCGCCATTTAGTTGTTTTATTTTCTACTTTTTAGTAATTCATAATTTGTAAATTCGACAGTACCAATGCTGCCACTGAAAATATTTGCTTTAAAACACTATCAGTAGGTCGTTAGGAACGATACTACCCCCACCCTCCTTTCCCCCAACCCCTACCCTACACCCCCCCATGAAAGCAGCCTCCCCTAAGTTTAAAATCGTTTCAAACTAAATTGTCTGCCCCAAATAGCCGTCACTAAACCCGGCTCTACGACTGTAAACATTTAGCGTGAACCACAGCTCACCAGACCATGTAGGGGTGGGGTGGTAGGGAGCGCGCTTACAGCTTGTTTTCTAGCATCTCCAAGAAGAGAATCATATATATAGATTAATACTAGATTCTAGATTTAACAATAACTTAATAATAACTAAGACTAATCCTGACCTAATTACTAATAGGCTAATAGGTAATCCTAATTATTTTATATTTTATTATTTATTAGGGCCTATAGTATAATAATTATATTTATAATTTATTTACAGTAGGCCTAATATTATTATTTTATAGTAATTTTATAATTATAGCCTAAGTTTATTTTATAATCTAATAAAGTGGTTTCGCTGCAGAAGTTAGCGAGAAAAGACATTTTTTTAAAAATTAACAGTTAGGCCTAAATACTAGATCTACCGTAAAACTCTATTTTAGCGTAATTTATTCGCCACCTTACGTTCACCTCCGATTGAGCGTATTTTATTATAAACACAACCGAAACACACAAAAATGTTAGGAAAACACAAGGATTAGAGCTAGATCTACATATATTTTTTTATGAATGTGAGTTTTATTTAGAAAGGTAAAAAAAAAACAAGAAAAAAAAAGCATTAGTACAGTTCCAATTAAATAGCGTGTAATCGTCAGCGGGAGAAAAATCCCTACACAATCGAGGGTTCACAGTGAGTTCAAATTGACTTTAATTAATAATTATCAGCATACTTCATAAGTTCATAGCTTGGGCAATAGCTATTCTATTTGTAATGGTGTTGGCCTCAGTTTTGGGGTCATTGTGAGTTCATGAAAGTTTATTTATAGCATCATGCGTGGGAGATACTTGTAACAATACTCAATACAAACCTAACCGCCTTGCAATTTTGTGTTTCGTACTTCGCCCATTGCCATGAATATTCAATATCTAATCTTAACTGACACACGAACATAGCACATTCATTCAAGTTCAATATTCCAAATTTGGATTTTTTTCAAGTTTTGACAAAAGTAAATTATCAAAACTAAAACAAAACTTCATAAAGAAATAAGCCCAATGTTATGAATGTTTCCTAACGTATATTTTAAAATATTTTTGTGTGCTTCGGTTGTGTTTATCATTAAAATAATTAAAAATGGTTAAAGTTAAAAAACTTTTTAAAAGTGCTCAACTCAACTCAACTGGAGGTGTACGTGAAGCGGGTGAATAAAATCGCTAAAATTGTGTTTTACCTAGATTCTAGATCTCTAGAAATCTAGATCTAGATCTAGAATTTTAGATCAAAATCTTAACACTGTTAATATTAATATTTTGTAGTTTCTTCCTTATTCTTAATATTTTGTTTATCAATCTTACTAAGCAAAGATTAGTAAAGCTATAAAATCTAGTCATAGAAGTAAAAAAAAAAGTTGTTATAGGGGAATGTATTCCGGAAATTAAAGTTACAAAAAGTTATTTTAATATTATTGTTGCCTCCCTTTCAAAATTACATCATTCGGATTTAGTCACTAGGCCTACATTGACAATTTGGCATGAAAACGTTAAACAGAAACAGAATGAATGCTCTATCTCACTACCTTTCGAGTTTAGGGGAGCGAATGACGTATACAATTTTGTGAGCGCTACACTAAAAGTTTCAGTAAACACCATGTTTTGGTGTTTAACATAGAAATGTTCGGTTCCAACTGTGAAACAGTCAAAAGTTTTTTTTTGTTTTCGACATTGATACGCTTTCTAAAAATGAAATCAAGCAGCAATTGAATATAAAGCAGTATTTTCCAATTTTTGTGTGCTATTTCCCACTTAAAACCAGCGCCCCTACACCAAAAACCAGAGTACCCCTTTAGTGGGGGTAATCCATAAATGACGTCACGCTTTTTTGGACACCCCCCTCCCCTCCGTCACACACACGTCGTCACAAAAAGCAAGACCCCCCTAAAATGACGCCACACCTCAGCCTACAACCCTCCCCCCCCCCTCAAGACTGCAGTTGAATTTTTTTCAAACATCGATATTTTTCCAAAAACTTGTCTGAACTCTGTCAAAATAGAGTATTTTAATTAATTCCTATTACAATTGATTAAAACAGTTTTCTAAAACGCAAAATAACGTATAAAATTCGTTTTCTAATATTTGCTTTTTGATAATGCAAAATTGTGACGTCGCAAAATCTGAACCCCCCTCCCCCTCATCACACACCGTCACAAAATTACGGACCCCCTCCCCCCTGTGAGTGTGACGTCATTTATGGACGACCCCTTGTCTAAGTGCTTCTAAAATCCTTCCCCCCCCCCCCATTTAAAAAAAGTGCTGGACTTTATTTTATGTGAAGATTTTTCGTACTACATAATGTAATTGATAGATCATCATTTTGTTCACACCTTTTTCTCAATACTGGTCATTGTAGCAATAGCAGAGGGTCATCTTTTCTAATAGTATTCGCATTTTAAAAATTCAACGAAAATGGCTTTTATTATTTTGACAAATCACTAAAAAAAATCAAACATGAAAAAATGCACTAAAAAGGAAAAAAAAAAAATAAATATTCGTTTTAGATTGGTTACATCTTGCATAGTCAGCAACGTCAAACCACTATATACGTCGCAATAGAGTTTCTTCCAGCCCCCCCCCCCCCCCCCCCGGTGTCAAAAGTCGACAAGAAACACTGATGGGTAAAGGCTACTAAACAGATACCAGCTATAATATGCGATTGTCAAGAAAAGGCATGGAGAACCTTTAACAATTGTGGAGTCCGTGGCGAAATATCAATTTTTCACCTTCATGAAGATCTAAATGTAGTTATTCAAGTTTGCGAAAAAAAAAAAAAAAACAGCCACCGAAATTGGAAAGGTTTGTTGCGCTTTTTACCAGTCACTTTTTTAACGATTTAAAAAAAAAATTATTCTGGTGTTTCAATATATATGATTATTTTGATACGCTCCATTAAGCCTAATTGAACATTTAACGAAATTTTAGCTCTAGAATCGTTTATAATTTACTACTCTTTTAATCCCCTGGCCCTAGGCTAGCTCAAATAATGAAATAAAAATAAACAATATTAATTAGATACGATAACTGCGTTGGTCGGAATCAACCTTAAAATGAGGCTATGGGACCGGAAGCAAGTAATACGCCACCTACAGGCCTGAAACAATAAACTGGTAAAGAAAAGTTAAAAAAAAATATTGAAGGCCAAAACCATCGAGCTCTACACTAGAACTTGTTTATCAGCCATCATTTATTTAATGTTAGTTGGTGACCTAACCATCGCAGCTTCTAGAATCTGCTAGAGTTTAGATATATCCAGTTGCTTAAAAAAATTACCATGGCAGCAGCAGTTTCCCAGCACTTTGAAAATTTTAAATCACGTCTTGATAAAGTTTTGCACGAAAAAAACAAACTCAACGATTTCTTAGAAAAAATTGAGCAGAAAACAGGAGTAAGAAGATTGTACATCGCACTTGGTAAGAAGCGTATTTTCACTCTAACTCAAATACATACTAGATCTACATAGCTTTAGAATAGTTAAGATTAAGATTCTAAATCGGTAATCTATCGTTTTGGGTACGTAAAATCGCCCGCGGCTATTAATGTACGAAAACGTTACCTCATCATTGTCAAGACTTTAATAGAAGTATATTAGCGATACTCACTAATTTTAAATTTCGTTATTTTTTTATTTAAACATTACCAATGAAAGCTAGAGATCAATCTCTAATCAATCAAATACTTAATTTGTTGATAATAAACTCATTTGGAGCTTAATATTAATTACTGATTTTTGTTAAGGCAGATGCTAGCCGGAATAAGATGCGCATGCGCAATGGAGAGAAACTACGACTTGCCATCACGGCGATGTTTTCGATGGTACTGCGCATACGAGTGTTTACAACTGCAGAACCCTAACACTCTAACACCATCCCTAATCCTATCCCTATTCCTAATCCTATCCCTAATCCTATCCATAACCCTAATCCTAACCCTAGCCACAGGTCACTGCGCAGAGCTATCTTTTGCCTTTAAAAAAAAAAAGGCCAAGGCTATTCCCAGCCGACTGTGAATAGCCCCAATACGGCTATTCACAGTCGGCTGTCATTTCATGCTAAATACGACTGTGAATAATATCTTAAAATAATAAAAGCATTTATTGTGACTGGGGAATGAGGTATAGATTAAGAGAGCAGTGCTATTTTTATTTTGTTATAAAAAAGTTATTACAATTAAAGTTTAGTTTAGCTTTTAGGCTCATATCAGACATATCTGCTACAGGCTACGTAGGTCATAGATGATCAATTATGCACTCTAAATCTATACACTAGAATATAATCAGCTATAATTCAATTTCCATCACACTTTTGTGTTTTTTCCTCTTTTTTTTTTTTTTTTTTTTTTTGCTGATATGCCAACAATAACGTCACCAAAAAAATTAACAAATTAACATCTGATGGATTTGAACCTACACCTTCTGGCACGGCAGCCACTCCCAATGACCGCTCGACCACACATCTTCATGCCTAGTTAGGTATTTTAAACATTAAATCTATCAAAAACGGTCACGTGAATACGACTGTGAATAGCCCCAATATGGCTATTCACAGTCGACTGTGAATAGACACTTCGAAAAAAAAAAGCCTTTAAAATCGAGAAGCAGTGTACAGCGTCCCAGCGCAAGAACTCTTTCAATAAAGAACAATTTTAGATAGTCTTAGCACATTCACATGGTAAGTTTACACGCCGTAGACTTTCGGATATCCTGGAAAAGTTTAACTCCCAAATATTATTTAGGCCTAGTAATGGAAGGTACAGAAAATATCAAATCCCTATATTACCTTACCAATTATCAATGTACACATTGCGTGCAAAAATGAATAAGTAATTTTTTTAGCATGTTTTGAGAGGTCTACTAAATTTTGTGGACGTCCACAATGGGGGGGGGGGTCTAAAATTTCAAAATTTTGTGGACATCATAAATGGATGACTCCTAAACTAAATAGTAAATACAGGTTTGACTTGCTAAAGTCTCTATGCTAACCCTTTTGCTACTAACTAAAGTACTAACCCCAACCCCTAGTCCTACCATATGTCTAATCCTGATTAATTTCAAATTTCTAACTCTAAAACTGGACAAGATTACAATACTACCAACAGCCTAACCCTTATTTTCAGAGTCTTTTACTTTTGTCGGATATTGGTATCAATCAATTATTCGGTCTAGACTAGATTAAAAAAAAAAAATTTCACCAATGGAGGCAGCTGAGTTTGACGAGATGGGTTCCATTGTTAACATGGATAAAATACCTGTAGAACTAGGGGCCTATTTTTCTAAGTTTGTCATCATATGAGTAAAAAAAAAAGACGTTGCAGTGAGTTAAGGCTTTTAGGCCCCATCATAACCTCAATAGAAACAGTGGTTGATAAGGAAGCCATACAACACACTGCTGACAGTGACACACTAGAATAACTTTAACAATTTCATCTAATTAATAGTTGGGTGTTTGTATTAAAATACTTGTATTTGATAAAACCTCAACAGTGGAATCTTCTAAACTCTAACCGTACGTTGTGGGTGGAATCCACCCATATACATTTATCTAGAGAAAAACAGACTACAAAACCAATATGTGTTGTGTATTACAATACTATTGATACTACTAAAATGTGAGGGCGAATAGGGGTAACTGTAAGGGTTTGAAGAAATGTAACATAGCAGCTTTTTTGTGCTTTTTAAAAATTGAGGTATTAAACAAAAAGATAAATTTCATTATAATTCCATTTATTGATGAGTGGGGGGTAGCTATTTGGAATTGATGTCACAATTTCTGGGACGTTGCTGGGTGCGGGAAGTTGTGTCAGTGATCATTTACGGACACTCCCTAATATTCACTTCTTTTCTATTTTGTTAAGCTATGAGTGTACAGTGTCATTAATGCATGTAAATCATTGGGTGTACAATACCATGTTTTTTTTTTTAAGGAAAGAGGTATTTGACAGTTTGGTGTTTCCTGTGAAAATTTGCTTAAAAATCTTTCTCTTGACAGGATTTATTGCAATTATTGTGCTATGGCTAATGGTTGGATATGGCTCTCAGTTTCTCTGTAACTTCATTGGATTTATTTATCCAGCCTACGCATCGTAAGTAGATTTAAGGAGTAATATTAAATGTATTGAATTTGCCATTTTATTTAGTCTACCCAAGAATCCCAAGAGGAAAGATTTTTAGTCTAGTTTAGGCTATTACATTTTCTAGACTGGACTAACCTTTTTACTTTATTTGAATATCTAGGCCTAAATAGTAGTGTCTGCTAGCATAGTCCTAAAATACATAGTTTATTGAAATATAGTAGTATATAGTATCAATTTTTTTAATAAAGTAAATAAGACAGATTTTTATTATTTTCTACTAGTATTTTATTGTTAGTTTTAGCTCTTGACATTCTGGTTTTAAAATATTTAAGTATATTTTAACATACAATTGTAGTAGTACATTGGCGTATGTTATGTCCAGACTTAAAAATTATATTTTTATTTCTAAATTTGACGTAATTTGAATGAGACATTCACTAATTTAAATAGATTTACTTAACTATTTTTAAAATACTTGTTTTTTAAAATAGCCAGAAAAGTTCTATTTTTGTGACATAAGGTGTTCTGATTATTTAGCATTGATAATTTTAAAATTAAAATGAAAGAAAATGTTTTTTTTTTTTACATTTACTATTTATACAATTATTCCTTAATGTGACAATCTATAAAATTTAGTTTTATGCTTTATTCTAACAATATACATAGCATATAAGTAGAACCATTCTAGTGCTAGTTTCTTACTTTTTATAAAACTATATATTATTTATAAATTGTAATCCTGATTAATTTATCTGTTGAATAAGTAAAGTAAGCCAACAAATTACTGCATTTATCAACATGATTTATTAATGTTTAATTATTTTGTTTCAGTGTTAAAGCAATAGAAAGTCACGACAAGGAAGATGATACAAAGTGGTTGACCTATTGGGTTGTCTACAGTGTATTCAGCCTTGTTGAGTTTTTCTCAGACATTTTTCTCTTTTGGATTCCATTTTATTGGCTTTTGAAGGTAGATAACACTGTTTTTTAATAAATTATTGTGGAAACCTCATTATATATATTAGATTGTTGTATGCCTAATTTTTTTATATCAGATTAGTGTTAGACTGATAATGAAGATTAGGTTGTACAGAACTTTAAAAAATATACGATTAGGTTGGTGTGATAGATAGTTGTATCAATAACATCCATTGTTAAGCTGCCCAGTTAACCACCAGGTTTTATATGATTAAACTCTAAAGCTATTTTAACAGCTAATTTTTCCAATTTGACAGTGCATATTTTTGGTCTGGTGCTTTTTGCCAGTACAGTGGAATGGTTCTCATACACTCTACTATAGATTCATCCGCCCCTTTATTTTGCGCCACCAAGATCGCATTGATACTGCTCTTGACAAAGCAAAGGAAGCTGTTTCAGAAGGTGTGTATGTTTTTGATAATATGCTTAATTATATATTATTTCTGTACAGCTTTCTATGGTTTATTATATGGTCACAAATATCAAATTTTTATACTGGTTTTTTAAAAAATGGCATAAATTAAAACTGGAATATTAACCTCAAACTAAAATCTATATTGCTACTAATTATTAAATCTAATGCAACTTCATTGTGTTCTAATATTGGGAATTACCAAGGTTGCTCACATACACTAAATAGCTATTTACAAAGTCATCCCTTATATGTAAAGTTGCAAACAGCATTAAGTTGTTAAGTGTCACTGTATGCTAAAGTCAGTCAAATCACTTCCTTGCAGATTAATTGAGGTATTATAATACATGTTTTAAAAATTTTCTCATGTTAAATGATTTAAGCATTTTAAAATAAGTTTAGTTCAAGGTTTAAACATCTTATGTGTAAGCCTACCAAAAATGTTTTTAAAATCCAGATTCATTAAATCTTTGAGCCATGTCAATGTAGCATGAAATATTTGGTTTGTAGAGAAGTAGAAATGTGCTTGAAATGCTTGTACTTAGAATAGATTTTTGTGATTGTCATTTTGTGGAAACCTTTCAAGTGGATGTAGTTAACAAGGCAATGACTGAAAATGTTGGAGTAATTTAGTGATTTATTTACACCATGAAACTGAAAAATAATCACTCACTCACATTAATTGTATTACTCATTTTAGCAGTTAAATGTAAGTTATTATATTTGGACAGATGATGAAAGTATGTTACTTTTCTATTATGGTAGATTTTAAAATATGAGCTGACCCGCAACTTAGCATACGCCGCTATCTAGTTGTTTTATTTTCTACTTATCAACAATTCATAATTTGTGAAATCAACACAACCCCCCCCCCCCCCCCCAACCCCCGCCCAGTGAAAGCAGCCATTAACACAACAATAATGAAAATATCAAGCAGAATTTATTATCTCCCCTTAGTTTCAAATTGTTTAAAAACTAAATTATCTGCCCCTAATAGCCGTCACTTATTCAAACCGGCTCTACTATTGTAAACATTCGGGGTGAACCATAGCTCACCTGACAGGTGGGGATGAGGGGGTGGCTAAGCTGTGTGGTGTCTTGTATGGTCCCTATGAAGAGAATTATATATAGAAGCTCTTTTTGTGATCATTTTTTAAAATGAAATGGTTGACATTTTATCTCCTGTGATATTAAAAAAATTAAATATCATAATGGGCCCCACCTATACATAAGTTATCCAAAAACTTATATACTCACTGTTAAACTTAATATATAAAGAAATGAGTGATATATTTTTTTGTTTAATCTGTCTAGTTTTGATGATCTATTACATCTAGTTTAAGCACCTTAGGCAAAATAATGGACAACCATGCCTTAAATGTTTGAAAATATTGTACAGTTAATGTAAAGTAGGTCCTAATTGTTATAAGTTGGGTTTGCTAGGTGCAAATGAATGTTGGTGTAAATGAGATAATGAATTCATGGATTGATGATGTTGCTGAAAGATAGTGAAGTTTTGTGTAGAAACTGGTTACTGTGGAGTTAGTCCTTGTCTTAATCATCAAGGAGTAATGAAGTATGGCCTGTGTGGCTCAATTAGGAGACTAAATTCGTCAAAGGATTCTAAGGAAGAGATTGCCTTGTCTAGGTGGTCTGAGAAATCTGAAATCAACCTCTGGAAGATATTGTGTATTTGCTTCAAGTGTATAACCATATGTGTGTATAAACTGATGAGATTGGTACCCTAACAAGTGCAACATGTGCATTCATTATCTCTTTCACACCAACATTCATTCGCACCTAGCAATCCCAACTCCTAACATTAATGGTGATTTTAACATTAAGCTCTCTTTTAATTGGTTGCTTCTTTTAATTGGTTGCTTCTTTTTAAGTATTAAAATCTGAAAATCGAAAGGCAAGTATTTTTCAGAAATGCTACCACATTAAAATGCCTTTCCCTTTGTCCATAATAAAATAATGCTATTTCAAATATTTATTTTAAAAACGTGGAAAATGTTTAGTCAGAATCGTGTTTTAGAGAAAATAATTTTAAAAAAAATTGAATTATGTAATCAAGCTTTAAAACTAAAGGGTTTTTGAAATACTTCAATAATTATTTTTAAATATATTAATAACATTATACAGCATATTTAAAAGTATAGAAACTTTTTTTTAGATATTGATGGTATAGTGAACTTAAAAGTCATGTTCCCCATTTTTATTTTATTTCTTTTTCACTATACTGTCCCTCTTTTGCTTAGTATTTAACCTAGCTACTTCTAAGGGTGAGTCCTCTCAAGGCTCTATTAGAGAGGACACCAGCAAACTAATGCAGTCGGGTAAGATGCCAAACATTTTGGAAAAAAGATAGCAGTTGCTTGCATTTCCGTTTAATTTGCTATTTATGTTTTATGAATTCTTAATGAAGGTTCAGATTTTTGTACATTATTTTAAAATAATCGAAGTTTAAACAACTTAACAAGTGATCATGATGTCAATCCTTGTAAATGTTTTTTAATAATGTAGTCACTGAAGACCAAACAAGATGTAGGTCTAACTATAAACTATCTTTTTAATATATAAGACAAATTACAATTTTTGGTTCTTCTTATCTTGTATCTAGTATAGTTTCACATATCCTTGTTTGGTGGATAAACTTTAACATTAACAAAGTTACTTTTTTATTAATTTTTTTAGCAAATTGATGCTATTTACAAAAAAAATGCATGTCTTGGTTAGAAGTTTGTTTTAAATTTGATAAATACAGTTGGTGCATGAACTTTTTGAATTTTAAAAGCACATAAAATAGTTGTAGTAAAATATTATGTATAAACTGCTATTTATACATATAGTTAAGTATTTTTCCCCTAGCAGCAATTATCATAGACTTGTCCCTCAAGCACAATCTTTAATTTATATTAAAAAAATCAGTCATTTCATAAGTGTAGCCAAGTCCAAGAGGCACAAGTATAACCCATTAAAATATTTGTTATGATTTTGCTATAAAATTCGTTTTCATTTACAAACTGTAATGATGTCCTGTAAATGTTTTATGGAATAAGATAAAGATACAAGAATACATCAAGCACATTTCAATCTTACTATTTTCATTTGATGAGGGTGGTCTAGAAAATGTACAGTAGAACAATATTGATATGCCATTGCAGTTTTAAAACTGTTTCATATTTTGTCCAAAAGAGGGACGGTGCATATTATTACTCAGTTTCTGTTCTTCTGGGTTTATTTTGGTTTAAACTATTTTGAAAACTTTTACTCAAGATTTTATTATTAATTTAGTAATTATCCTTATTTTAGTCCCTTTTCATTCAACATTTCATTCACTAGCTTTTTCAGGAAATGATTGTCTAGCACTAACAATTAATAGTTAAAAAATAATTATTCATCTTTGCCACAACTTTAGTTGAAATAAGTTGTAATACTTTGGTGTAGTAAATTATAAAATTATACCTAAATCCAGCAAAGAAAGCATGGAGAAATAATAAATCTTACTGTTGAATATCTGTAGTTGACAGTTGTTAATCTCATAATCTTGCCCTTGGGCACTTTAAATAATTATAACATCTACAGTCAGAACATTTTCTTGCATTTATTCTCATAGTTACATTCATGAATTTAATGATAGCTTTACCTTTCATTAAAATGCTCATGTAATTGGTGACTATTAAATGTGACACTTAAATTTTTTTTATAAATTTCAGCTAAAGAATTAGCAGGGGACATGGCAAAAGATGAAGCTTTTCGTCGACTTGCAAACAGTGGAAAGAATGACTAAATCAGTGCTGAGTATTGCACTTACAGGTGCACTTTCTTGCATTCAGAGATGTTTTGCTCAGTTTTGAAACTGACTTAGTTACTTTGAAATCTATGACCACCCAAACAGAATCTTCTAGTACACCCTTACAACTTCTTGCTTTGGTTTTATTACATGTCCATTTGTCATAAACATCTAACAAATCTAACAGTGAACTTTGGTGGATTTAACATAAAAAAATGAAAGTGAATTAAGATATGTTTGACAGTTCCAAACAGATGTGTAACTTTTATAAGATTTTATTTTGAACTAAACTTGATTAATAGCTTAGTATTTAATTCATTAAGCTCATATTGAAGAGACCACTTGCATTTTGCTCAATTAAAAATGACATAATTACACATTTTGCTGATGGATAATCAGTTATCTATATAACGCTATGTAATACCCTTTTCACAGTTCCTATCTAGCTTTGCACAGTATTCGTTTCCTTTTTGTATTGACTGGATACCATAAGCTTCATGTTGGTTAATTAGATATTTACCTTTACTTCCTCTAAAGCACTTTATCAAATTATTTTCACACATCTAGTTCTTAACCCAGTGCTAACTATTGCTTTAAGTGTTTGTTTGGCCGCCGCCCCCCCCCCCCCCCCCCCCCCAGGCTCCCCAAAGATTGAGTGCAATTTATTATAGATGTATCTGCAAAATCAAATTGCTTTTTGACATGTGTTGGGGAAAACATTTTTTTCATCTTGTAAAAATGATCTCTACATATTCTAGTCTTTTTTTTTCTCATTGTTTTACTGAATATTCAGACCATTATTGATTGTACCAAGAAAACTGTTACTTTATCAACACCTATATAATGCATCTAACACTGAAAAATAAGGAAACACATTTATTTTCTGAATTGCCTAACTTTAAAAAATTAAAGATTTTATTTTTATCTATAGAAGTTACAAGAATAAAATTATGCATTTTTATTTTTACAGATATAAGCAGAGATTTTCCATTTTTATGAATGACACTATTGACATATTATGAGCTAGTATAAAAAAATTGCTTTATTTATTATGATGCATATTTTTTGTAAAATAAATTCAAGCACAGCTGTTTCCAATCTATAATAAATTGCTGTTAGTTATTTGTTTAATCAGTCTTTTTTATGTCACTCATCTGTGCAATATAGATCATGTACACCAGCATTTAGTTTTGACTAACCTGTTTATGCTAGAAATTCCTTGATACATATAAGCTGTTTACATTTGCTTACTCACTGTACAACTATTGCCATATTTTTTTCTATTTTTGGTTTGGGTAAATTCAATTTAATTTAAGAATGTATGGGTTTTTGTTTTACATTTTTTTTTAACTACTCTTGGATTATGTGAAATGACTATTTTACTCCGGTGCTGGAAGTCTCCTTGGTGTTGCTGAAGCCTGAACTGAAATCTGGAAACAGATTTCTTCTTCCAATTACTAGACATGACTTAGATCCATAATTCATTATCTTAAAAATCATTTATTAATATAAACATTTAAACCTTAGCTATGTTATTTAACAAACAGAATTGGTCCAGATTTCCCCACCTTTTAAAAGTAAATAATTTTGGTTACACTATTTTAAATGGTTGTGGTAGTGCTTTGCTTAAAGGCATCAATAACTTTTTTAATCTCTTAAGATTAAAACTATAAAACATTTAAAAGTATGTCATTGCTAGACAATTGATAGGGAGATTTTTTATTCCAGTATCATTGTCTTAGTTTGGCTTAGAAAATGCGCTTTCTTTGTACAATTGACATAAAAGCCTGTTGTATTTGAATTTATATAACTGTTCTTTGTTGTCTTAATATTGAGCAGATAAGCAACTGCTGTCAGAAAGAAATAAAAGCTACCACAACACAATGATTTATTTTTTATTTAAAAAAAATTCCTTATTGTTATTTGTTTTACATTCTCAGGATGTTATATTTTTGTTAACTTTAATTTACCAACACACTGTTATTTTGACTACATAGTTTTTTTTTAAAGTGTGTGTGTGCATGCTTTCAACTTGAAAATGTAGACTTCCTAATGTCTAAATGTTTTTTTAGACTAATAAAGCTTACATAAAGATTCGCCTAATTGTATTACTTCTGTGATGGATTGGAAGTTGATGCAAAGCCTTGTGATTATTTTAATTAAGTGCAAGGGTGAGCATAATTTTAAGTAGCTGTATTCAAAGAGGTGACCATACAGCATTTCAGTATTTTTGCTTAGTGCTGGGTTTATACAGTTCTGATAGAATTATAAAAGTCTTAAGTACTGTTAAGTATTTTGATGGCTGGAGCGCACAAGGTGTGTGAAATGACATAATCTAAAGAAAGCATTCTGATTCATTCAGATTAAGTAAAAAAATAAAACTTTTTTAGTTCTTACAAATAAACATTTTCTAAAATTCTAATGATTTGACCAAGGTGAAGTAGAGTTCATGTTTCTGCAACCTCGACTGGAGGTTTAAATTGTATCTTTAAAAAAAACTCTAATGCCATCCCCTTGTTCTAAACAAATCACATAACATATTACAACCTCATAACTTGAGCTGCCGTTAATTAGCATTTGCACATCTCTGCACTCTGAGTAATACTATCAAATAGACCTTAATTTAATTTGAACTAAATACCACCCCCCTCCCTTACATTACCTTGGCACCACAGTAAGGTTATCACCCCTGGCTCTCAGCATGCCATCATAAAACTGTCAGACATGCCACACCTTCTCATCCCCTTCTAAAATAATGTCACCAAATTTTACACTTTGCACAGTTATTGGTTTTTATCTCTGTTGATTTAGCCCAATAAAAATTTGCTAGTACCTATTAAACCAAAAAAAAAAATACTGAAAATTTTAGCATAAACTGATCATCAGATGTATTGATTAATTTTCAAAACAATGAGCAAAAAAAAAAACCTGTTAAAATAGCCTAAATTAACTGGTTACACTAATCTAACCCCTCTTCTATCCTTTTCTCTCCCCCCCCCCCCCCCCTTCCCTGCCAAAAAGACAAATTCCCACAGTGGTGGTGTTCATTGTCTCTTTGGTCACTAGAAATGTTTTTAGATTTCTAGTAGTAGTATAATAAGTAAGCCTGTAGTAGATATAAAGAAGCTCTAAAAAGAAATGGTACCATATTTATTCTTCCCATTCTGTTTGTTCTAAACTAAGACGACCACAAAACTAAAAATAATAGTTTTGAAAATTGACCAGAAACATGCCAGTGTGATGAATGCAGCCAGACCATCAAACTGATTTATCAAGAATGAGGAACAGAATTTTGGACTCACTTGGTCTATTCACTTGATACAGACTGCTTGCTAGATTGACTTGCAGTTAAAACTCCAAATTTAAAAAACAAATTTAAGCCAGAGTTAATGTATTATCTTGAGATGAGTAAGTTTAAATAGATCAAACTGGGATGACTAAATTTCTACCAAAGATTTTGAAGATAAAAGAAAGTAACTACTGTTCAATTTCAGTGTATTGGATTTTTTTTTTATTTATTAAAAAAAAACGTACATCATTAAAACAAAGCAACAAATAGAATGAAAGCAAGCTACAAAACTGCTTTCCATTTAGTATTGTTTAAAAAAAAAATCGAGTTTATTTATAAACTCTTTTACTGTTTTATACACCACATACTGCAAATAAAACACTTAGCACAGTGAAACAGTGAAGAGAACATTGAATGCAGTGAAATTGGATTATTAACAGTTGACCTTAGTTTCAATAATTACTTCCATCCAAAAACCAGTCTTCAACATGTAAATGCTTAAATTATACAAGGCCACAAAGAAATGCTTTTTTTCCAGTTAAGCTACTGACACAAACATTTGGGAAGTATATTGCATTTGATGCTTGAGAAGGTGTTTGTAATGTAAACAATATTTAATCAGCACCACAAAGGTAAAAAATTAATCTTTACATCTGTTTAACTGCTGATGGATAACCAAAGACTGAAAACTAATTTGATCTATCTTACATTTAGATTTTTGTTCCAAATTGATTCAAAACACTTGTAAAAATTAAATTATCTACAGATGTTATTTCAAATGGAAATATCTTTAAAAATGAGTAAATACAGACTAACCTGAGAAATTTTAAATTACACTTAGTTGACTAGGGTTTTGCAAAGTGAACAAAAAAAGCAATAATAATAAATGTCCTGAGTCACTTTTCAACTATATAAAAATCAGTTATTGTTTACTTTCAATGTGAACATCATGAGTCATCCCCCCCCCCCCCTAAAACAGTTTCTTTATGTTCTTTAGCAATGTTTTGTTATACTCAACTTTATTAGTTAATATTAAGGAAATCAATGCCTTGGATGTTTGTGGCATGTGGACAATAAACACACACTGAACTTGCTCCTGGCAGCACCAACTGTATGTTACCAGCTTCATGATCAAGCAAAATAAATGCTTGAAATCTTAGGTTTGATTATATACTGCAGTGATGGTGAAATATCTTTGTTTCTCTTAAATTTTCTTGCAGTGCAATTAAAAAAATGCTAACATTATAGCGAGTTAAAAATTAATTTTTTATAAGATGGATATGCAGCAATTCACATTTTTTCCCCAGTGTATCTATCACCAGTTTTAAAAATAAATACATCTTGTTATGAACTGTGTAAGTTACAGTCTGCTATGTGCTACCTTAATTTATTTAAAAAACTTCAGTTGAGAGAAGGTGGAGCACTGTTGAGCCAAGTTATTTCTAAAGAAGGCCATTTAGTCTGCAGACACAACTTGATAGGGCTGGTGTCAGTAACAAACTGGATGTCCACTTCTTCAGCCAGTACAGCCATGCCTTCCGCATATAAAACCTGAAACAATATGGATTTCTATTCATTGAAGTTTTTTATCAAATGACATATTTTATCTAGAAAGCCTCCTACCAAAAATTAAAACACTACTTTTCATAATTTATTGCTAAAATTAAAAACCTTGTGTGTAAAAAAAGTTTTTTTTTTAAACATCTTGATATATTTAGAAAAATTAATTAGAAATTTTAAAGTGTGGTATAATAAATAAAGTTTCTTTTCTATCAAGATCTGCTGGGCATGAACATGGAATGTGTATAGACATATTGTGTATAGAGCACTTATCTTCTGTTTGCAGGGACAAAGTGGTCAACAAATAACAGAGATTGCTAAAATGCCTATATGAATAATATCATGCTATTAAGGTCAAAAATATAAAACAAATCTTCTTGGGCTGTGAGCTCAGCTGAAATAGTATAGGTGAGACTACAATGTAGCATGTTTTACAACAGAAACAGTTCACTCACTGTGCCATTTACACAAGATTGTGGAAGTCCATTGTAATGATAGATATTGAAAGAACTTGGGCAATCAGACGGTTCATAAGGGAAAAACTCTTCCATAAAACAGTTGCGGGTAATTATTCCAAGGCCTTCACTGTCCATCTTTTCTGTCATGATATCTACACTGTGAAAACATGAAGCAAACTGTGATGGGACTACTAGCGTTGTGATATCTAATAACCATAGACATTTTAAATTGAATTACATATGATGTTTAAGGTTTTCAATTTGCAAGTTTTGATCATGATAGAGGTAAAAAATATGGATACAAAAAACAGTCCTGATAAGTAAACAATATTTTATTATCTAATTACTAGATTGCTTAAAATTTGTTATTGTAAAATCAAACTACATGTTACTTCTAGTCTTTAACGAATTGTTAGAATTGATGGTTTAACTTACTATTCTTTTTCTGCCACTAAATCTAAACTTTTCAAAACATCTTCCAATAGCGTGGATGAAATGAATCCGTTACCTGTGGATATAGAAAATTATAAGCAGTGAAAATGTGCTTCTAACAGAAGTAAACCACCACAAAGGGTGATAAGGCACCTTAAAATTCATATTGGTTTTTATAGAACACAAGCAATAGAATTATGCACTGTCTGATAGTTGTACAAAATAATTACCTTCAGGATCAAACTGTGAAAAAACCTGCATTGCATTAACTGCTGAATAGTCTTTTACAACTAGTTTTTCAGTCTGAAATACATTTGTAAAGAAAATTTTGCAAGTGAAAAGCCACACTCAGATTAAGCCCAATTGAAAACATATTTTAAATATTAGCTAATACTAATTTTAAAAAGAAAGAAGTTTGAATGGATAATTATTTATAAATGATGAAAACACTGGCCTACCATAGAGAACATTACTGTCAAATGAGTTTCACTTCCCAAAACCCAGACAGGAAACATAGGATTCTTGTAGAACCATCCAACCTGTATCATTAAACAAGTTATGTTCAATCTATCATACAGTCATAACTGGTACAAGATTTTAATTTACATTTCTTCAATGTTAAAAATCTTTGAACGACAAAACTTCTATTTAAGGGATAAAAGCTAACATAAGAAAATGTTTTTCTCTAAATATTATCTTCGTTAGTGTATTAAAAAAGATATAAGGCACTGCTTTATAAACACTGTTGAACAAAAAAGAGACAACACAACTAACACAAATTATTTTACTATTGTATTTATTAATTTACTTAAGAACAAAACAAGCATAAAACTCACCTCACAATATCTCATGTGTTCCAACAATGTAAGAAACCCAACAGCTGACTGCTTCTGTATGCCTCTGAGCTCTGTAGATGTCATAGTGTTATATATTGTTAGTGCCTAGTTATATTAAGTTATACACGGTTAGCGCCTGAAATAAAATTAATAACCTAAAACATTTGCCGTTTTAAAAATTCCTGTTATTAATTAAGATATTCGAATTTGAGTTTAAAACTTTTTTTTTCTTAGGTTCCTTTAATTTTATCTAAAATTATTGTAGTAATCAGCACTAACAAGCTTGTTGCTCAGACATTTAAAAGACTCACTAAGCCCTGCAATATCTTTCTCATTATCCCACACATTGGATGTAGCTTGTGATGTCAACAACAAATTTATCAAGCTCTGACTGAAAATATAAATAAAGCTAATAAACTTAAAGGCTTAAAATTAATTGGATAACAATGATTCCCTCTGTATTTTAAAAAAAATGAACTTAACGATGTAAATTTAGTACAGCCTCTAACTGTATTATTAAATACTACATTTTTTACAATTGCTTTAAAAAACCTTTGTACCTGCCATGTCCATAAGTCCCATCTATCAATGGCTCAGTTGGATCTTCTACTTCATTTTTTATTTGCTGAATTCCCTAAATAAATTGAGAATTCAAAACATATGAAGCTTATGGCTAGAAACTTTTTTTGAAGCACATTACATTTTGAATGACATTAGCTGAGCCTAGTTATATTCTAAAGAATATTAGGCAATAATGTAGTAAGTAGCTCATATATAAAAATAAAACTGCTTTTTTGGGGTAGATTTTCAAATTGTTCAAATGGCAATAAACTACTTATAGTTATATACTAAAATAAATCAAATAATCTTTTAGAGATGTTTATTTATAAAGTTGGTGTCATAGGTCTAAATTTAATGTTATAGTCTGTTTTTTGGTTTACTTTCTCTAACAATTAAAATTGAAAATATATTTTAAATATAATTAACTAAGAAAAATTTAATTTACCTTAGAGAGTACTAGAGAATAAAGATACAATAAAACTCCAAATTTGGACTGGAATTCTGGTAGAGATTTGTTTAAAGCTAATTTTAACTCTTCTAGATCATTGCAGTGATAATACCTGTAGACAAGAAATGCAACATAGAATAATATTTTACTATTATATTTAAACTATGGAGTATAAATTATGGTCGCATCACTTCAGTTCTAAATATTCACACTATTTCCTACTGCAAATGTGTTATGTTCATACTTAAGATTTTCGTGAAAATAGTTTTGATCTCTTGTTTTAGTCTCCTTGGAGGAAATGAGCTCAGTTTTATTATTGGTAACACTCCCTTCACCCTCCTCATCTCTTTGCTGTAGTGTGGACTGGTGTTTCAGGCTCACTAATACATAGCTTGAGCTGTGCAGCTTTGACAAGATTTCAAACAAGGCCTCGACAAGAAATTGATTGGCTTTTTCATCTGAAAACAAGTACATTTTATAAAACTAGACAAAAATATTAATTCAAATTATTAGCTTGCTATAATAGATATTTCACATCTATGAACTGTGCTAATAACCAGAAAGTCTCAATTTTTAATTCTAGCCCAAATGACACTCATGAATCTACCCAGTTTTTATTTTACACTGATGGGTACTTGACTCAAGGCACCTCAACTCACAAAACTGACAAAACTGTCCCTTTATATTCTGAGGTAATACAAGTTGGATAATACTTCTGTTGACTTTTCAGGCCTGAGGGGTAAACTTATTTTACTTTAATAGATTGTCAGGCTGTTGAATTATCTCTAAACAAAAAATTTATTTCAATTATAATTGATAAGTACAAAAAAAAATGAAAAATACTTAAAATGATAAATAAATTTATTACTGGATGATGATCTGAAGGTGTCTATGTTGCTGCTTCCATCTCTGAAGAGCCCACACTTGATTATATAAGCCTGTACAGGAGCTATAACAGCACATGGTCCACCTTCTAACTGCACCAAAGCTGTTGATTCTTTATCACTGAAAACAAATCCTGAAATTAAATATAAAGTTAATGAGAGCAAAGCATTACTTCCTATGAAGAGTACAAACAAAAATTTGCTATTAAAACCCAATCAGACAATTATCTGCCCTTTCCTACTTCCTGTGGTAGTTCTCAGGAGATAAACCAGCCATCTATGACCAACAAGTTTATCAACCAGGCTGTTTGAGTAATCAAGATTAATATCTCCCCTTTTATTATTAGGTATGATATTCTTAATAATAGTAATGACTCTTTTAACATCTAATTTAACAAAAAATATATTTTCATAACATTTGGAAAGTTTGAACCAAATTGCTAAATTAAAAGTGGGTCAGAGTTTCCTGGCATCTCTTCGAAGAACCTCTACCGCCCCCCCCCCCCCCTTAACAAAAATATAATTAATTGAGAAATATATACAAATTTCAAGTATCCACCCCCACCCGAGGTCCACGTTTGCTCTCAAATTGTTATTCACGTATTTTATTCTTGAAAATGCTTGTTCACACAAGTATGTTGATCAAAAATTTGAAAGGTACTTTGATGCAAAAGTTTTAAAATCAAAAGTTTGAGGGGGGAGGCGCAAATCGAAAGTTTAAGGGGGGGTGCAAAAGTTGAAAGTTTGTCCCCAGGAAGGGTCGCTACGCCTCTGGGGGGGTGGGGTGACACCATTAAGTGACGCACTGGGTGACACCCGACCTCGTTACGCCACTGATAGATATGTGTGTAGGCCTTCAACAAAACACAATTTTTAAAGATAAATAAAGATTAATTTAGATTAGGCCTAATAAATGAAGAGTTTCATTTTAAGATTTTAAAATGTGTAGGTCTATCTATAGGCTCTATACTATACTACTACTACTAGATCTATAGCTATATATTTTATTCAAGTTATTCTTACCTTGTGCCCAACGAGAGAAAACATCATTTTTTAATGAATGACCCCAAAGCAAAGACTTAGCATCCCCAATCAAAGTTGGGTCATGCGATGTTCGGTGTGACTGTGAAGCCATAATAATTAATTTAGTAATCTAGCTAGATCTAGTAGCTTAAGAAATCAGAAGAAAGTCTACATTACTCTACTGTCTAGTCTACATCGCCCGAATACTCAGACTCAGATCGACAGATACTTGAGCTTGAGATCAGCAGATTATTAAATTTTGTACAGTAGGCCTAATAAAAAGTAATTTCTCGATTAGATTGAGACGGTAAACAGTAATACATTCAAAAGAACTAGACGAGAACTAGAAGAGGCCTAGACTAGTCTAGATTTATTTATACTAATAGAACTTTATCGGAATATTCAATATTGGCAAAGCCAACAAATTTTAGTTTACGTCTACTCTAATGTTTGTTGATAAGTGGCCTATCTAACAACCGCAAGACATGGTTAAACCTAGGAGATTAAAGCATAGACGTACGAGCATAATATAATGATATAAATATGTGTGAGTATCTGTATATATGTAGTCCTATTATATAAAACTGGATATATGAATCTCATCAATGATTAACTTGATACAACCAGCACTTTCTTATAATCGCATTTAATGATAAATGACCGCATGTCATTTGTTGTCAATTTTAAACTCACATTTACACTCCCATTTAGTTTAGTACTGTTAGACCCCCATCCCCTTTAAATTAAAGCCTAAATTGACACCATACTTTAGCCCTTTCGTAACTTTTTGCTTCCCTTAAATAAAGCAGTAGCGAGGGGGGGGGGGGACATATGTCCCCGGGCGCCGACCTTAGGGGGCGCCAAAATGGGTTGGAAAATCGAAAAGTTTGTCCCCGGGCGCCGGTAAGGGTCGCTACGCCTCTGAAATAAAGGGATATAGCCACACAAAAAAGTACGAAAACGCTGTTATCAGAGATAACCACCTTCTAGCAAGGTTAATTTTTGCGTGAATAAAATGTAATGGAATAGTGGATAAGTTCATATTTATCCTCCATGTCTTCATAAGCGCATTTCAAACTATTTTAATTTCAAAGGACCGCCTCTAAAATATATATATGTTACGGTGAAAGCCCGAAGTCGGCCAATGCTAGGATTGGCCGGCCAATCCGCGCATTGGCCAATATCGCCTCCCATAGGTCGGTCAAAGTCCGAAACTTTGCTTGATTTCGGCCTTTGGCCGGCCAATCCGCGGACTGGCCATAGTGGACCGGCCAAAGTCTTAATTAGATGATCATCTGGCTAGGGACGACCGGCCAAAGTCCGAATTAGAATATCATGAACAGATTTTGTTTTTTTTTATGCCGTAAGGATCATGAAATTAAGTCTTTATTGATTATTAATTAAAGTAAATGACAGAAACATTCAAATTTTTATTGTACTATAGTCTCAATCTATCAATATCATCATTTGTTACAACAAGTTGAACTTTTATGGCATTTAGAATTACATAGCAGCTTGTTATTTTTACACTTGCAGCGATTTGTTGTGTACTTAGTTGTGCAATTGCAGCGAGTGTAGCCTTGGCCCCCAGCCAATGATTGTGAAGATTGCCCTCGACGCTCATGACAACTGCGATCACGCTTCGGGGATCACCGTGACCTCTGTCAACATCTGGAACACGGATGCGTACATTGTCACCCACTTCACCATCTTTAAATTTTGTATTTAAGTTTTAAGCATCTTAGCACCTTGAGTTTGCAAGCCAGTATGAGCTGCTGATCTGTGTTCCATGATGTCTTGTTTGTTGTGACACAATCTGCAGGTAATGTTCCCTCCGTACCCTTCGTCTGCTTCATTGGGTATTCCACAAATAGCATGGACATTGGCCGGCCAATGCGCGCACTGGCCAGAATGTCCTGGCCAATGTCCTATCTAGACTAAGTTGTGATCGCGTTTTCATTATTCTGGGTGCGGTTTCATTGTGAGTAACGTATTATTTGGCTCTTGTTTGTATAGTATTATATATGCAATGCGACATGGACCATTAAAAGGGCCGTCAGACCAAGAGACAGACATACCAGGTGGCTGCCAAAATATTTCTGAACTAAAGAACATGTGACCTGAACTTAAACTAGTTCACAGAAAACCAAGACATAGCCTAAGTCAAAGTTCAGTCGAACTTGCCAACCAAGATGTTCAAAACGCGATGATGACATGGATGCAGACAAATGAATCAGCTCATTGGGCTGAGAGTCTCAGATTCATTCAGTTTATGAAAAACCGTTCTTTTCATCAAGGAATCCAACAATCGCCATACGAAACCTTGTTTGGATGCAAAGCAAAAGTGGGAACTAGCACTTCAAATCTATTACGAGATGCGCTCGATAATTTAGTTACTGGGGTACATCGTGAGAACATTGAGCAAGAAATGGAGGTTGCCATAAATGCAACGACATCCTCAGCTAACGCATCTGCTGTCGTGGCGGAACGTCCAGACCAGTTGCGTGACAATAATGTGGCCAACAGATTCTGTGTAGTTTATGAAAACGATTGTAGTGTAGCTCATTCTTGTGGATCCTGTGGCAACGATGTCCATGCGATATGCAGAATAGCCAATAAAGCAGACGAAGGATACGGAGGGAACATTACTTGCACATTATGTCACAATAAACAAGAAATCATGGACAACAGGTCAGCACCTCATACTCGCTTGCAAACTCAAGGTGCTAAGATGCTAAAAAAAATCAGATACAAATTTTAAACAAGCTGAAGTGGGAGATAATGTTTGTATCCGTGTACCAGATGTTCATCCCAGAAGCGTCATTGCAGTTGTAATGAGCGTCGAGGGCGCTTTCTACAAGCTAGGAACGAAACATGAAGCTATAAAACAACTGTATGCTCGTCCGTTGGCACTAAGAAAAAAATCACTACGAACCATCACATCTTAACAATCACTGACCGGCGGCCAAGGCTACACTCGCTGCAATTGCTCAACCAAGTGCGCAACAAATCACTGCAACTGTAAAAATAACAAGCTACTATGTAATTCTAAATGCCATAAAAGTTCAACTTGTTGTAACAAGTGATACTATTGATTGAGACTAGTACAATAAAAAATGTGAATGTTTCTGTCATTTACTTTAATTAATAATCAAGACTTAATTTCATGATCCTTACGGTATAAAAAACATCTGCTCATGATCTTCTAATTCGACAGACTTTGGCCGGTCCACATTGCCATTCCGCGGATTGGCCGGCTATAGGCCGAAATCAAGTAAAGTTTTGGACTTAGACCAGTCAATGGGAGGCGATATTGGCCATTGCGTGCCTTGGCCGAATTCGGGCTTTGACCGTGACATATGTATACTTGGGGGTGACACCCGACCCAGCGACGCCACTGTGTTACGTCTAAATCAACACATCAAAAGACTTAAAAATAATAACTTCATAAGTAGATCTATTTTTTTATATTAGATGGTAAATGATATTGCCCTGTACAAGCTGAAACTCAAATGTTTGAAGCCTAGTACTGTTAGTCCATTTATATTTTATATTCGAATAGGCCCTTTGACTTTGATAAATCACACATACACGTATATTTAGCATGTAAAATGGCTAATGAAATGTTATACATTTTTATAGAATTGGTAAGTAAAGTTGTAACTAATAGACATATGTATTCTTAAAATTTACATTGTTTCCAGATCTAGAAAAAATCTATAGATCTAGACTCTAGATCTAGATCTTGACTCTAAATCTAGATCTAGATTTAGATTTATATTCGAGAGTCTAGATCTAGACTAGATGTCAATTTTACAATTTGGCCTTTTTTACACTTTCACGAAAACCTGGCTGTAATGCATTATGCTGGAGTGTTTACAAATTTCATAGGAAGTCAATGTTTGTAAATTTCATTTTAATTTGTTATGCCTACTATTGTTATTAGTCGTTTTGTTGCCTGTAAATTCTGTTATAGATCTAGTAGCAAGATGAACCAAACATTTAAGTGGAATTGAATCAATGATAAACAGGTATGTAAGCCTCCCACCCCTTCAAAATCATAAGAAAAAGAGCACCGCACGCACACAATCCGTGTTGTCTGTTGTGTGTGTACTCAAGTGTACTGGTAGTATTGTGGTACTCATATTCATAGATCTGACCTAGATCTAAATCTAGCTAGGGTCTGTCTAGTTTAGTGAAGCCACTGGTATAAGCAATCATCGCAATTTTTTTTCAAAACTAGGCCTAATAATTACTAATCATCTTTAGGCCTAATTTAAATAATTTTACTAACAAAACTAGAGCTAGTTGTGCAAATCTTCTTCAGGTTTTTTTCTGTTTTTAAAAAAAAAAAACATGAATTACTACACTCGACTTTATTAATATTTATTTAAATTTACTAAGTGTTGCTAATTTTTTGTCAATTAAACATTACGAAGTGACTACGCGGCCCCTAAGGAATAGACTACTCATCTAGCAGGTTGGATTTGCTATCTTGTAATTGAAAATGCTTACTTTTTACATTTCCGTCACATCCAGTGTGGTTGAGTCAACAGTGTGCCAGCTGTAGACTGTCTGGAAAAAGTCTTGAATTTAGAAAAGTCAATTTAAGACTTAAAAAAGTCTTTAAAATCGCTAGTTTTTGGGCTGTATTTTTTAAAAGTATGGAAAAAGTTTGGAATCTAGTTTTAGAAACAAAACTTCGTAGTCCAAATTTTCCATATAAAAAAATTGCGATTTTTAAGTGAATTTACTCCAATTTCTTTTCCCTCGCTATCGCGCGGGTTTACATTGTGTTGTCACGTTTTTCGCTGGTTTGCAGAAAATAAACGGATGCTCAGTTACTACGTCATTGGGAGAAGAGGGGAAGGGAGGGAAGAGATATTTTGTGGCGTGACTAACCCCGTGTAAATGTGTTACAAGTACTTAAAATTGTCATTTAATGAAAGAATGATCGCTCTCTGAATTGTTAGGCTCTCGATTTTACCCGCTATTTTTCATAGTTTGAGTTAGCATGCAGGCAGTCATAACAAAAAAAGTTATGGGAGAGATGTGTGAGTGGTAGTTTAGATATAATTTAGCAGTCTGTAAGGCGTCATCCAAAAAATTTAGACCCCCCCCCCCCTTCCCCACTCCCCCGCCCTCTGTCCACACGCGCTCACTTACTTTGGATAAATATTAACATTTATAAGATTAATAAGTCGCAAGGCCTCCTTGGGTTCATACCTGTATTTCTGTTTGCTTCAGCTTAACAAAGAGGTACTATTTTTATTTAGGAGTCGCCCATAAATAGCGTGACACTCCGAAAAGTCGGGAGGCGGGTTTCAGAAAGTTTGACGACACGCTCTTGCAATAATGTTAGGGTAGATATAAATACCGTGTTTTATTTACACGCTGTGATGGTTTTTAAAACACCAGCACAGTCGTCTTAATTTTACTTTCTACACGCAGGATACGTGTTTTATGTTTGTTTTAGAATGTAATCACAAAATCTTCCTTCCCCCCTCCATGTGTACATCATAAATGGATGACCCCTTTAATTTTAATCCACCTTCCATTAAACTGTTTTTGAAATCCTTGCAAATGCTGACGATTAAAGTTAGACTACCCCACCCCTCCTTGTATCATCGGTCACTTGTGTGAACTCACCATGACCCCAAGTGGGTATATGGTACTGCTTGGTAAGGGGGGAGGGGGTAAAAGTCACAGCACAGTTCATGTTATGACGTATTAAACAGGCATACTGAAGTCTAGACTACTATGACCTCACAGTGACCCCTTCACCGTGTCTTGTGTGTCTGTGGGGGGGGGGGGGGGAAGAGGATACCGGCAATTTTTTTTATTGCAGACGCGTTTCTCAGCTATTACTATAAGAACAAACAGTGAATGATGTGGGGTTGTTTTTTTTTTTTTGCTCCACATTTTTTTTACTAGTAGCCTAGGCTACTTAACAAGAGCAGACATAAATTAATACATTACATTATTATTCTTTAAAGTAATTCACTTTCACTATTATGCAATACCATTTTAATGATAGTTTTATCAAAAACATAAGCAATTAGATCATGAACAGATTACATTGGAAACTATATAGTTGCATCATTTTAATCAATTATTTTAATTGTTAAAATTTTAGGTAGGGTGGAATAGGCAAAGTTAGAAAAAATGATTTTCTGTCAATTTGGCCAGAGAAAGTTCAAAATGAATATAGCTCAATTGCCTAAAATAAATGTCAATTTAGTATAAGTAATTATAAAGACAGTACAAATAGTGCATTATTTTAAAAAAATATTCGCTAACACAATATCTGTCTAAAGTCTGGAATTTTTCCAAAAAAGTCTGGAAAATGTCTGGAAAAAGTCTGGAATTTCATTTTCAAAAAGCAGTACAAACCCTGACTGTAGTTCATAGACCCGAGTTCGAACCAGGGTTAGCACAACTGGTAGTTGTTTTTTTGTTGGTTTTTTTTTACATTTTTTCTCATATTGAAAATATGACGTATGATTCTTTTTTTTTTTAATCAAATTTCCAAACATCTTCACTGGCGTGATTGCTTGCTTGCTTGCTTTACGTTTACTATACCGTGAGTCGAAAATCCCACATAAAAAGTTCTTTAGATCGCGTGCCACCTAGGGTAAAGATTAAGCGTAACGCGGAGCGAACAGAGCAAAGGCGGCCTTACGCGTAACGCTGAGCGAACCGCGCAAATGCAGCCTAAACATTAAAATAGGTTAAAACATTAATTTGATGCACTTGAGTCTATTTTTATTTCACGGTCAAATAGACTATGGTTTACAGTAACAAATGTTGCAGAAACTCACCAAACATTACCCAATAATTTCTGACGCTATATCGTGATTTTACCTAGATCTAGATTCTAGGCCCTATCCAAAATCATGTGAGTAGGTCTAACTACTCTAACTCACTGACTCTAACTTGAGTAACTAGATCTTCTAGGCCCTAAAAAGTAATTAGGCCTTGACTCTACAACTCTACAGATTAGTGAGTTTTGATGAGTTTCTCACACATTTTACCTCTTCATCATTTCAATTTTCAATCATAACATCTCACAATTTGCCAAAACCCAACAATTAAGCAAGTTGAAAATTAATTTTCTCTGTGACTTCAATTTAATCATTAATCAAACTAAATTTTCTTATGCTAATACCAAAAAAGAATATCTATTCTGTTTATAATAATGTAAGGGTTATTTTAATGATTTATTTTCAGTGTAGCAAAGTAGTTTCCATGCATATATTCCTTATTTTTTGCTCTAACTTCCTCTTCTGAAATGTACAAGTTCTTACTTTTGGTTACCTGGGTTAGGCATGCATGTCTGATTGTAATATTTCATTTGAAACTTTTTTTGAAAATAAATAATTTGATTTAAACTGGCGGATCAGTCCATCTGATAACAGCCAGATAAAAAATACTTTTTAAAAAACTTAAAACCTAAAATTTGCTAATTTTTAGGCAGAGTTCGTGTGGCCTCCTGAAATTCCAGGAGGTCCTGGAAATCTCTTGGAATCTTAAAAAACGTAAAAATCTCCTGAAATTCTCCTGGAATTTAAAAAAATATAAAAACCTCCTGGAATTCTCCTGAAATTTTAAAAATTCTCATGAAATCTCATGAAATTTTCATTAACCCGCGGCCGCAAAACCCGACAGAAATTATTTGATTTTGTTCCGTCAATAATTGAATGGTAGTTTTTAAATGGGACAAAAATAAAAATAAACGCATCGGCCGTAGTCCGACTAAATCGCACTGCCGTGATCTACACATCGTGTGGCACAGCCAAGTGTGTGGTCACGTGACGCTAGGCGATTGACCCGATTGGATGATACTATAAACAATTTCTAAAGATAGATAGGCCTACATGTGTCCCCGTGTTTGACTTGTCGGCTATTGGATTTTTAAGTAGACAGGCATGTTTCATAACTTTGTCTTAAACTGTTGAAACAGCAAAAACAAGTTGTAGTAGTATTTACGGCTCTGGACTAATCGTCAAAATTAATCTTCTTTAGAAATTAACCCAGATAGCTGCGACCCGATCAAACAATGCTTATTAGCGTAACGTTTCATTATTTTATTTTCTACATTAATTTTTGTAAAAATGGCTATAGAAAATAAATTAAAATTTTCCAGTGGCTCTTTTTTTCGGTTGACTAAAAATTGTTAATACGCTTAATACTAGCTTGCCAAATCGACAAAATGGGCTGGGGTGGGTGGGGGAAGACACTGACCATTCTACATGGTATGTAACACCCAACGTAACACCCATTGCCTCACCCCGCCCCCCACTACTCCGTGACGCGACAAGCCGACGATCGGCGCCTTTGATGTTGTGTAACACCCGTACGGTACCCGAGCAGCCCGTGGTGGTTTCATACCCCACCTCTCTTCCCCCTTCACTTTGTGGAGTTGATGTGTTACTAATCCTCGGGCATAGATCAAGAAATCTTGCAAGGCTTTTGTCTCTGAAATTACATAATATTCGTCTGACACGTTCATCGGGTCGGCCGACTAGCCTGGCATAATTGGATTTGGCATCCAAAAATCAATAAAATATCACGAAATGATATTAATTGGTGAAGTCTGCTTGCATTTATACCTCTTATAGTGAAAAACTCTTTAAAATTTGGTCCATACCCTCCCAGTGTTAATCCTCCTTCAGGGTCTATCCCGGTTCTCTGAAAAAACTACTATTTTTTTAATGACAAAAAAAATCATAACTTTTTTTGTTTATGGTCAGATTTTGAAAATTCAAACTGGTCTGTAGTCAGATTGATAGCCTCTATCCTAATATGTAACTAATATATTGTTTTACTTTTACTGAAATTAAATTTTTGCATTGGCTTAGCTAATTAAATGTATTATTAAGTACGCTTTTTTTAAAATGTACAAATTGGGTTTCTTTTTAAAATCTCCTTGAATTTTTTTAAACTCCTGGAAAAGTCCTGGAAAACTCCAGGAATTTTATTTGAACTTTTGAGTATGAACCCTGTTTAGGGCATAGATTATAACATTTAATTAATCAATACTTTAAAATTATTAAAACTGAGATTTTAAAAACTATAGACATACACAAAACAAGGTTATGGGTTAGGGTCTAGAATTAAATTACAATTAGGGCCTACACAAATTGTATATGTAAAATAGTTTTCTCTCATTAAATTAGCTCAAATTTTCCAATTATTAAAAAGAAGTGTTTAGAAACAAAGTTGGAAACTCCAAAATAGGACCCTATACACCTTAGATCCAGAGAGGATCCATTGTTTTGTTTAGGCAAGATTAGATTCTTATAATTAGATTATACCAATTAAGCACCAATAGGTCTCCCTAATAATGAAAACTTGTTAGCTGATTCCATAACATGCTCAGGAGCGTAGAACTCATTGATTGTTAAAAAGAATTGTGCTCTCATTGGGAGTCAAAATAGAAATTACATTTTAAACAGTTTTAAAGATAATTGAGTCCAGATGGCTATTTCTAAGCGGAGGAACAAATTACAGTCACATGAAGGGTAAGGTCAAGGAGCACATTTTATTGTAACTTAGTAAGTCTAATTGTTACCTAAATATTTGGACTATAATGAAAATGGTTAATGTACAATTGGCAGGATTCTGTGTATAATAGCCCAAAAGATAAAATTTTATTTTTTAGCCTTAGAATAAAAAAAAGACAAAGGTTAGATCGTTATCCCATTTTGTTAATGTTTATAACAAAATAATATAAACACATTTTTGAAGTCAGATGAGTTAGACATTATTGTTGACATGGATAAAAACATGTTGGTTTTTTCCCATCAGTGACCAAAAATAATTTAAAAAAAAAACAACTTAATTCTGAAAAAAATTCTGCCATATAAATTGACATTTTCAGTGAAAAAAAGGGAATTTTTTTTTTTGGCTTTTTAAAAATTAAGTTATTGAAAATACTATAAGCAACAAATAGGCTACATCAAATCATTAGTAAAGCCAGACAAAAACCTCACACAAAAGTTTTAATAACATTGTTTGATTTGTAAGATATTTTAAATAATTTAATAAAGTATTCAAGACTATTCACATGTCTCCATTAGATAGTTTAGTTTTATTCTACTTTAGAAGTGTACAGTTAATTCATTTGTTGGTGAACATAATAATACATAAATTGTTGTAGGATTTCAGTAAATTGGATTTTTTTACTTTTTAAAGATGTGGGACTCTGTATTGTGTATTGGCATACAGTTCATTTTTATTTAAGTTTCATGATAAATTATTAGACACAAATAAGATTTCTATTTCTTACATAATTGTTTAAGAACAAAAATTTTCCATAGAGAATATATTTCAAGAGAATAAAATTTCAACCAAGAGGGCAGTAAAGCTAGTTTTTTAAATATTAATATGTAACAATATATTATATGTAGGCCTTATTGCTATATTATGTAGAAGTTCTGTTGAGTTTTTTTTTCAACCTCCTGCTTTGGATTATAAGACTTAAATATGTTGTTGTAACATTAAATCACATAATTTTTTTTTAAAATTATCATAACTTCATTTTGATCTTTCTTTATTATGCCACATTCACATGTGCATTTAATTATAGCCCTTTGCTAAATTTTGTGAACATAGGAGTTATCTAACTTTACTACGTGATTACTGCTCTTTAGGGCTGACTTCTCCATCTGTTGCCATTGCTTCCATTGTTCTGTTTTTACTCCACACCAGACCAGTGTGTTGACTTTATAGCAGTATTGTACATTATGTTGTTGTAACATTAAATCACATAGAAATTTTAAAAAAAAATTATCATAACTTAATTTTGATCCGTCATCTTTATGCCACATTCACATGTGCATTTAATTATAGCCCTTTGATAATTTTTTGAACATAGGAGTTATCTAACTTTACTATGTGATTACTGCTCTTTAGGGCTGACTTCTCCATCTGTTGCCATTGCTTCCATTGTTCTGTTTTTACTCCACACCAGACCAGTGTGTTGACTTTATATCAGTATTGTACATTTTTCTAGTCTTAAATGGTTGTCTTTTTTTCCCAATGTTTGCTTGAGATTATTTAATTTTTATGACATATTTTCTTAAAAACCAATGAAATAGCCAGGTTACTCACTCAGTGTTGCTAAAATGGATCAATCTGCTGCATTTTATTTTAATTTATTTTATAGGTAAAGTAAAGTCCATTTTTTTTTTATAAGTGGAAAACTCTTTCATCTTGAGCTGGAATTTTCATAATGTTACAGAAGATGGCAACATTTGTAGTCATGAAAGTTTTTTACAATGTAGGAAACTAGATGTTTTCTATCAAAGCATAGGTTGGCGAGAGTAAATATAAAATTAAATTCCATGCAAGCTTAACCCCCCCCCCCTCCAATCCCCAATCTCCCAGTCCTGATTATTATTTGTTCTATTTTTTTTCCCTTTCCAGCTCATGGCAACTGTTTTGTGAAATGGATCGTATTTCATCTCAAAGAGATTTTGATTTTTTGGCCGAATTCCAACATGCCAGTGCTAATTTCCTGTCTAACCCGATCTCGGCGGAGCAATCGATTCCTGCTTTTGCTAACCCAGGTCCCATGAGCTCACCTGGACAGGTAGAGTTCCGATCCCTGTCTGCTTTCACCCACCCCCTGGGGACCCAGTACTCAAGCAGCTATGAACTTGGTGTTGCCGACAGATACCAGACGCCCAGCTACACCTCCACTTTCATTGTTGACGACGCTTTCTCGCCACTATGTCAGCTGCCAGGCCACCCACTGGGTCAGCAGTATCCAGTGTCTTTGCCGAGTCCGACGTCACCGATGCTCCCGCCAAAGCACAGTTCTCAGTCCTCGCCCATGATCAAAGTGCAGAGACAGAGCCCACAGCTCTCTCACCTACAGAGCAAGATGACCTCATTGTCAAGTGTCCCTTCATTGAGCCCACAAAATCCTTCCATTTTTAGTTCTCAGAACTCCCCTCTTTATAATTCACCCCTAAGCAATGCTAGTTATCCACTTTCTTCAAATCAGTGCTCCCAGCGCAACGACCCACCATTGGGCAATATGCACATGTCAATGATCAGCAGCTCATTTAGTCCACACCCATACAGCTCTCAAGCAACCTCTTCACTGTCCTCCCACAGAGTGCCCAGTAGCAAAGTTGGGACAAGGGAGGATAACTCTTATGTAAACCACCAAAGGGCAGTTCAGCAAAGAGATTCTAAAATCAGTGGAAAAAGTCAAAATCCAGCTAGTCACTATTCCCCTTCAGCAATATCCCCTCACCAAGCATCATCATCATCTTCTAGTCAACAAGCTAGATATCAGTTAAACGGATCTCAGAGAATGTCCCAGACAATGGCTGGGATGTCCGCTCCCCTACCAAGTCAAACTGCAATGTCTTCAAGCTACCCGCACCACCGCACTAGTCAGAGCAGACCTGCAGCCAGCGCTTCATCCAGTGCCGCCCACAACTCCACTCACCGTCCCATGGCTAAACACTCACCTTTACCTTTAGAAACACTTAGAAAAGCTGTCAGAGACATGTCTAGCTATTCACCCCAATCTTTAACAGCTAATGCAAATACTACTTCACCTTATGATAGGAGAGACCTTACAAATGGGAGTGGGTGTGACCCATATGCTTATAATGCTTTTTCCATATTTTCATTAAATGGCCACCAATCAAATCCTTCGCAGGGTAGGGGGGTGCCAGCAGGAGGACGGGGGAGGGGCAGTGAGTTGATGAACCCAGCCCAGTGGTACAAAAGCCCTGAGTCCTCCTACCAGTCTGACATAGAAGCCATGCAAGCAGATGCTGCTGAAAGCAATATGAACTCACACTTGAGAAAATCTGCTGCAAATGCCAGTTTAGACGAGAAGCCAATTGTGTCTCACGTGGGGGTAGAGAAAAAATCTGGAATCAGCGCATCAAAGGCAGCAGCATTGGCAGCTATACAGAAGGAGCAGGAGATGGTGGATAGCATCAACAAAGCTAAAATTCCCAAACCCAACCCCCCATCCACAAATACGAATAATTCAGTGCCACTCAAATCTTCTGAGGGGAATAAACAACCTGCTAGAGGTGTTCCAGAAATTTCAAACCAAGTTTCAAGTCAAAATAAAAACTCTAATACAAATACCTTTAGTTCTTCTAATGGCCAAAGCGTGGGGCAAGTCAGAAATACTACGACCTCACTCCCTAATTCAGGCTCTACTCCTTTGTCTAATGGGAACAAGACATCAAGACCAGCCTCACAAAATAGTTTGTCTGCAATCTTGAGCGGTGATTCTTTTTCTGATGCAGTCATTAATCCTCAAACTAATAGAAGCATGACAACCTCCATTAAGACTAGGCCATCAAATTCACTGCATTCAGATACTGACGGATCACAAGCCATGTCTATATGCCAACCTACTGAGTGGCAGAAAACCCATAACATTGGTCATGTAGAATCTAACTCCTCTAGAAGCAGTAGTGATGGACCGAAACCAGATGACGCACAGTCCCAGGCCAGCAGTCATTCAGACAGAAAGACACTAGCGGCCAGAGAAAAGGTCTTTAACATGTGGAAAGCTGGTCAGGTTGTGGGGAGGTCTCCAGTGGTGGGGAGAGGAAAAACCAAAGGTAGTCTGTCCACCTCACCTGTCAGGCTTCCACCCAATCCACAGGCACCTGCAGTGGTCAACCACCACAGCCCAGCTCGTCCAGGGCCACAAGATAACAGAAACATGGAGTGTAGTCCGCAGAATAATAATAGAACTGGCGTACAGAATATGGCTTTGAAAAACATGCGTTATGTTATGTTCCATGGTCACAAGTTAATATGCCTGATTTCCTGCAATGAATCTGTCCTGTTGTTCTGTCAGTTCCAGTTTGAGTGCTTCCCTGATAAGGGGATGGGCAGTATAAACAACTGCATTGACCGCGCATTAAGGATCAAGAAGAAGTGCTTAGACCACCCAGATAAAGAAAGAATTATAGCATTTCTCAAACAGAATGGGTACAGTGTGTCCAACTCTGTACAGACAATAAACTTGGACGACGCCAGGCGAGTTTATCACCACATGTATAAGATAACATCCTGCTCACCCGCTACGTGTGTTGTTGAGCTCTCGGAACACACAGTTGACCTCGACACCGTGAAATTACCATCTAGGAAGCGAGCCCTGGCCAGAGAGATGATGATGGGGGTGAAGAAAGAAAAGTCATCTGATGACACCAGCTATGGGAGATATTCTCCAAAGTCCAGCCGCATGTCTCCTGTGGGGGCCCAGCACTGGCAGAGTGGCATCGAGGACCTCACCAGAAGTCTGGTGAACCCATCAGACTCCACACTGACAGCATCCGCAGCTCCTGAGGATACATTAAGCCTAGGGAGTGATCATACGGAGGTGTATGGGCAAAGTAAAGATTTGGATCGCACGCAGGATGTCATTCTTGTTGAAGCTATTGAGGATCCTTATAAAATAACATGGACACCTGACACCCCAAAAACTGGAGGTCTCTGCAACACCATGGTCGGGCAGCTGAGGTCATATCGCCATCAAGGTGAAAATTACCTGGTCGTAGAAGACCTCTGTAAGATATTTACTTCCTCTGAATTCTACGACAGCGTGGAGAAAGAAAATATAATCCTGTACAGCTGCTGCCCTGAGATCGCATCTTTCCTAAGCTCTATCCACTCTAGTCACCCCCCACTCAAGTCTCTGAGACAGAGCCTGGTCAAAGAAAAAGACATAGGGGTCCACATAACTGATGACAACTATCTCAGTTCCTCTTCTGAACTTGGTGCTGCAGGAAAAGGTTTGGCTAAAATCTGCAAGCAAGAGATATTAGAGCACTACGCCAGCTCACCAAAGAGGAGGCGCCTGGACACGTCAGAGGGTGAGGAAGACATGGATGAGAGTTTGGGAACAGCTGCCATTGAAACCAATGTAGAATCTTTACCAGCTGTTCAACAAGCTGACATCCAGGATGGTGGGGAGAAAGAGAATGTCCCCTTTACTATTTCCACATCCCTTTCATTTACTTCAGATGTTACTGATATTTTAGATAAAAATACAGAATCAAGAGAGGTGGATGATTCTCAGAATGAAGTTAGTGAACAGGGATCAAAGACAGACGAAGATGGCAGTGTGCTTTCTACCGTTGCACTCACAGAGTTTAGTGCAGATCCTGATCTGAATTTTAACAATGCTTCTTTTGTGCCCCCAAGCAGTTTAAGAGAGGTATTAAGTTTGTCATCAATAGTTAGTAAACATATTTCATCAAGGGCTGCAAATAATCATGTACAGAATACAACAGAGGAAACACAAGAAAGGGAGACAACACATGAAAGTAACTCACTACAAACAGTAACAGTAGAAAACAATGAAACCAACCCCATTTTATTAAAAGAGGGTGAACCCCAATCCCCTTATGCACAATCTACTGATACTTTTAGTGAAGGAGCTGATGTCCAGGTTTCATCAGTTGTAACTTGCTACGCCACTGAAACAAGTTCAGTCATCAAGGATCCGTCTGCTTGTCTAAACTCTGACGAGACCAATGATGAAGATTCAGAAATACCTTTAACCACAGCAGGTGAATCCTCGCTTGGGATGGACACAGCTAGCTTATGCAACGGTGATCACAGTGCTAGAAACCAGGATTTAGAAGATAATAATTCTATGCAGACCTCCAGCAATGATGCAACAAGTTTAGACATAAATCCTGATCATCCTATTCCAGAGGGAGAGACATCAGACCAAACTTTTAGCAGCCAATTACAACATTTAAACATGCCACCATCAGATGAAGCTTCACCGCCTGACAATACCTTAACATTGGAACACAATATACCTGATGAAGAAAATGAATCTATTATCTCTAAACTTGAAACCCTATCAAATGAAATTTCAGCAGCTAATGATTGTGAAGACACTGGGAAAAGCCAAGCTTCCACTAGTGTGTCTCAGCTCAGTGTAGAATCCAGTTGTTCTACGTTTGTTGAGAGGCTGAAGAAAAGGCTGGCAAAACGTCCAGAGAACTCAGACTCGAGGGCTGCTCTGCCATCTACTTCTGCAACATCCACAGTAACCCAGGCGTCTAGACCTGCTGCAGCACCGCGGTTCAGATCTTTTGATGATCTTGAACTGATGACTTCTACAAGTAAAGATCCTTTGGGTAAAAAGAATCTCCTCACTTTTTTAAACAAATTTAAATATTACAAACCTGGGTTATTTACACCTGGATTACAATTACAAGATTATATTTTCAGAAATTAAAAAAAATAAGATTAGCTTATTAAAACTAAAAAAAATATTCTTCAGCTATGGTAAGCTGTTAGAAATTTTCAACGTTATTTAAAAACAACCTACATTATGTTTTTCAGTGAGTAGCATTAACTTTTTTCTCTTGTTTATGGCATCATATAAATGTAATTATCAGTTGTTCAGAGAGAAAAAAATAAAAATATTTCTAAAAATTTCAGCGGCAGCACCAGGGAGTGAGACCAGCTGTAGAAAAGAGTTGCTCGCAGGATTTTCTAAGTTGAGAAATCAAAATAAAGCTCTGATAAGTATGTGTTCTAATGCTTTTACATTACATGAATGACACACTCTTACAGTACTTTAATTACTATTTTTAAAAACTAGTTTAGCATTTTCTCTATTCTTGTTAATTTGTCATCAGATCTATATTTAATGAAAGTATGACAGTCTGTTTGTGGGTCTGTCTTTTAGGCATTACTTCACATTTCATCTAATTGCCAAAATTTAGGAAATTTTTTTTTAATACTCCTGGAGAAGGTTTCTGCAATAAAAACAAAGTAACAGTAGGGTACAGTTTGCCACCAAGGTTCTCCAGCGACTATCTTAGCACATGGGTTCTGTTGATTGGGCATCCCTCACAGGGGGTCAGGGGTACTACGTGATATAATGGTCAAACTGAACTAGGTGTATATGGTGGTGGTGGGGTGAACTAGTGAACTGGGGTGCTCAGGTTCCCCTATGGTGTCAATATTCATTTGATGACTAAACTGAACCTGGGTAGCACCTGATGCCCCTATGATATTGTAACTGGGGTGCTCAGGTTCCCCTATGGTGTCAATATTCATTTGATGACTAAACTGAACCTGTCTTTTTCCTGATGTAACATGCTCCTGTTATTACAATGATAGCGATAAGTGTAGATAGACAATTAGGTCACCCATCTGGAAATACATCATTGGTAACAAGTCAATGTTATTGTAACAAGTGTCCTTGAATTTCTTTACTTCTGAGATCGCAGTAGCACAATTGACGAATACACTAGTAATTAAATACAAAATAACAAAAATCTTATACTAAAAGAAAAGAATTAAATAATAATTTAATTTGTAGTGTGTATTGATAGATTCCCAACTATTTTTGTTAACAGATATCTTGCACATATTGAGGAAAGAACTTGCAATCACCAAAGAGAGCAAAGAAAAGCTGGAAAAGGATTTAGAAAAATGTGAACGTAAGCTAAACATATGTGTAGCTGATCAGTTTTACATATTAAAGTATGATAAACAAACTGAACTAATAGAAAAGTACCAGCACCATAATACTAATGTTAATTTGGAATCAAATACATTTTGATAATACAATTAGAAAAATCAGCCTTTTATTTTGTTTTTATTCCATAATTTTTTTTTTTTTCTGTAACTGTTTTAGATACAATTAGCTACATGACCAGATCCTTTAGCTGTGAGAAGGAACCTACCATAGTTATTGATGATGATGATTGTGAGTTACTTTTGCTTTATTTCAGTACACAACAAACTTATGTATATTAACTCATCAAATTTCTAAAAGCTTTTATTTCAGTTATTTTTTCCCCTATATATATTTTAAATTTTTAGAACTCAATGCATTTTGAAACAAGGATGAAAGTAACATGTAAAGCATTAATTGTTCTAAGATATTATAATCATACTTGCTTAAAATGTCTTAGTTTTATTTTCATTTGCTAATCCAACCATCCCCACGTCCTCATGGCTATACAGACTTGTCCATGCCCCTTTTTCTGGACTCCCAAGCTGTCAAAGCTGTCATAGCTTTGTCTTCACATCGTCTATCAGAGTCTAGGCCTGCCTATTTGCCTTTCCCCCTTAATTTTTTTTTATATACCACTTCTACTTTTTTGTTGTTTGGTAAAATTTCTTGATGATCTTACCATTGCAATTTATTTTTATTTCTGCCCCTATTGAAGGGTCTTTGAAAATTTTATTAGCTGAACTAGTTTCAAATAAAATGAGCATAAATTTAACAATGCATGGCTTAAATATTTTAGCTTTTCTTTTATTATGACAAACTCCTGAATTTTCACCAAAATTTTTATTTTATTTTAGAATCCAACTTGACATGCTGTTAAGTCTTGACTACATGATGGGACAGAACTGCCGCCAAGACGTGCATACTGGCAACTTGTTGCTAAATCTGACTACCTCACTGTAAACACAGTTTGTTTACACTGTTTAAGAATATTTATACCAGTGTTGTTTTTTTGTGAGAGGGTGGGGGGAAAAGTGGGGAAATAAACATAAATATATGATATTTTATTTAACAGATGCAAGAAAAAATGATTTTTATAAGAATAATATAAAATGAGTGAAAAAAAGGTTTGAACTGAGTAATGACAAGAATTTGTGGTATGAAATTTAGAATCATTGTCCATGAATCTTCCAGGCAATCATCCTTATTTTTTTTGTTCTGTGATTTTTATTTAATGCTTTAAATGCAATTTTTACTTTAATACGTTGGATAATTTTAGATTTTTATTCTAATACAATATGTACCCTTAGAAAATACTTTTTTTAAATATGAAGTAAGGGATCATCCATTTATGAGGTCCCCTTCTCCCTCCCCTGGATGTGGAAATCCACAAATTTGATATGACAGTCTTCACAAAAAGTACTTCCCGCATACTTTAATACCATGTAATGTGTATGTGTGCTTTGCATTTAAAATAGGTTCTAGAATGTAGTGAGAAAAACTAAAAATTTTTTTTTACTTAAAATACCTGATTTATACTAATGATTTATTTCATAGCAGCCAAAAACTAGGGCTAAGTAGGATATTTTTTGTTAGGAAAGAAATATTAAATGCATTATATTACGTAATCATATGCAGCTTTATGGGTAATAGGCCACCAGGCTAATGACTACCATTTGCAATTCCGTTTCTGCTCGCTTTCCGCAGAGTCACTAATTTGGGATATATTTATACTGTATTACATCTGACCTGGAAAAAAATTCAACCTCTGCTGGTGAAGATTTTCTATGCATATAAAATGTATGGTGCATATTTAACATAAGTAGAGGGACGTTAAGTTAAAGAAAGTAAATGTTCACTACAGTCAACTTATTAGTACCTCCCCACCCCCTCTGACATTAAATTGATGACCCCAAAAGTATAATGGATGTAAGATTTGGTTTATCTGGATATAGAAACCAATTGTTAATATCAAATCAAGCTAAAGAATGCATTTTGAATTTTTTTCTCACTACATTGCTAAGTGCAGTATTTTTAAGATTTTATGATCAAAACTTAAGCCATTCAGATAAAAAATCCAGCTTTTACTCTTATATATTTAAAAAATATTCTGAATTTAAAACTCAATGAATAGAGGGCCAGCATTGATCACATCAGTCAAATGTAGAGCTTGCATGTTGTGTTGGTCTACTATCCCACCAGTTCATCTACTTACCCTTTGGTCACACCTAATGTTGGCTGCGAACATAATCTGCCAAGTACTTGTCTTCTTTAGACTAAGCTCTTTTGTAACATTCCACCTAAAAATATTTTTATGCTTGACAGGAAATTGTAACTGTATCCACTCATAACCGGGTCTTGATTTACTTTCTCTGATGTGTACATTCAGCTTTATTATCTTTAATTTATCAAGTCATAATTTTAGAATGCGAGAATGGTATAAATATACCTGGGTAAATATTTTTTTCATTAATTAATTGATGCTTGATGTTAGTTACCTAATGCTTACATGCAGGTAACGAAATAAAGAACGTCTACTTTTTAATTTGCAATAATAAGTTCTCATGTATACATTAAATATTATTTTCTGTAAATGATATACTTTCTCTTCAAGGCAACAGTATTATATTTGATGTTTTCTTTTTTTTTTTTTTTAATTCACTTAAAGGAACATTTGGAAGTTGCACATAGTCTACCAGCAGTACCATGGATGATACTGTATATTAGCAATGGCTTATCTTAGGCAGAGAGTGTTAAAGGAGTTTCTCTAACCCCCCACCCCTCCCATGGACCCTCCAAAAGAACCAATGTTTCCTGTAAAGTTAAAGCTACTGGTAATGTCTGTTATCATTTTCTTTGAAAAACAAACTCAAATTCACTCTCAGACAATAATGGAAAAATTTAAAGTATGTTACCCCCCCCCCCCCCCCCCCCCCGTCTTTTTTTTTTTTCTTAACAAAAATCCTACCTATGTCACTGTATATAAGCTTGTACATGAGACTATTTATATACACTTGTACATTTATTGAGTTTTGAATAGATTTTGGGATTTCCTGTTATAACATACCATAATTTTTATTGGTGGAGTTTGTAATTTTCCTTCTTCCACCTCCACCCTGGGTCAGTGTTATTTGTTGGTAGCACAGTGAGCTGTGTGTCTACAATAAAAACCTTTTGTTGAGTACGGTGTAGTTGTCCCACTGTTTTCTGTTAGTTTCTCCAACTTTCTCCAGTGGCTACCCATCTTTTTTTGCATCATCTTCCATATCATGTCTCCAGATTTTTCTTGGCCTGCAACTCTTCTTTTAATTTTAAGGGTTTTCAGACTAGGGCCTATCTGAATGAGAGGGTCATCTATCCCCATGTTCTGCAGTAAGTTTGCTTCTGTACTCCAACTATTTCCTTATTGTGTGGGGCCCACCTATACGAGGTGTGCATTAGTCTTACGTGTTGATACTGAATTTCTTGTGATTTGTCGCAGTGCTCTGCCCCACACTGTAAACTAAATTACTTTAAAAAAAAAACTTAACTTAATTCTGTAGTCCCTCACAGTTTTGTTTGCTACTGTCTGTTCTTAGTTTCCCCTGAACTGATTATGTCTGCCTCTATCCTTTCTTTGCTAATCAACACTACTGCCCGACTGATTATATCTTTACTCTTCATCTTCTAGATCTTATCCTTCAAGTATGGTAATAATAATTACAAATAGAAATTAATGCATGTTACGAATTTCCCTAGCATTGTATGCTTATCACCTTTTATGAATGAACTGCTAGAAATAAAGGCAGTGTACTGTATTAAACAGTGATTTCAGAAAAAACTAATTTATTTAGACGTAACTTCATTCAATACCTTCAGTCTGTTATTTTATTGCATTTTGTTCATTGCATTTCGCTAATTAGACTTGTTTGTCTTAATCATATTTCTTTTGTGTATATTTTGATTTCAGTTTTTAAAAGGAACAAAGCTAGTTTAATGTAACATGAAACTACATTACCCCAATTTTCATCCCTTGTGTGTAAACCTGTGCTCTGTTTGTTACAAGTTTTGTGTTTTTTTTACACTGCTGGTTTTGTATTATGTTTCAGTGTAACAATTCAAGAACAGTTTTTAAAGGGGAAGCTATTTAAAATTAATAATGTAAATGAATGTAAATAGCAGATATGAAATATTTTATTACATGTTTTTATGTCTTTTGTACCTTTACAATAATTTATTACTGGCTGTTGTAATTACAATTTTTTTATAATTACAAATAATAAACTATAGCATTGTTAAAAATAAGAAGATAAATTGCGAGAAAAGATTGACTTGATTACAAAGCTTGGTGTAAAAGCTTGAAACAGATTATTGATGCTACTTTTTGTTTCACCTACCTGCAGTTTTACCTGTTCCTATTCAATTAATACTGGCATAATGAGAGCCTGTACTGTTGGAAATTCTGTTTTCCGTCTGCTTTAAAGACTATTTGATTTTAAAGAATTTCTTTTTTATTTAATGAAAGTCACATATCATTGTATTATTCTTGCTGTTTTAGCTTTGATCTTATAGATTGAACTGAACACTATTGCAACTGCTAAGTTGTTATTTCTAAAACTATAATTTTTTAGCAAAACTTGGTAACTTAGGGTTCATGCTTATTTGTTATATGAACTATAACTTAAGCTTTGAATTTAAAATTATATTTATTTTGTAAAAATATACTTCAAGCTCCTATTGAATTATTATTAATTATTGAAGTAAAATTAATTAGATCAGATTCATTGAAATAGGTATAAATGTAATGAAGTATGAAAGAGATAATTTGTTAAATAAACAAAATGAAAAGAATATAATTTTTGTGTTTTTTTTTATATTTGTAATTTTAATTCTGTGAACTTGCATAACCCAAGCAGTGTAGTGTTGGGTAATTGACTGTAGGGGGTCACTAGACCAAGTTAAAAAAAATGTTGAATATTTAATTAGTTAACTACCAGTACTAAAAAAGGAGCTTACTCATAATTTTTAAAATCTTGTAATTGTTATTCATTTTTTTTATTTACACTGATGACTGCTGTCAGCAAGTTGCACTGGTGACTTGTAACTCGATAATCTCCCCTTGTTGATTTCTTCAATATTAGCCTAGATAATCTCCCTTTGTTGATTTCTTAAATATTTGCCAAGTAACTCTCCTTGTTAAATTTTCCCCTACAATTACATGCCACTCAAGAGCGTTTTACTCCAGGAGAAAAAGAAATATTTTCCCTCAAACTTTTATAGAGAGGGAATGAAATACACAACCCCCCCCCCTTCATGTTCAGAAATGTAACTTCACAAAAATAAAGTTAGAAAAAGGATTAAATTACGGGGAAGGTGTAAATTTACGTTTGTTCTATTTCGTTTCAAATAATTTGTATTTTCAGGTACAGGGCTCGCCTATTTAATAGGTTAAAAACTAACGAAAACAAAATGCTATTTAATGATATACAACATTACTGACGGGTTGTATGCTTAGAATCTTCAAACATTCGAGTGGGGGGGGGGGGGGCATGACATTTGTTAAATTAGAGAGGAGATGCCTAAAAGAAACTCTGAGAATAAAAATACAGGGGGGATAATTTACAAAATTCATGAGGCTATTCCCCTGTTTACTTATACGTGCTTATCTCCCTCTTCTGTTTAATAAAACAATAACAAACAACACGTTTTTGTGACCAACGAAAATCGAGACAAGCAAATGAGTTGTTCTTTCTTAAGGGATTTTAATTATTTTTAGAATTTTTCGGTCTGTTATTACAATAACTCTGTATCATCATTCTTTTCCAGTTCGTGCCCAACACACATGGGGTCGATGAAATAGAGTTCTTCTGCTTCAGAGACCTCGGCATATGTGGTCAGCACTATGCCCAGCCGCCTTTGTTTTTCCTAACTTGAGTTAGGTACCCATCAAGGCTGGGTGGACTCCGGAATATTCTATTAACTTGAACTCGAGACTTTCGAGTTAGCAGTCTTAGCGCTTTGCCGTCCAACCACACTGTTCCATTATAATTCAGATGTAATATGATTGGTATTTGTTATTAATATTTTAAAGACGTTAAAAATATTTGAAAGAAATGGAATAAAGTGAGTGTGAACTCCTATGAGCCTTTTCATGTGCTCGTAATAATTTAATAGTAATCACATTTAATGGTAATTTAGCTTGTGACGTCTTCGTTCTTAATTGTAATGTTGGAAGGCATTCCAACCAAGAACAAACGACGCGACAGCAGTTGTTTGATTTTGAGTTTTCTCTGCTTGATAGGTTCATGTCCCCAGCTATCGAGCCACATCTGTCCGGGGGTTCGACCAACCCAACCACAAGTTTGTGAACTGCTCGTTTTTTATCGAGAGAAAAAAGGCAAAGATTTCTTAGAGGCTGCTGTTTTATGAGACTGTGAAATTGAATTATGTCAGTTTTTTTTTAGTAAATTGCCACTTCAAATTAACGGAAATCGCTAAAATGTTGATAGAACATATAAGATCTGATGCTTTTATATTATGACATTTCGTCCAACTAACTGACAAGGTACTTAAGTTATCGTGTTCACTCACAAAGAAAATATTACAAAACTGGGTTTTTACGACTCAGAAAAATATAAAACGTCGAGATTTGCCAAAAACTCGATATAGAATTTCTGCACTATAACAATATCCCTCTGCCCATATACGAGAAAGTAAAAAGGCATAAGCTATTACGTGCTTTTGCCAGCGCTATAATAGATCTGGATCGAGTTACAAAAATAAATGCAAAGAAATTTATGGCCTTTGCCGAAAATGCGCGCTGAAGTATTGATTTCGAATGAAATTTTAAAAATTCTTACAACAAAAAGTGTCTTGCGTTAAAACAAACACTTGAAAATGCCACGAATGAAAATATATATTGGAGGAGTTTGGGAAAAAAATAATAGAGATGCTCATTAAATAGCAATCAAAGTTTTATAATTTAAAGGTGCCATGCACGTACACAGTAAAATATACTGACTGGCAAATAATATGATTTGAAAACTTTGTTAAATAAAATTTTAAATACTTAAGTTTAAAATTTGTTTTAAACTTTAATTAATGTTTTTGAAATCTAATTTTCACCAGAAGTTGATAATTTTTTCTTCTTTTGGAGAACAATTAAAGTGAATTAAATTGTAATTAATTAAAACCAATAAAAACTGGGCCAACTTCAATTAGATTTAGCCGAAAAAAATTACACTGACATCTGCCAGGTTTTTTAAGAGGGGCCGATCATTGCATCTGACATGGCCAAAACATTTTTTTCTTCCTTCTGTATTAAGGGAAGATAGGCACCTGTTCCATTGATTAATCTTCTCACTGTATAAAGGGTTTCAGGGCCAAGGGTCCCAGTTATTTATATCTTCTCTGTATAAAGGGTTACAAAACCCCTGGTCCCATTTATAAATGTCTTAGCATTTTTAAAGGATTTATTTTCAATGTTTACATGTTTTAATTGTCCAAGCATGGTTTATTTGACCAAGCCGGTTTTAATTTGACCAAGCAGGTTTTGAGTATGCAGGTTGCTTTGACATAGAAAGGAGGACGACTCTTTCCTGACCTATTTTCCTAAGAAATTACGTGACAAAAAAATTGATCGCATTTTTTTTTTATTATTCTTTAAAAAATAAATCATCAAAATTATCTTCAAAAAACAAATCAACATGCAGATATACAATTTACAGTTGGAAATGTGTGAATAAGTGTTGAAACGTCACAAACCAATCACTGAGAATCAAGCTAGCACGGAAGTGACGTCACTAGGCCTTGGAATGTATCCAGGGATACCGCGGTCGCGCCGGCTGTGAGGGGGAGCTCTTGGGCGCGATGGCCTTGCACCAGAAGATCTGCAGGAGAATGAACTTGAGGTGGTTTCTGAACTGTTTGCTGGTGGCCGCGTAGATGAAGATATTACAGGCGTGGTGCGAGATGCCTAGTTCTATGATGATCTTGCGCGCCGTGAAGTAGGAAATGTATCTCTGCCAGACGGGGTCACGTGACATGGCGTCGATAGGCATAGCCTCCCCGAACTGGATGATAGGCTCCATTGTGAAAACTATGGTCACCGGGAGTTTGCTGAATATCAAATAAAAGGAAATCCACATCAGCGTGGCCGTGGTGGAGGTGCAGCGCGCCCCTACGTGCCGGTGTAAGGTTTCAGACGTGACGTAGAGTTTCCCCACCGTGCGGATCTGTTTGAGAACGCAGGCGTTTAGGATAAAGGCAACGATGGGCACGACCCCGAACATGACAAGCTCGGAGGTCCAGTTCCAGTAGACGTACATCATGTTGATGGTGGTGCTGTTGACGGTCCGCACGGAACATTCCCCGATTTCCGGACTGACGTTCCAGAAGACAGCCTGGGGGAGGGCCAGCAAGAAGGAGATGAACAAGATGGCGGTGATTATTTTGGAAGAGCGCGAGTTCTTGGAGAACTTCTCGCAAGAGAACGGCCGGCAGACCGAGATGAACCGCTCCACAGTGAAGGCGAAGACCAGCATCAGAGAAATGTACTGTGACGTCATGGACAGAACATTCCAGATTTGACACCAACCCTGTTAGAAAAAAAAATTATAACTAAAAAAAAAATTCCATTAATATAATTTAATATTACGTGTTCTATGTAGGCTATTTTTAATGTAATGTGTCTTTACAAACTATTCATTTCTCTTATTGAATTTGCAGCTCTTTGTATAATTAAGTGAAAAAAAAACAACTTTCCATTACGTAGATTATTTGTTTACTTCAGCATCGCCTCGACATGTATTATAAAATGTTTACACCGAATTCCTATGTTTCATCTTCGGTTATTTTTAAGTAGTGTAAAATTTATTTTAGCAGAAAAGTTTTTTGATGTTTTCTATTTCTAGTTGTCTTTGACATTATATTTAGACCATATATATATATATATATATATATATATATATATATATATATATATATATATATATATATATATATATATATATATATATATATATATGAATGTTGTCTTTACATTGTTATAGGGGACGTTTCTCGTAATATAATGATCGACTACCATAATCTGCATAAATCACTGTTTGTTCAGTTAACCATTCGCTTATATCATACTCTGTATCAAGAACTGAGTCAGTTATGTCAGAAAGTCAAGTTTTTACTGTAATCTAAAGCCATTTCAGGAAGCGACATTGCCAAGTCAATCTTCAATGATATTATCATTTAGAGTGAGAGATTAAGTCATATAATCTCAAGTAAACTGTTGAATGTGGTTTCATCAACTAATTTTGGTCATTCATAATTATAAGTCATTTTGGAACATTATGCCATCAAGTCAATTAGGACATCGTTTCTAGTCTTTTTGAACAATTATGTCATCTTCTCAAGTCTATTTGGACATTCAAGTCATTTTCTCAAGTCAGTTGGACTCTCAAGTCACCATCTCAAGTCAATTTGGAAATTCAAGTCACCATCCCAAGTCAATTTATACATTCAAGTCATCTTCCCAAATCTATTTGGACATTCAAGTCATTTTCTCAAATCAGTTGGACTCTCAAGTCACCATCTCAAGTCAATTTGGAAATTCCAGTCACCATCCCAAGTCAATTTATACATTCAAGTCATCTTCCCAAATCTATTTGGACATTCAAGTCATCTTCCCATGGGAATTTGGACATTCAAGTCATCTACTCAAGTCAGTTGGACATTCAAGTCATCTTCTCAAGTCAATTTAGACATTCAAGTCATCTACTCAAGTCAGTTGGACATTCAAGTCATCTTCTCAAGTCAAATTTGACATTCAAGTCATCTACTCAAGTCAATTTTGACATTCAAGTCACCCTCCCAAGTCACTTTGGACATTCAAGTCATCTTCTCAAGTCCTTTTATATCGTGTAGCCACAGGCTGTCATATTCTCACGCACTAAGGGAGATAATGGACAACCACTATGGCGGTAAAACGCGTTAAGTGGGCCCTCAAAAATACCACCACTCCAGCTAAAAATAGTTTCGAAAGAAAAAAAAAAAACGGCCATTTTCCAACCATTGATTTGCAAAAAAAAAAAAAAAGAAAAAAAAAAAAAAGAAAAAACAATTTCATTATTCCTATGCCAGGACTGACGTTAGAAGCGCCTCAGTGTGTTTAGACGGCAAAAAATGGTATGTTACTAAAAATAACCCTAACTTCATCAAAAATTGAAAAGTTACTAGTCCGACTATAAAACCCAGACATCTATAAATCATGTTTTCTGAGGCGTCTACAGATCTAATAAAACAAAGCATGAAAAGAACTAATAGGAAACAAAAACGGTTTTATGTTACCAAGATATTACTGTATATTATTATGTAGTCTTACATAAACTCAGCGCTGCCCTTAGTACACATTATTTCCGCAATACATAGCCATGCGAAATTATCGAACAAAGATTATCTCCCTTAATATCTTACGTTTAGATTGCATCCCTTGACCTTTAAGGTTAGTAATTTTTCTTCATTAAGATATTTTTTGATTGACAAATACTTAATTAATAGTTGTTGGAGAATTTATTATTAAATCGTGCCGATAATTTGTTCTATTATTAGAACCAGATATAATTAAATCGAGGCTGGTTGTTTTCTCTTATCGTTCGAGAACGGAATCGGCAAGTTTGTAGTTAGATAAGCAGACATCAACATGGGATTAATAAAAAAAGTACTTTAGGGAAAAATTGTTATCCCTAGGATTAATTCTAAGCCAACTGATTAGCTACAATGAGATTAATTTATCTGAATCTATGATAAACTCATTATAAATTAGTGTTGGTACGTTAAGAAATTAAGGCGTTAGCTTAGCATTTGTTTTATTCAGAAGTCAAACTACACTGCAATGAAACTTATTTTAAAAAGAGGCTGAACGTTACTGTAATGAAACTTCACTGAAGCGAAATATAACTGAAGAACAACTTGTTGAAAAGTTGCATAATTTGTTTTAAAATTCATTTCAATGAAAAATATATTAACTTTATTTAGAAACTTTTTAAAAAGAAACGAGTGTTTTCTCAATTAGGCGTTTGGATCATTAGTTTATAAACACAATTAAAGTAATTAGAAATTGGAGAAACGCCAGAAATGCTAAGAGAAATTATGTTCAAATAACGGCTACGTAATTCTTGTGTTACTTTTTTTTTTGTTTTACCTCTAAGGGGTCGCACTCTTGAGGAGGAGGGGTTTGGATTTGTGTGACGATATGTGACAAAGGGGGGGGGGAGCAGAATAGTGAAAGTGTGACGGCACGCATTAGCAATTTACAAAGTAATATTAAAATACAAGCTCTAGCCGTTATTAGATGTTTTTAAAAAAGACAGTTTTTGTGTTCATGTATTGAAATAGAAATTGGTTAACACATCATTGTCCGGGCTCAAACATTTGTTTTAGAAGGAAATCGATGGTTTAAAAAACTGCTATTGTAAGCTGACGTCATATGAGGGGGGTGGGGGCTGGCTTTTTGTGACGATGTGTGACGGCGGGAAGGAGAGGAGATTTTTAAAAAATCGTGACGTTGTACATGGATGACCCCCAGTATCAATAAGGACGTGAAACAATGCCGTGGTGTGTCCAAAATCACACGAAAGTAACACCCCTAATAGACGATGGTAGTGTCAAATTGTAAGAGACTAGAATTATTACACGAGCTGTATGCAAAGGTACACTGTATTGTTTTCACATGTATTCCGACTTAAAATAAAATAATTATTTAATTATTAAAAGGAACCTAACCTACTCATGTCGCAAAAGTATTAGATTGTAAACTGTAAACAAGTTAAGACGTTAGAGTCCCCCCCCCCCCCCCCAATCCCCTTGATGTAGGAAAGCATTACATCTACTGGTACTAACAGTTACAATATTCAAGAGTGTTGTTCACTGTTACATCTACTGATACTAACAGATACAATATTCAAGAGTGCTGTTCACTGTTACATCTACTGATACTAACAGATACAATATTCTAGAGTGCTGTTCACTGTTACATCTACTGATACTAACAGATAAAATATTCAAGAGTGCTGTTCACTGTTACATCTACTGATACTAACAGATACAATATTCAATAGTGCTATTCACTGTTACATCTACTGATACTAACAGATACAATATTCTAGAGCAGTGGTTCCCAACCTTTTTCGAGTGGCGACCCCCTTTTATAAAAATTAAGTGACCCGCGACCCCCATAGAATTAAAAAAGCCGAAATTAGTATGGAAATTAATAAGCACTAAAATAAGATTTTCTAGTAGACTTTCAATATGAACTACTCTTGATAACTATTTTAATAGCATGAGTATTATTGCATACTATTCACTAAACCTTCGTGGTTAAATTTTTAATTAAAAAAAATTGTTAACGCCAACCTATGTCATTATAATTATCTTAATTTTGTTTTTAATCGAAAAATAGTGTTCAAAATATATTCTCGAAAAGTAAATCAATTTTACGTTTGGATATAAATGGTGAATAATACACCAAAATTGTGTCTGCAGTTTTTCATCTTACGCGGAATCATTCTGCAAATCAAAGAATTCATCTTGTAATTCTCGAGAATGCTGGCAACATCAAGGGAAGAAGAGAAATAGCGATGCAGTTCGTTTTCAAGAGATTCAAGATGCCCAGAAATCGCTTCTTTCAAAATTTTAATTATCTCACAATCAGATTCATCTACCAAAATTTATTTTCTTTACCGATTTTGCAGCTTTGATAAAAAAAATACCCCGAGATTATCATGGAAAGTTTTAATATTCGTTCATTTTCCCTGAAGCTTCAGGTTAAGCTTATCTTGATGTTCGAACACATCTGCTATGTATGATACTCTCTCCAACCACTCTATGTCGTTTTAAGTATACCAAAAGGTCTTGTTTCCTTTGCATTTCCAAGAACAATTTGATTTCAGATTTCAATTCAAAAACACAATTTACAACATTTCGTTTGACAGCCAGCGTACTGTAGTGTAGAAGAGCAGAACCTCGTGATCTATATTAATGTTTTGCTCAGTTCTTTGAAGGCTCCAGATTTTATATAATTTACGACTTATACTAGCAATGGACTCTTAATGTCGATTGGTTAGGGCAGTGGTTAGGGAGCTAAATCTTTTCTGTTTTCTGAAAGCCCGATTTTGATCTAAACATAGATGTCGCACCATCCGTACAAACCCCCACAGCCGTTCTAACCCATTTTAATCATCCAATGGCGAAAGCTTAATTTCGATAAAAATGTGTTATTTAGCATTTACTTACATGCAGCGTTTGATGAGATTTTCTCCTATTGTTTTTTTTTTTTTTTTTTTTTTGCTTGGCATTTTCTATCGCGACTTCATTTGATGCTTGCACTAATGCTGGTGAAAACTTCCTGTTCGATCAAGTCTCTGGCGTTTGCAACTAGCTTCTTACCGACGAAAGAACTCCATATATTTTTTGGTGTGTTCCGAATGACTCGTCTCAAATGGCGTTAAAGTTTTGAAGATTTCATAGATTCGTGACTGAGAACAACTTTGTACAGTGCGCTTTGTTTCTTCTCTATTACATTTCCAGTGATGTTAATGAAGCCGAATTTAAAAAAAAATTCTTCGAAATATTCATGTTTTGTTTCAAATTACTAAGGTTTAGTATACCAGTTGGCGACCCCCCAGAAAGACCTTCGCGACCCCCAGGGGGGTCGCGACCCCCAGGTTGGGAACCCGTGTTCTAGAGTGTAGTTCACTGTTAGATCTACTGATACTAACAGATACAATATTCAAGAGTGCTGTTCACTGTTAGAGTCAAACGTCTCGTCGCACTCACTAAGGTGTTTGAGAAATTCTTCGGGGCATGAAATACAGTCCCCTCTTTAACAACATTCTACCTGCAAGTCCAGGTATCCCACCAACGCCCCCCCCCGGCTACCTCTCCCATCTGACCTGCAAGTCATGTGTCCCCCTCTCTACAACCCCCTCCCCCACAACCCCCTCCCACACAACCATCTCCCCCACAACCCCCTCCCCCTCCGCCCCCTCCCGCCCCCTGACCTAGCCCAGATCTCACCTGCAGGTCATGTCCACCTCACCAACACCCTCCCCCACAACCCCCTCCCCCCACTCCCCTCCTACCGTCTGACCTAGCCCAGATCTCACCTGCAGGTCATGTCCACCTACCCAACCCCCTCCCCCACAACCCCCCCCCTCCACCCCTCCCGCCCCCTAACCTAGCCCAGATCTCACCTGCAGGTCATGTCCACCTCCCCAACCCCCCCCCCCCCTTACTCCCCTCCCACCCCCTGACCTAGCCCAGATCTCACCTGCAGGTCATGTCCACCTCCCCCACAACCCTCCCCCTCCACCCCCTCCCACCCCCTGACCTAGCCCAGATCTCACCTGCAGGTCATGTCCACCTCCCCCACAACCCTCCCCCTCCACCCCCTCCCGCCCCCTAACCTAGCCCAGATCTCACCTGCAGGTCATGTCCACCTCCCCAACCCCCCCCCCCCCCCTTACTCCCCTCCCACCCCCTGACCTAGTCCAGATCTCACCTGCAGGTCCAGAGCACCCACCATCCACGGGTACTGTAGCTCATTACCGACTGTCAGGATCAGGAATAAAAAATCTGAGACGGCCAAAGTGGCCAGGTATGCTGCGGATGTGTTACACTTGCGCATGCGCCTCAAGGTCCAGATTCGCGCTGATATCTGAAAGGAAGCATCACAGATAAATAACAAATTTTTAATGTCAAAAACATAACAATTTTAAAAATTCCTGTAGGCCATATAATATCAGTTTCTCGATCATCACTGTTGTTACGTTCAATTCCGTTTTAAGAGTTCATAAGTAGGAACAGAACAGGTTAAAGTAAATCAGTTGGTTATTATAATGTATTGGCGTATTTCATTCACAATTTATATCAGAAATCCTTAATAATCACCAGTGCCGGCGCCAGGTTATTTAGCGCCCTAGGCAAAACTTATTAAAAGCACCCCCCACCCCCGCAATTTTTTTCGTGCACCCGTGTTATCAGAGGCGTAGCGACCCTTCCCGACCTTAGGGGGGGGGGGGGGGCGCCAAATTGAAAGTTAGAGGGGGGGGGTGCAAATGAAAAGTTCGAGGGGGGGGGGGTGCAAATCGAAAGTTTGAAGGGGGGTGCAAATCGAAAATTTGCTCCCAAGGGGGCGCCAAATTGAAAGTATGTCCCCGGGCGCCGGGAAGGGTCGCTACGCCTCTGCAAGTTATAGGTAGCGCCGGCCCTGATAATCACATACTCTTAAGCATTTCCTCCAACCTTAAAACTTCAGTCAAGAAAATTAAAAACAACAACAAAAAAACCCACATTTTAATGAGACTAGCTAGCTACATGGACGCTACAACTTGTGGCAAACATATTTTGTTGTGTACAATGTGTATCCTGGTTGTGTCGAGTTAGTGATCTAACATTTCTAAATAGCAGAAAATAGCTGTATAGCTTTAGCTATCTATCTATATTAATAAATATAATATTTGTATATTTTTGGGTTCTTTTATCTATCTATTTAAATGTTATTATTTATCTAAGTGATTTCCCTTGCGAATACATCATATGTGGTTGTAAAATATGTTTTCTGATTTAGCATAGGGAAATAGAGCAGGATGACGCTCAAGAGAAACTCGAAATGTCTCTCTCTGTGATGTGTTTTATTGTGATTACAAATATTAAGATCATAAAGTTATGAAAACACATTTTCAAGAAACAAAGCCTGAGAAATATTGTAAAAAGAAATTGTTGTATACATAATACAAAGTGTTTCTAAATCCAAAGCGAAGTAGAACAAACTCGTAAATTTTTTTTAGATAGATGGAGAGAGTAGATAGATGGAGAGAGTAGATAGATGGAGAGAGTAGATAAATGGAGAGAGTAGATAGATGGAGAGAGTAGATAGATAGAGAGAGTAGATAGATGGAGAGAGTAGATAGATGGAGAGAGTAGATAGATGGAGAGAGTAGATAGATGGAGAGAGTAGATAGATGGAGAGAGTAGATAGATGGAGAGAGTAGATAGATTGAGAGAGTAGATAGATGGAGAGAGTAGATAGATGGACAGAGTAGATAGATGGAGAGAGTAGAGAGATGGAGAGAGTAGAGAGATTGAGAAAGTAGATAGATGGAGAGAGTAGATAGATGGAGAGAGTAGATAGATGGAGAAAGTAGATAGATGGAGAGAGTAGATAGATGAAGAGAGTAGATAGATGGAGAGAGTAGATAGATGGAGAGAGTAGAGAGATGGAGAGAGTAGAGAGATTGAGAAAGTAGATAGCTGTAGAGAGTAGATAGATGGAGAGAGTATATAGATGGAGAGAGTAGATAGATGGAGAGAGTAGAGAGATGGAGAGAGTAGATAGATGGAGAAAGTAGATAGATGGAGAGAGTAGATAGATGGAGAGAGTAGATAGATGGAGAGAGTAGATAGATGGAGAGAGTAGATAGATAGAGAGAGTAGATAGATGGAGAGAGTAGACAGATGGAGAGAGTAGATAGATGGAGAGAGTAGATAGATGGAGAGAGTAGATAGATGAAGAAAGTAGATAGCTGGAGAGAGTAGATAGATGGAGAGAGTAGATAGATGGAGAGAGTAGATAGATGGAGAGAGTAGATAGATGGAGAGAGTAGATAGACGGAGAGAGTAGATAGATGGAGAAAGTAGATAGATGGAGAGAGTAGATAGATGGAGAGAGTAGATAGATGGAGAGAGTAGATAGATGGAGAGAGTAGAGAGAGGGAGAGTGTAGACAGATGGAGAGAGTAGATAGATGGAGAGAGTAGATAGACGGAGAGAGTAGATAGACGGAGAGAGTAGATAGATGGAGAGAGTAGATAGATGGAGAGAGTAGATAGATGGAGAGAGTAGATAGATGGAGAGAGTAGATAGATGGAGTGAGTAGATAGATGGAGAGAGTAGATAGATGGAGAGAGTAAATAGAGAGTAAACAGAGAGTAGAAAGATGGAGAGAGTCAACACATTAAGGTAACCAAAGCGAGGCAGCCTCCATTTAAAACGATCTTTTATTTCTAATGAGTAAACACAACACTACCTGAGAGCAACGAGCCAGAAAGGCTATCCTATTATCTCGTTTAACTTATTTTTTGTTCCTTCAAAAAGTCGATCACATTTTTTCATACAACTAAAAGATCAATATCCTCTCTTTGTAGTGACATTAGAATCTCAGACGTCGATATTAAGCTGCTTAGTTTTTTACTTTCTCGTATATACGAAGTATAGAGAAAGTCTTGTAATCGTGCAAAAAAAAAAAATCGAGATTTTTGCAAATCTCGACGTTTTGCATCTCACTGATACGGAAAAACATAATTTTGCAATCTTGTCCGTATGTCTGTGTGTCTGTGTGTGTGTGTGTGTGTGTGTGTGTGTGTGTGTGTGTGTCCGTGTGTAAACACGATAACTTGAGTACCGTTACAGCTAGGTTGATGAAATTTCATATATAAGTATTTAATCAAAATCGTAGATCCGTATCAACTTTTGAGCGATTTCCGATAACCGGAAGTGGTACTTTTCCTACTTTGAATTTTTCAAAAGCCTATAACTTGAGTACTATTTCAGATAGATAAATGAAATTTCATACGTAAGTAAAAGATCTAATTCTCTACCTTCTATTAAATTTTGAGTCATTTCCGTTGACTGGAAGTAGTACTTTACGCTACTTCCGATTTCTCAAAAAACTAATGTAAATTTTGAAAGTAATAATAATATCGCGCACTATTATGCGCTTTTTTATTTCGCGTTCACTTGGTGTGCAATTAATTTGTCTACGAGATTTTATTCTATTTTTAAAACTTTAAGTATTTAAAATGGATTAAAAAAATTCATAAAAAACGTTTTAATAACAAGCTTTTATGTAATGATGCACTAAAAAGTAGAAAATAAATTATAGACTACTATTTAAATAACTATAAAGAAAAGCGTGGGTCACTTTAGTATCTATTGGATACCTTTACTAATGTTAAGGAAGACACCCACGCTTTTCTTTATAGTTATTTAAATAGTAGTCTATAATTTATTTTCTACTTTTTAGTGCATCATTACATAAAAGCTTGTTATTAAAACGTTTTTTATGAATTTTTTTTTCAGTACTTTACATGTTTTATTTACAATAGAGTTACATGACTAAAAACCATTGCGCGCCTACTGAACATCACGTTCAGTAGGCGCGCAATGGTTTTTGAACGCAGCCATTGAAGCTATTGAAGGTGATGACGCGTGTGGTGTGGTTGGCTAGACATGCCTACTAATTCGGTCCAAATTTTAATTAATTCATAAAAAATTAATTAGGCATCCAATTAAGTCAAATTTAGTTTCAGATTGCATTGTCTTCATGTCTTGACCCACGTGCCAACTGTGAATCGTATCGGTCAAGTAGAACTGTCCGAATTTTCACTCCTGCGTTTCCGTCTAGACTGACGACAGACAGAGGAAGTGAGTTAAATAAAAGCTTGTAAAAATCATGTCTATAGCCCGAGTTCCCATCCCCTGTTATTTTATATAAGAATATTCGAGAAAGTTTAGGGGAGATCACTCCCGGTTTATTATATATAAACGTATAAACGGAGGAGATGGACAAACAAACAAAGCATTGAAAACAAGAGGGGAGGAGGCACATACCTTGCCCTGATGAAAATATTTAAATAAAATACTTAAAAAAAACTTTTTAAAAAACCACGTTTTTCTTGTGGACTAAAAAGTAGAAAATAAAATTTTCTTTTGTGCTTCCTCGAGCTGTGCAGGTTCTTGTGATGACTGACAAAAAACGTGGGTACGTTCACCATCAAATTTCCCGACCCATCTGCCCGACCCACGTTTTTTGTCAGTCATCACAAGAACCTGCACAGCTCGAGGAAGCACAAAAGAAAATTTTATTTTCTACTTTTTAGTCCACAAGAAAAACGTGGTTTTTTAAAAAGTTTTTTTTAAGTATTTTATTTTCTCCTTTTTAGTCCGTTGCTACACATGAAAAACGTGGTTTTTAAAAAAGTGTTTATAAATACACGGACTAAAAATCTTGAGCGACCAGGATTCGAACCTGGGTTGTCGCGGCCACAACGCGAAGTACTAACCACTATACGATCACGGCCAGCGCGCTCACATCGATTGGGGCCGAAGTAACTGGGTCAATAGGCCTCCAGTCTTGTCGGTATCTTTAGAAATCATGTCCTCAATTTTATGGTCCTTGGGGCGTAATTAAATTAAGCTAATTACGGTCACTAATTGCTAGTTTTTATGATTGCATCTGAAATTGTTAGGCGAAAGTAGCATGCATGCCAAATTTCAGGTCTCTAGAGCAATCAGAAGTGGGCTAATTTTCGATGTCAATTTTAACAACAAACATCCAAACAACCAAACAAACAAACGCGAAGCTGAGTTAAGAAAAACGTGTTAAAAATAGAATTGCATGTTCCGGTTTGGAGGGATAAACAAACATTTGATAAAAATATTTCTTTTCATACTAAAACTAGCAGGGCATGTTCGTGACTAGTCAAAGGGAAGCAATAGAGCAGGGGAGACAATTCAAGGCATCGGTACGCTGTTTTCACTGACTGCGGCTTTCTAAAGTTATGATGGTTTAATTTTTTTTTATGGATCCACAACGTTATAACGATAAAAGGGCTATTTTAAACGATTACGTTTATATCTATTTATATCTGT